TAGATTTTCATTATGTTTGAAATAATTGATGTGTCAGTGTTGTACGTATCAAGCTTTCTTTTACAATGTTTGAAAACTACCTGAAGTGACATCACTTTCCTACATAATGACCAGAGACAAGCTTGATTTCTGCCATCAGTGTTCTCAGATCAAGAGATTTGATTGAATTCATTATTACAAGTGACAAGGAGAGATAGATGCATTGTAATCTTTACACTCCTCATAAGATGAACCAGTCGGTGGCAGAGGATTTAATGAGGAGCTTAAGTAGAGTTCTCAGCACCTAATCAGTGTCTGATTTCTCACAAGTAAAAGACCAATTAAAATGGACAAGTTTCAGCCAAGGATTACATTTATAAGTAGTGACTGCTGCTAAGTACATGGAAATCAATGAAATGTGTCTGAATACCAATAGTTTACCAACACCAAGGGAGAGGATAAACATAAGGATGTCAAGCACAGCTTAAAATTTAAATACAGAAATAAATTATATGTAAAATAATATGAGGTCGATCCAAGCAAGTTTGCATTATGAATTATTTTTTGCACATTTCCTCCTGCTTTCCACAGATATGTGCACTAGGTTAATTGGTTTCTCTAAGTTGCCCCTGTGAGCTTGTGTACAGTATGTGTCATGTAATGAACTGTCATCCCCTTTTGCACTCTGTTTCTGGAATATTTTTCAGATGGCCATGGGCCATACCACTGATGCCCAGAACTTTGAACATCTTTGTAACACCAGGGTGGAATATAGTGGAAGCAAAAAGCAGATGTCAAAAATGATGGATAAGCATATACAGTAATTACCCTTTTAATCTAGAATGCAAGGGAAAAAAATAAAACCTAGCAAATAACTTATCACCTACAGACGTCTTTCTCTGTCATGCCTGTGTTGCATAAAAGAAATTATACAGTAGCTGCTGATATAAACCCATAAATGAAAAGAAACTGCACTCACACCCCAGGCTTGGTGTGTGTCCTTGACAATTTATTTTGGGTGCAATTCAAATTGTCCGTTACTTGCATGGAATTCTAGTCACATTAGACAAAAACATAAAATACTTCACTTTTTTTGAGGGGTTGTTATCTTTCAAATTAGCTATGTTGTATATGTTGACTTACACCATTAATAAACATTACCAGAATATTTTTTCCGTATAGACTGTATATTTAAAAAGCTTTAAAAATAACAAGGTTCTTTGTCAGCATCCCTGGACTCTAAACCAATGGAGCAGGACTCATAAACAAACTTGCCGCCACCACCTCCTGAATTTAAAGAAGCTGAGCTGCTTGACAATGAAAATGAAAGATTTATCTGCAAACATTACTATTTATTTATGAGCCATGCAGCAGCTACATTTCTTAATTATTTGGGTTGATCAATTACACTTCAATGAGAAATACATTAACTGGTCTTTTAAGTTTTCTCTGAATATTCATGCTGGATCTTTACAAATATGCTTTTTGTATGCTTAGCACTGGCCAGAAAGAACCAGCAAAAAACACTGGTCACTCAGCTGTGGACTGGAAGCTAGTGTAACAGAGTACTTGTGGGAATATATGTGTGGGAGTACAGTGGGAAATACTGTATAGTCTATTACTACATTATTTCAATCCTTATGGAAAATATACAAATTATTACAGCTCTAACCTAACAGAATTATGTACACATGGACTCTAATTTAGAAAATTACTCATTTAGAAAGCTTATGACTTCAACAGTCATCAACAGTCTCAAATACGTAATTTCAGAAAGCTCAAATGATATCACATATCATTAAAGTATATATTTACAGGGTGATTTTGAAAACTCTTTTTACCACAGCAAAGTGTTTCGCCATTTTCTAAAATCCATTGTAAACATCTGTAGGATACACAAATTTACAATCTATTATTCTCCGATTAAAAAAGAAGTGAAATTAACAACCATATATCTGTTTCCCTTCCTATTTTAATTGGGTTATGGGAACCACCAGGATTCCAGGATTCATTTCTTTTTGGGTATGCCCAGGGATATAATGCAGAAATAGATTGTGCACGAACAGTATAGGAACCGTAGCTGTAAAGAGATTTACATAAGAATAGTTACAAATTAGAGGAGGCTGCTCAGAACGTCTTGCTCATTACGTTGCTAGCAGTTTAATGATCTACGAATTCCACCTATCCCTTTTTTAAAGGATCCCACACAGTCTCCTCAATGTATTTTTTGCTGGTGTTTCCAGATTCTTGTATTGCTGCTGTTTTTAAAGAAACCCTCACAGCTGATGTCTTCAATGCCTTTTAGGACTTTGATATTAAATCAAGTCTCCATACAGTTCCCCACACTACAATTTAAGGTCTTGTAGTACAACTGTAATCATTATATAGTGTAGTGACCAAAACTGCAATTCTTGATTCAAATGTATATAATACATTGTTCTTATATATGTTCACTGCAATTTGCCAGATGGATGTCTGTCCACTCCAGAGTCTTTTCCGAGTCCTCTTGCCATGCTTGTGCTGCTGTTCCACTCTTTGCAACTCCGTCAACTTTACTGACTATTCCTCGTGTGTCTAAGTCTTTGATGTACTGTAGGAAGACAGTGGTCCTAGGACTGAACCCTGTGACAATCAAGCTTATGGTGTCACTTCAGGCTGAGGCAGTTTCACTTATCAGTAACCTCTATCTTCTGTGTTTTAGCCACATGTGCACAATACCTTAAATTGCTACAGTTTGAAGTTTGAGTATTAGTCTGTCATATTGTACACTAACAAAAAAGTTATTTTTATGAACAGGTATTACATTAAAGATTTTCGAATCAGTCGACATATCCCATGCTCCAAGAGTCTTTTGAACTATCCTAGTCAAGGGTAATTAAATAACTCCCCCGTCTTCTTTGAGTGTAAGTTCGAAAAGATTAACAAATATATCACAGAGACTGGGAAAACAGAACAAAAATAAGCAATTATTTTTCACTGAAACACAGAATAGGAAAATGGAGTGGAGTTCATTCAGTCTGTAAAAGTGGAGAAAACTGTTTTGAATTGTGTTGGCTTTAGATGTCCAAATAGTAAATTATTAAAACTGCTTATTGTGGGTACAGGTTAGGAATCTATCTTATGATATACACTGGTGGGTCTGAAGAACACAGGTTCTGATACATATACTCTATAGGGGATTCACAGTTTTCTATTCTCTCAGACCTTTGTTCTAGACTATTCTATACACCAATGTTCAACATCAGTCATGCAGAGCATAAAATTACAGAGTTTAGAAGTCTTTGCCAGTCCACATATAGGCATTTAGGTCTTTGTAAATCTATCTAAACTTCTGATGTGAGGTAAACCAAATTACTATAGGTACTGTATCTCACAAGCATATCTTCAGTAAACAGGCCAATGGTTCTTTATGGCTCAAATTCTGTATGTCTTCCAGTCTCTTCAGCTACTGCTGGCTGTACAGGGATGATTAAAACAAAACGTCATGTCCCAGGCACAAAACATACATCCACTTAAATGTCCAGAAATGATCAATTTGTTTGAAATTACTGGCAAAGCAAAGTAAATCATTTGGACTCAAGTTCTGAGATGTATTGACTTCTTTACTTAACCATTAGGTGGCGACAGAGTCGCATTACAGTAATAAAGAATTCTGAAATCTTGACATCCCCCGTTTGAGTTTATTGATGAAAGATTATTGTATTTCTCTTAAACTGTGCAGGCTGAAAGACATACTACCAGAAGGACGAAGCACTAGAGTAAATGTTGTGAATTAAATATCTGCGGATTACAAACAGATTTAGTTGGAATTTGTTAAAATGCATTAATTACGTGATACATTTAAACATGATGAGATATTATTTATTGTTTTCGTAATTGCGGTTAAGCAAAGATTTAGTTGTAGATGCGTGTTTTTCAAACTCCAGTCAAGCTAATCACAAACATGTCTCATGATGACTGCAGCTGCACTGTCCTGGTTCCTGTCGATCTGAACTATCTCTTAATTAGGCTTCAAAGTTCTTCCATTTTTTTTTTCATTATCAGATTTCCATTTAAGTTTTACCTCCAATTTCTACTTTTCAATGTGAGTTTTCTATAGCTTCTGAACAACCCAAAACCAGGGATTAACGAAAATACCGTTTTAGAAAAGTGTGAAGGTTTGGCTGGAAATCTGAGTTACTGTGACAAGGTTGTTTTATTGCAATGCTTAACCAGGCTCAAACTATCTTGTTGCACGTCATGAAAGATTATGAAATACAGTTTAAAGAGGTTTTAATTTTTGAAGATGCTGCATATTCTTGGAATTGTGACGTACAATGCATACAGACTTTATTTTCCAAACCTGTCATTCATGGTTATGAACTGTAGTGTAACTGAAATGTATCTGACAAGATATTCTCACTGACTACAGCTACAGTAAATGATAAGGAGTGTGAGGAGAATAACTGGAAAAGTCATTTTCAAATAAGACACACATACTGTACATTAGGGTGCATAATGCCTACTTCCAATCACTGGAAACTGCAGATTTGTGTGGAAAGTGCATGGTCGCTGTGGTTAGGTTGATGTTTTGTGTATTTAATCAGATGCCTTTAAAGAAAATTGAGGAAAATGCCATCCACGCATGATCAAACCCGGAGACGAAGCACAAAGCGATTACCATCCCCAGAATTGTATTCTAGGCCTAGTCTAGGACTAGGGTCCTGACAAATATTCAACTTGATACTCATTTATTTATTAGAAGCTACATTACTTATAGAGAGCCTCTGGCCATTTCTTTAAAAAACTGTGACCTGAAGATGGTTTCTGTTAAAAGTCTGAAAAAACACTGAAATGTTTTTTTTTGTCCCCACACAAAGGGAAATGTAGATTTCTATTACCTAAAACCTAGAGCGTCACTGTAAGCGACATGTGCTGAATTATTGGGGAAGTAAATTCAATAAATAAAATAAATGAAGCTGAGCATTACAAATTTTTTTCAGTTTTTGCACTTTCCTCATTTAAAAAAAAAAAGATTTCCATTGATTTCTCCAAAGTTTTAATTTAAACACAATTAATTCAATTTATCACAGAAAAAAAAGCGTTGTTCCTTTTAAGGAATAAACCAACTTGTTACCTAAATAACAAAGTTCCGTATTCTAAACAAATTTACACATTGCTCTACACATTTTATAAGATATGGTACTGTATATACAGTATCTAATTACAATACACCACAGCATTCCCTCATAAAGGTGTTCTACAGTAATTTATGATTCATGTCAGCCACAACGATCTTGAGTTTTGAATTCCTATTAATAATTCTGGCAACATTATTACAGTTTCTGCTGATCACCACAGTTTTTCCACAGGTCTGATTCCGGCTGTACCCAGTCTTCTCCCATAATTGCTTTAAGACTGAAGTCTTGGAAGTATTCCAGGAGATGGCTAAAAGGAACAGTCACTTGCATGTTAGTTTCTCACCTGCATCTGCCCAGTACAATATTATGAGCAATATGTTTTTAAATAATAATTTTATGGAAATAGTGGGCAACTATTTTTTTTATTCAAAATAATGTTTGTGTTGCTCTATAAAATAATTTTAAATATATGGCAGGAATTTATCCCCATTATTATTCCCATCCTGAAAAACAAGGAATTGGACATTTCAATAAAATTACCATAACTTAGAGTTTTCTTCCTTAACTTTTTTCTTTCTTTCTTACATTTTAACTTAGAGGTTCTATTTATCAGCACATTATGAAAAATAATTCAAAATGTAAAAAAAAAAAACGTTTTTAGCATGAATTGACTCTTGGAGGTGGAGGGAAGAAGGGGTTAAGGTGAAGTATTTGGTGTTCCAAAAAGAAACTTCTCTGGGAATAAGAACTTACTACAGATGAAGTAATAAGAAGGACTTGATCAGTAAGGTTATACATTCTTGTAGAGAAAGGTGTATGTGAATCCTTTGAGAAAGACCAGAAAACATCTGCCATCCAGACGGCTTGGACCGAGATAAAAGGCCCTTTACAGCTCATACTGGATCTTCTCATCTGCTCATTTCATATGAGAGGCAGCTATTAAAAACGTTCTCACAAAAATCATGCTTGCATTTCACAGAAGGGCATTTTACAGTCTTATTTTATAAGTCTCTATAAGGACTGTGAAATAATGTGTATTAGGTGAGATTTAGTCTTACAGAAAAATATACTGCTATGTGGATGTTTCAAGTAATTCAGCTATATTAGTCATTTACTGAGGCTAATGGAGATCTGAGGAATATTTTAAAATGTGCCTGAGCTTTCAGCGTATATTTTAACCAAATGATCTAAACAGTGGTAAATGTGCCTTTGGCAATTTTAATTTTTCTAAAGAGCAGAGCTTAGTACATAAAAACAATGTATGATTATATATATATATTTCTCTACATGGCGTTAATTTAGCACAGATGTACTGTAAACACCTGGTCTTTGCTTAAGGCATTTAACCAACTTTAATTACAACCATTTAAATATTAGTCCAAAACTAAAGGTCAGCCTGATCTCAAAGGATGTTGACACTTATAATGAAAGTTTTAAAAAATATCTTAATATTAAGATTAATCTGTTGAATCTTTTATGCTTTTTTAGAATACTTTCCAGGACATTATTTTGTTATTTAGCGACTAGGAAATTACATGCATGCAAAAGTATTTCTTTTTGCAGTATTTTTTAGTCCAATTTAGTCCAATTTTACGGGAGCAAAACTAAAAAAAGTGATATAAGAAAATTGCAGTTGACTGTCAATCCCTCCAAAAACCCATAACCTTTCAGATACTGCACTTTTCATACTTACAAGTTGGGCCCTTGATTTTCTGTTAGCTCATCTCTTGGCACTGGATAAAGGGCTTCATAAATCCTTCCATTTCCAGATCCGTGAATGGCATATGAATTCATCTTATCCACACCAGGTGGGAAGTAGCTCCAGGGAAGGAGGGCAGTGCCCTTCCACTTTTTTCCACAAATGGAAGCTTCATAAGCTAAATCTAGTCCTTGCTAAAAAGAGAGAGAGAGACCAAAGTGAATGTTTGAATTTTCCACACATCTTTATCCTATAAGAAATGTCTGTTCTGAACGTATGAGGAGTATTTTCCCCCCGTTAGAGATTTTCTATTTTTCCAAATAGAGAAAAACACTCATTTTATCCAACAGTAAGAATACTAACCATATTACTTATTAGAACATACATTTTAGAAGCTTTTGTTTTTAGTAGGACTCAGGTGTTGTTACAGAACTTTCTTCATTTAGCTCTGGTTTTGCAAAGTGTCCTTCATTGCCATATGAACCAACAATTCCTTCATTTAAGTTCTCGGCCATATTCCCATCTTTAAGTAACAAGTTTAACGTTTGCTCCATTATATCTACAGTATAATTTGGAACTTTGTGCATGATTCTTGTCACTGCTGACAATACATACAGTCCTGCTGCATATGTACGGTAAATAGTGTTGTACAACATTATACTTTTAAAATATATATATGTATAATTCTGACTTCCTTTTGATACAAAAGATTTCAGGCAATAAAGTTTTTAAACACAAACTACTTCAGGAAAAATACTGTAATTTCTTGAAATTATTTCTAAACCTTCATTACAGGGAAGCAAAATCAGTGCTGAATGTTTTTTTTAATCTTCCACTTGTGAACCGATGTATACTTAAACCTGCACAACATAAATACACAAGTATGAACACACAAATGGGACAGAGCAACAGGTTAAACAAAAAATTTACTACATAGTCTTTCATGTTCAGAAACAACATGGCCAAAGTGAGCAGAGCACCCCTTCAGTTCTTCCTATTAGTTCAATAAACCTTACAATTTTATAACTGAAATGTACATATAAAAATGTTTATAATTCACCTTAAATGACTTGTTTCAGTGCATAGAAATGTTCAATATCGATATGTTCCACCAAAGAGTTAGAACAAAAATTCTGAATAAAACACGTCATAGTTCTAGTAGTTTAGAGATTGAGAGATTTAACCTACTTTCCATGCGTTTCCTCTCCCAGAGAGAAGCAATACTAAGTGCTGCCCATGACTGTAATAAAGACATGAAGAGCAAAATAAATGTTATTGTTTATTACATTATAAATATAAATAATGAGAATATTATTTAAATATGTAAAACAGGCATGTCGTGTCATCTTTTAAGATTAAAATTTGCTTCTATGGTTTAATTTATATTAAAACATACTTATTTGTAAAAAAAAAGGCATTTTGTTTCTTATTAATTATTTTTTAAAAAAAAATTTTCTATCCAAAACATGTCAACGGTTCACAGTACAGAATGGTATTGCAACGTATTGATATGAGGAAGTTAGACGATGTTAAACTATGACTGCAGATGAAATTTAAAAGACTTTTATCCAGAACTGTGAAGATTGCCTTTGTAGAACATTAAATGTTTAAAAGTATAATAACTACATATAAAAACTTGAAAGAAATATATACATTTCAAATATGTGGTACTAAACATAACACAAAGCCTATATAAACTATCTAAGGATTTAGGTTGACTCATCATTGTCCTGATCTATACAGTTTGGGAAGTAATTAAAAATGCTGAAATAATTCTTAGGCAAATAACAAAAATCACTAGATTACTGTCAAGAATGGCTTTGACAGAATGATTTAGTTTAATCAGATTGCCATGTTCATTTCTGTTTGTCACACTGCTCTGGAATGAGATCACAAAATAGAAGGCAAAAGACTTTCATCCAGGTGTACAAAAGAGTGCCCTATCCAGACAGTAAAAAAGGATTAAATCTTTTGCTTGGCATAAAGAAGACGTCAGGGAAATTCGATGTTTTCATAACCCAACCAGAGATTCCTGAAATCAATCTAGGCTAAGCCTCTACTTCAATCCCACACAGAAGCCAGGTCCAGAGGTCACAAATTGAAAATACCAGTACAAGGAAGTAGATCTGGAGCTGATAATAAGAGGCACTTTATACATTACACATGTATTTGTGGGTGTCTAAACCAAAGTGCTGACAAATTGGAACCAGATTGATAAGGTTCTTGTGCCAATAAGCTACTTTCTAAATTGAGAAGGTGAGCCAACTTACCTCTTTCATGTTCTAACTTCAATTAATATTATTTGTAAAAATGAACTGAAAAATCTGATGAATCTTTTTTGTTACATAGTGGAGAGCAGCAAAGGGCAAAAAGGTGACAACTTATTTACTTACGGACACACTTCAACCTCCAGGTATTTTTCTGTTGCGCTGTTGAGGAAGAAAGCTTCAACAACTAGGAAACAAGACAAGATGACACATCCCCATATCTGAATAACAACAATCAGGAGCAAAATCAAGTAAGAAAGAGTAAAATATGAAAAGGTTTCAAGCATTCAAGTTTTGATGAAAATACTCACTTAAAAATGTGAATACTGTACAGCATTTGTAATTCAGCTAAACAGAACATCATTGGAAGGGGGTAAATACTTTTGCAAGGCACTGTATGCATGTAGTAGATCGTTCATTATTGGTTAACATCCCTTTCTATAAGGCAAGTATAGTGTAGACATATGCAGCACATGGCACAGTGGGTTACTGCACTGGCCTGTTCAGATATTGTAGCATTACTGACATACTGCACCCTTGCACAGCCAGAGTGACCTGCATGCGGCATCAGACACCTGCTTCATTCTAATTGCATGGACAATCAGCTCCTCTGCCTCATTTTATCTCAGCTCTGTTGTGGACTCTGGAACAAACAGGGAATTCTCCGGCCAACCTGAGGATTGGATTACTTTTAGCTCACTAGGACCTATATTGTGCACTGTGTATTTGTTGTTGTTGTTGTGGTTTTTAATTGTACTGTCCTCCTTAAAAGGCCACTGTGTACTTTAATTTGTTTTCAATGAAGAAATACAGTACTTTAAATGTTTATGACTAAAAGAGAAAATAAGAACATTAGGGAATGAATCACAACACAGTGCACTGAGAACATTCGAGCAAATTAGAACAGAGAGCAGCTGCTGTATGTGACTATTTTATTATTACTTCTGATAGCATAATAAACAAAATGTTCCCATTTCATTGAACCTATGTGCGTTTGGACTTTTTCCACATATTCCACATAATAGTCATGATAGGTCAATCTCAAAGGTCAAAAACTAAAAACAGAGCTTGACATTCATTATTTTTAAGTAAGCATTGACAAATTAGCTATAAATGTCCACCAAAGTCTCCTCAAAAAGGTGTTTTTTTTCTATAATATTGAGAATAGTCATGAATGTTGCACTGTTTATACTTTCCCTCACATTAACACTTCTCTCTGTTAAAAGCATCAGGTGAAATACTCACCTTCATAATCCCAGAGCCCAGGAAAAGTCTGGTTAGGAGGCCCTGGTGGAGACGGAGGATCATTGAAGAAAGGGGCACACACTTCCATAAGCAAGCCGCCGTCACCAGGAGAAAAAGTCAGTTTCACAGGGCTGTGATTTACTGGAGTGCTGTCCCATGTGTGTTCAATGAGAAAGTCCATCTATTGAAATAATACACACGTTTCATACCAAAGGAGTCAAAATCTGCAATAGAGCTCCGGAATATACAATTATCATAAGTAAATAAACTGATCAAAAGAAATTTTACTTATTATTGCAATCAACAACGATCCATGCTATCACCAGTGGTGTGTAGCTTTACAAAAATAAGCAATGTTTTTATTCAACAGGAGACATTTGTTTCAAGGTGAAAAGCAGACCTTGTATCAAACTAAGGAAAACGTTTTTTTTTATAACAGAAAAACAAAATGAATCCATAACAGCTGATTCAATTAACTTTACAACAACAAAGCAACACATTACCTTCATGTACTGGATGAGAAAGATGTTTGCAGTTAGTTGTAAACCTCCCTAGCAGACCACAGAACTGGACTCAACACTAGCCTTAAACCATAAACTGTAAAACTAAAATACACAACTCCCTGAAAATGATCTGTTAATTAAATCTTGTTTTCTTAATAGAATAAAACTCAATAATAATTAAAGTACTTGCTGGTATGACTTAAAAGTCAACACACACTCAGAATGTGCGACACTAAGAATCCTAAACCGAAATATTGTACTCTATAGTACTTTGAACTTCAGATTAGTGGTCAGATCAGATCAAAGATACAGTGTAAACATTTGGCTGGCTTAAGAAGAGATTGTAATTACAGCCAAGATGCTACTTAGCTAAAATGCCAGAGTCAGCTATATGGCTTCTACTTGTTGTAAATAGGCACACAGGTTGTTAATTTACTATTGGATTATTGGTGACGGTCTGGAAATGCACATTCTCACATAGGTCTAATTCAGATTGCGTGGTACTGTATATAAAGGGTCTGCACATGACTAATATGGGTTTGAGATTTTTGAGTGTGGAATGGGGGTGGGAATTTTTGGATATAAACTAAAAAGGGGCTAAAATAAAGCTTCCTGACTATCATGCCATTGGCTGTTATGTGTTTTTCTGTTTGAAGACCTTTGGGTTGGTTGGCAGTAGGATCTTTCACACACAATTCTCTTAGCTAAACTTAAAAAGATAACAAATACTTCAGAGGGTTAAGGCTGATTTTTATTTGTTTGAGGCCACAACAGTTCCTATGTCAAAATAAACACGACATTGGTTACTTTTTCTCAGTCCCTTATCTTTAATGTGATGGAAGGAGAGTAGCTCTTCGAGACAATATTGCAATATGCTTAAGAGGTAATGGCTTATTTCTTTCCAAATAACCCAAAGTTAAAAGCAAACTCAATTGTGAGGGCAAAGGGGACTCATAAAAGAGACTGCTTTGTAAATGCAAAAAGTGTCTGTTCAGTGTCATTTAAAAAGCAGTGAATCCTAGCTGATTGTTTCCTGAAAGGAAACTGTTTCTTCTGACTTTTGTAATATAAAGATTACAGAGTCTGTAGAGTAAGAGTAAGAGTAAGCTGTTATCCCAACATACATCCTTTGAAAACCTCTGTAGTGATTGGAGACATGTAAAATAAGAAAACAAAGTCTGTGTTTTTAGAGTCATTGGAGTCATTTACATGCAAAACATATTTTTGCATAGATTTTTAGCATATGTTGTTCTCATTGCTAATTTACTACTTTTAATTCTCAATTACAACTCTTAAAATATTTATACAATAAAATAACTAGGAATTTACTGTATGCTAGACATATTTAAAATATAGTTTTAAATCATTTTTATGTTTTTCACATTGTAATCTCTATCTGACATCTATATAGTTTTTTATAGTATTCATATATTTTTAATTCTATTTTTAATATTGATTAAAACTTTGTAATTAGATAATGGCATAAGGTTGCAAATGGAAAGATGCCATTCAGCCCATTTCTTGCTCTGAAACTTTCTTTCAGCACGTCTATTACTATTAGCCCCCAAATTGCATTCTTTCAATTGTAACCTGTATCTCTTCACATGGGCTGTGCATTCCGATTCAGCAGTACTGGTGAAAACCCCTTAGGTAATACTAAAACCGAAACAAACAAATGCATAGCATGAGACATCGAACAGCTCAATTTTTATTAACTACACACTTGCAAAGAAATAAAAGTTACTGAATTGAGAACAAATTACCTTTATGCAATGGGCAGGAAAAGAAGTTACCAGCTCCCTTGTTATTCCACCGAATTAGACTTTGTACAAAACAAATCATAGTTTCAGGAATTCATTCAGCTTAAACCTCCTTCAGATAGAACTTTTGTCTAAGGTCCAATTCAATAAGTTTAATACTTGTACCACGGGCACAGTCGGAGAACAAGACACATTAGCAAACTAAAACTGTAACAGTGAGTGTCGGATCAGGACGGAAGATGATTCTTCTTCCTGAAAACTGAAAAAAAAAAACAATAAAACAATTTGTAGCTTTCTAAATCTGAAGTGTTTCCGTAGGGACAATGTTAGAGCTGCACAGATGAAGCGGCCCGGGGTTTGATTGGTTAAGAAAGAAGACGGCGGAAGACGTTTGAAACGGGAAGTTGAGTTTGTGTGTAGTGAGTATTTTCTTTAGGTTATTTCTGTAGGACATTGTTCACTTAGAATAATAAAAGTACTTAAAAGTACACTTAGAATAATAGTTTAGATTTCTGAGCATTCAGCTATTTAATGAATTACTTTGATTTTGTAATGTAACGATAAGCTTTAAATGCATTTAAATCAGTGTTCCTATCACATTAGCTTTAAACTTGAATCCACGTAATTTGGTTGGGTTGCCATTGGTAACAAACGCCGGCTTTCTTAAAAAAGCTTTTCCCCGTAAGACACAACGATTTAATATTCGATTTTTTTTCCAATAGCTATCAAATGCACGTTGCCATTTTAAAATTATGTTAGTCGGTTTACGAAACAGTGTTGCTAAAGTTGTGTTCAGCGTTCGTTGTAACTACAGTACTGAACATGACGGCGATTTATGTAATGAATTAAAAATACATAAAATACACAACATCTAACATCAAGTCTGGTTCTGGTACTTTCTGTAAACCTGCAAAATACAACCTATTGCTGACGGGTCTCTGGTTGCTAATGAATTTAAAAGGAATCATGAAGTTATCTTTAAGTATTTGCTTAGGTTTTTGTCTACAGAAACTCGTTTCGACTTGTTTAAAATTATTTTCACTGTTTTCAGCATCTTTCGGATGAGATTTTGGTTACTTTATTGTAACTGAATGATAACAGGAAATGACAAATGCTTATTTAAAAATACAGATGCAATGAGATACAATGTAGGCTGCAACACATCACTATCATTAACCTTACAGATAATTACAAGTGACTGTCTTAAATTGAAGAAGCTTATGTTATCAATAATTTACCTTTTTATACTTTAAAACCTTAATTTAAGGTACATGTATCTCAAAGTATTGAAAACATGTGTTTAACGTTTTATTCTACTTGGCGCAAACAAATGTTTCATTTCGCGGATTTGATTTTTTTCACTTTATTTGAATATTAGATTAACAGTACTGTATGCAATTTTTGTTAAGTTGTTTTTGGTAACTGTTTTATTCTTGTTTTGTTACAGCCAAATATTACCTGTGGTAATACAATAGAAAAATAAATGGCTGCTGCAGAAATTGAATTCCTAAGAGATCAAGGTAAGGTCTAAAAGCCTGAAAATGTCAAAAGTGCAATGAATCTATAATGTTATTCCAGTTTCTGTCACAGTAACAATGAGTCTCTGCAACATGAAAGCAATGGTGTGGTGAGGAAAAACATGACTCAGTGACTCATCTGTTAATGTTAAGGTGCATGAATAAGAAAGGGTCAGTCAGATAATCACCTATGACCCTTAAATGCTATAGTACTTTTACTCTACAAATGGTCTTTCAGAATGGATTAAATGGAGTCATTTAATCATTGATTAAATGGCTCTAAATAAAAGAAAACATGATCTTGGGGGGAGACATTGCAGAGATGGTATTGTGAAATGAGCGAACTGTTGGAGGAGGGCTGAAAGAAATAGGCTGCCTTTGACAATTTTCCCTTTCAGTGATTTGTGATTGAATGATGCTTTGGTCCTTGCTGTGACAATGCGATCTAGCCTGGAGATTGCACACGCAATGGATTGTAGCATAATTCTAGTGGTGAATCACTGTGTGAAGGCTTCAGATAAGGCTTTGCCTTATAGAAGATGGGGAGCTGCTGGGGTAAATTGAAACATGAAATCCACCATCATGCATGTGTTGGAAGAAAACTGTGATATCCTTTGACGCAACAATTATATTTCTAAGTTACAGATACCAACAATGCATCTTTCACGCTGGAATATGTGATAACAGCGTCCATTTTTACTTTGTCCTGCTTATTTATCTGCACATGGGTTTACACCTTTTTGTTTGTTTTCCTAATCTAGATTTTGGTGGCGGAATGAACATTTTTTGCCATACAGTAATTTGTAATACTGTGCATCTTCAGTGATTGTAGACAGAGTGAGGATTGTTCAGGCTTATGTCACTGATCTAATCCACTTCAGTGAAGCATGTGTGGTGAAGTATTTTGTACTCCGTATGGGGACATTTTCATTCCCTATATATATTCGTCATATATAGTATTTGCCATAAGAGATCATCCTGTTCATATTAACAAAAGAGTAGACCTAATTTCTAAACAAGGAATGCAATGACTTTATTAAGAAAGAAAAATGTTTTCATTACCTACAGTATATGCTTTTCTTGAAGACTCAAAGTAAAATAATTTAATAACTGAGCACTAATATAGTTGAACAAAATAGTATCTATATGAAACTGAATAAAATGCAGTACCTTTCTATTCTTAAAGCAATTATAAATGGAATGTAATAAATTACTATGACTCCGAGAAGTCATAATAATGTGGCTGGAAGGTTGCAGGTTCAAATCCCACAGCTGGCAGAGGAATCCTACTCCGTTGGCCTCCTGAGCAAGGCCTTTAACCCCAACTGCTCCAGGAGCAACGTACAATGGCAGACCCTGCACTCTGACCCCAGGCTCTCTCCCTGTCTGTGTGTCTGTGTGTCTCATGGAGAGCAAGCTGGGGTATGCGAAAAGACAATTCCTAATGCAAGAAATTGTAAAGGGTTAATAAAGTGGTGTTATTTCCTAATAATCTCAAGATAGCATGTGCAAAATATTGTGTGTACATATTTGCATATTTTGATTTATTTCAGTTCAAAGACTGAATTCTGCTCTCAGACAGTACCATGAAGGACATCAATCTCACCCCACACCACTACAGGTACTAGGAGATATGTGATTATGTTTATACTTTAAAAGGAAATTAAGAAGTATCCAAAGCAAGGAATGGTTATGTTCTAGGTTTGGTTGCTTTTAGAGTAATGCTTAGATCTTTATCCTTCTTCCTTACAACTTGGAATACTGTACAAAACTGAAAGAGATATCATGCAAGGTCATTCTGAAAGTACAGTAAATCTGTATAAAGTGACCATGCTACATGTGAAAGTGTTTAAGACAGCAAAATTCACAATACATTGTAGTTTCCTTGAAATACTGTAGGTCAAACTATAGTTGCGAACACTGACTAGGAAAACATTCTTAAATAAGTGCAATAGGCCAGGTGTTGCTGGTTTGAGCCTGGGCTATGGCGTTCACCAGCCGTGACCAGGACTCCTCAAGCAGCATCATGGGGTTACCCACACACCCCTGGGGACTGGGGGGTTTGAGGTGGCCAGACTGCCTTCAGCTAGTAGCGCAGCAGTGATAGATGGAGGGAGCATTGGGGTTGCCAAGCACTTGCTAGTTTGCAGTAACTCCAGTGAGATATGCACCATTCCACTCCTCTAAGGGACCCTGGGCCTCGTGGCATGTTATCACTGTGATGGAGATGGGCATGGTGAACTGTGTGCTGACATATTCGTTGTTACTTTGTGTTAAAGGGGCCATGATACAACAACTGTGTGATTACAAACTGGAATAGGTGAAAAAATAATTTTTCATTGCAAAATCCTAAAGGTTTATATCTCACCAGTATATTTGTCCCTTAAATCAGAGCTTTTTATTTTGTAGCATTATACAGTAGTTAAAACATAGCTTTAACAAAGCCATAGTGTAGTTTATTACAAAGTTTCATACTTTTTATTTTGCCTAATGAAGTGTGCTCTTTCACAGTGTGTCATTTTTCAGAGTGGCAGTTGGTATTTCATTTGCCTGTGGGTATCAGTGTACTGGATATTTTTTACTCTTTGTTCTTGAAGGAAGAAGCGCTTGTTGGAAATGAGTCACTGGCACCTTGGCTCACAGACAAAAGGTGATTATATATCCGAATAACATCCATAACCCATGGAAAAGTTTGATTTTTGTTTGCAATATGGATATTTTTAAAACCTCTTGGTCATAGTGGTAGAGGACTTTTACATTTTTATATCTGTCATTATTTCAAATACTGTTCCTTAGAGTTACATACTGTACAAGAAAAGACTTATGATATGTTGTTCTTCTGCAAGATGAAAGTAGAGGACTGTCCATCTCCCTCTGGCTGTATCAACAATCAATCTTAATATTATATTAAACTCTAGAGTGCTCTATCATATATTGAAGTTCATTAGTTTTTTTCTGAATCATTTGTTTCAGAAGCTCTTTTTACTCTTTTATACACATTGGATTGTTGTTTGTATGACTGGTGTTTGTGAAATAATAATGTTTGAAATGAAGATGCCATTCAGGTTTTTAACTGTATTTTTTTTAGCATTATGGCACCACTTATAGCAGAATATGACAGACACATAGAAGGCATGAATGAACAGTTGCAGTACTATCAGGTAGGCATTTTTGTTTTTCTTTCTTATAATGCTCAATATTTTAATAGCTTCAGTATTTTGTTGACGTTCTGGATTTGGCTATACCACTTATGTGTTCAGTCAAAATAAGAATTATTTTCAAATACAAGGCGGAGTAAAACTGCAAACACTAATAAACATTTTTTTAATGTGGTAGATAAAACCGTGCAGAAACATGGCATCAGTGACACCTGTAGTTATTGCTGAAAATCGACATACCATTGTAATCATTTTTCTTATGCAATGTTGGCACTGGAGCTCAAATGTTGCAGTTTAATAACTCCTATGCTTTTCATGTATAAGTTTGGTTATTTCATAAAGATATGTAATCCACTGCAAATCATGACAGCCTTGTTAATTGGCAATAATGGCAGATTATGTAGTTGCTTATAGGAAACATTTAAACTATACATTGTTCAGAGACTACTACTACACCTGAATTGGTATATGTGCTCAGTTCTATATTAAACTTACTAGACACTGTGCATTGTACAGGGGTTTTAATGTTGCATCTTGCTTTCATATGGAAATTAGTAAGTTTGGAACCATAATGATTGTTCCAAAGGTCAGGTAACGTCCCTTGGTTGCCTGAAAGTGAAATGGAAACACTACAGTACAGAAGTACATGCAGTGGTTAGAAAACGTTTGTGAACCCTTTGGAAATATCTGCATTCCTGTTGCACCTGCTCCTAAAATGTGATCTGATCAGTGAATATCAATGAATTGAAACAGTTCTGTAAAGAGTAATGGGCCAAACTACCCCCCCATAGCGATGTGCATGACTGATCAGCAGGAAATGTTTGGTTGAGATCATTGATGCTGAAGGAAGTTCCACCAGTTATTAAATCTAAATGTTTAAACAGTGTGTTCAATATAGACATGAAAACCTACAATTGTTTGTGTGACATTTGATTAAACAGATTGAGTTCATTTGTTATGATGAAGATCAGAACACACTTTACAAACAATAAATACAGGAATATATATAATTCTAAAGGTTTCACAAACTTTTTCTCACAGCTGTACAGCATTTACCTAATACTAATACATGCAGGTTAATGTATAGAAGCATCTTCACTTCATCCCATATGGGACACTTTGGGCATGGGTTGCAAATACAGTTTGAAGTAAAGTTTGGTATAAAGCTTTGGTAAGGAGATTCAGGGACAGCAGAATGGTTACCACTTGGAATGTGGCAAAGTATAAGTTAGGAGTGGGGTTCGAGTGAAAGACTGCGTTTATAACTAGGTTTAGGTTTAAGGCTAGGATTGTAGCAAGGATAAGTTAAATGGAAGGCGAAGATTAACAGCATGAGGAACAGTCTTAAAGCTAGCATTCAGGTTGAAGCAGAGAGGAACTTCAGAACTGCACTAAATTACAGAGGCACTACAGTTAGAATAACTATTGTGATTTCAAATATTTTTCCAAATTTGCAAAGTAATGTCAAAAGTTACTCCTTGTTTACTTAAGTATTAATGTGTATATATTCGTTTGAACAGCAATGTTTTTAAAATTTTAAGTTCTCTTATTATAAATGCAATTGTTATTTAACGGAATATTTTTGTGATTGTATTGTTAATCAAAATGCTGATATAATTGTAGCTATGACCTTCCTTCTGATTGACCCCAGGTTGGACCATATGCAAATCAGCTTCCTCTCATTGATTTTCTTTTTATTGCTTTTTATTTGTTGTCTATGTGTAATGCAAATGAATGGCAGACATTGATTGGCACACAAAGAGGCTCAGATAATACAAAATATACCCATAATGTGCAGCACCAGTCAATTCATCGCCTACTTGGAGCCACTGTAATACTGACCTGAAGATTACACTGGAAATTATGGAATAAATTGACCTTGTATATTGTGTGACATTTTATATGCAGTACACATGATTTGTATACAAATACTTGTTTGAGAAACTGTAATTATGTACATAATGTTTCTTTGTTTTACTATATTGTTTAGGATCCATTGATATGGCCAAATTCTGTGCCTGTGTGTAATTTGTATGTTTTGAATTTCTTGATTTGTGCAAAGTAGTATGCTTTTCATTCTTTAGTATTAGATACTAATATAACTGTCAGAATTGATGTATCTGCACTTCACATTTTTAGATTAAAATTAATCTATATTGATTTTCTTAACGTGGACACGGCTTCTTCTTATTGACATATCAAACCTTTTATTCTTTCTCTCAACCAACAGATGCAGATGGGAGAGATCAAACTGAAACTTGAGAAAGTCATAAAAGAAAATGAAAGGTGATCTTAAATCATTGTTTTTTTTAGAGGTGTTTAAGGTGTTAAAATGTGCCTGTAGACTGATGTACTGTGAAAATGATGCTTTATTGGTAAGAGTTTAAACTTTAAAAAAAGAATTCACACAGCTTCTGATGTTAATTAAAAGAAAATAGCTATTATTTTGAAATACAGTACTTCTGTCATAAAAAATCTTATCAATAGATATCTTTGTGCTTTGTAATACTAATGACTGTACTGGGACTTTTTATGTGTAGTTTAGCAAGTATGTACATGTACAATACCTTGTGTGGCTTATGGAGTATGCAGTTTTTTATGTTTTAAATGAAGATTGTATGTTTACTTTTAAAATTGTGTAATCACTGATTCCTGTGTTGTCACAAAGACTTCACTCGGAACTTCGCGAGTCCATTGAAAAACAGTTGCAGGCCCTTCCCTCAGGGGCTGCTCTGGAAGAGGACTTCATGACCAATGATGGAGTAGTGAAAAATCTGCAAGAACAAATACAATTATCTCTCCAGGTATATCTATCCATTTTCTAACAGCTTCTTCCACTTCAGGGGTTGCAAGGAAGCCAGAACCTATCTTGGCAAGCAGTGGGCTCAAGGCAGGGTACATCCTGGACAGGATGCCAGTCTATCGCAGGGTAGTCAGATACGGCCACGCACACACTCGCACCATAGACAATCTTTCCCAGGGGCCAGTTAACCTACCAGTATCTCTTTGAACTGTGGGAGGAAACGGGAGCAACCAGAGAAAACGTGTACAAACAAAAGGAGAACAGTCAAACTCCACACACATACTGAAATACTTCAGGAATTTAACTTATGGCCCCATTACTGCGAAGCAATGCTTACCACTGTGCCACCATCTGCCTGCAAGTGAAGTCTGCAATTGGTACATTTCCCTGGATTTAGTCACCACCACCTTAATTGTTTTCCACTGTACGACAGTCATTAAATTTTAAGTATTTACTCATGGTTCAGAAGTATCTCAAAATCCACAACCGCCTCTTCCAAATTCCGGTTTGTGGGGGTATCTCAAGATGTTTAAAATAATTGAAATTCTTTTCAGTTAAGCGGTATAGGAGTCCAGATGCAGTGTCCATTAACTGTACGTTGACTGCTTCTATGACATTTTGATTATAGTGAATATTATGCAAAATGGATTATGTGCAAATGTATCACTGTTTAATAAAAATAAATAAAAGTAGTTATTTCTTTTAAGTATTATTTATTATTTTAAGTATTATTGTTTACTTAAGTACCAAATTAGTCATCTGTTTTGCTGTGAACCTTTTGTGTCTGTCTGTATAAAATATATATTTAGAATGTTGTGGATGAAAATAAAAATGGCACCAGACTATTAGCAGCATAACAGCTCTGTATCAGACAACAGCCTTACTGTCAAGTAGCCTGATCTAGCAAGGTTGGGACTGTTTGGTCATGAATTGGGCTAAAAGTAAATCAGGTTGCTACAACACGTGGTATTAATGAACAGTCAGGCAATGCACTTTCCTCTGGATTAAACTTTCCCAAAACGAATGCCTTGATTTATTGACTGAAAGCACGGGTGTAGAAATTGTTGTCCTTTGCACAGGTGTTAAACTGAGTTCAAGACACCTGCTGACAGTTTGTCAAGATGCCACAGCACTTTTTAAAACACTAGGGCTTGCATTGTCTGGCCTTCTTAAAATTTACCCTTTATTCAGTATGAGAAGTAATTTTTCACACGTACACCTCCAAACATATAGAGAACACTTTGGGCTTTAGAACCAGGAGCAGTGTATAGATGTAAGGCATTATTCTAACTTTTCTTTTTTCTTTTTTTTTTATCTGAACCAAGCTCTGGGAAGGAATGCTGTTTTGCTCTTTGTTTTTGAAGATTTAGTTTCCTGTTTGTTATTTGCTCTCATATGTGGAACTATATTAAGTTGTTTAACCTGACTGGAGAACATAGACTTGAAGCCTAAAATCAAGTTGAAATGTGTAATAATATTAGTAATGCTGTGTTTGTTTAAATGTTACTCCAGGAGAAAGAGCAGGCGATGGAACTGTGGCAGTCTGCTGCACAAGAACTCGATCGGCTGCAGCAGCTTTACCAAAAAACCATGACAGAGGCTCAGATTCATGTGGTTGAAAGGCAGCATTTAAAGGCAGGCCTGTATTTGCTTTTTAATGATTCATTGAGAAGAAAGGGACTTATTCTCACTGAGTGTGATTGGGTTATGTTGTATTTTTTTTGGCTCCTATGTACTTGTACAATGCTTAAAATAGAAAACTTCAGCTTCGGTTGGTTTTGTGTGTGCAGCTAGCTGTATATATTCTTTCAAAATAATGTATAATGTTCTAATTATATAATGAACAGTGAAGGTGTCTTGTAAAACCAAACAACAATTCTCAGTATTTGGTTTTCAGTTAACTGTACTCTGAACTCAACAGCTGATCGGGTTTACAGAGGGGAAAAGGGATCTGACACAGTAATGAAATTAGAATAAATCAGTTCAGACTGGGGTCTGGGGTGTAAAGAATCTGTTTCATCAGAAGTTAAAATCATTATAAGACTCAAGCTGGTGGGCCAAAGGAGCCATTTTTATCTTATACTTTTTAATTATTTAAAACATTATTTTTTCCATGTCTGATTGTAGTGTACAGCTTGCAAAATGCAATTCTAATTTGCTTATTTAGTTATATTTGGTTCAAGACAGGAATGTCGTTTACTCCTGGCGAATACTCTACATGATGAAACTTCCAAAGCCATCTGACAGAAAAGTAACTGTGAAAGTGCATGTTTTTTTTAGATCCACTAGAGGGTAGCATGCTCAACGGTTTTGTCTTACAACTTTTATGCCTTCAGTGCAGTGTTTAAATTGTCTTTAGAAAGTGCTTTGCTTTTGCCATAGAGTAGATTCACGTTTAAGAACAAAAAAACGGTTAAACATTATTTTAACATGAATGCAAAGGCCTTTTAGTTCCTCTATGCTTGGTTTACTCCCAAGACCAGTGGTGTCTGAAACCCTCTCCTGCGTTTCTCTTTCAGGATCAGCTGGCCCAGGTTCAACAACTTGCTCAGCAGCTTCAATTAGCCAATCAGAAGCTGGAGTCGGTAAGGCAAAAACATCTGGAAAGCCTGCTTATTCTGTCAAACCACAGGCATTATTTATAGAACGTGCACACAGATTGTGTTACTTGTGCCTGTGATTCTCATTACATTACTGAGTTTGTTGTCGACATTTCTATGAACTGCATACAGTAGGAAAGTGTATCTTAACCTTATAAAAAATAACAAATAAAGTTACATATGAATACTGCACTAAAACAAAAAACACTCAAAGTACAAAATATACAACGTGCAGGTTGTTTTTTCAAAATCATTGATAAAGTTTATAGTAACAATTTTCATTTTGTGGGAGATTGCTTTATGCATGTGGTATACTGTATTTCAATATTATGTATTTACCAGTTTGGTACATATTGTATTTGTATTTTAGTTTTTGGTTTATGTATGTCCAATAGTCACATTAAAGTCACATCTATACATACAGGCAAAAACACATATTCATTTAATTTAAACAGTATAAGGATGTTTTTTCAGGCCTGGTTTTCTAAAACCATGAGCCAGGGCTTCATCCTTTTAAGAACAAAAAGATTAATAGTTCATTGCCAAACTCTGTTGTACAACAACAAGATACAACTGTGTGGTTCAGATCTTTCAAACTCCGTTTAACTTACCAGAATGAATATGTAGGCCAACCTAAAATGCTAACATGTGGAACCAATTGTTTTGTGCCAGTCAATGTATTTCCTGGAAATACTGTATTCTCTTTTGTAGCTGCAGTGTTTCATTATCATTTATATGTAAAGTACAAAGCTAAATAATTAATCCCTGCACATACACATCAGTAGAGATATCAGGGAAATTGAGAATTCCTGTCAAAACACTTTAGAGTTACACTTTTATCTTTCATATTCAAGTACATTAAAGAACCCTGAGCAAAATCACATTGTAACAGGTTGAAAATAGTTTACCCATCTGACATGAAGAAAGAAACTAGTTTCAGAAGGCTTGCTATCATTTTTTTGCCAGTTTGTAGATGTAACCTACATGTGCTGCTGCAAGAAATGTTTTTAAACACTAGTTGCAAAAATAAAAAACATGTAATCTTAGATCTGTACTTCCTCATCACACTCATGGTAAGATAGGTTTTACTCTATGCTAAGTAAAATGAATATATTTTAAATGTATTTAATGTGTGACATTCATTATCCTTTAATTCTTGATTCTGGATTGGAGAAACTCCAGCAAATGTGCAGGAACAGTAATGTAATATCATGCTCATGCATTTTTAATAAGCACCAAGCACTTTTTGAATGATTTCTTTATGTCTTTGCTACCTTATTCATCTGCCATTTTTTTAAGAGTTTCTTCAAAAGCATGCAGCACAACGATTGTTGTTCTTCATGTCTCCTGCAGACCAACCAGCAGCTTCTGAAAACCGTGACGGAACAGAGCACAGAACTGGAGCAGCTTCGCACTCAGACGAGGTAGGTTTGCAGTGGGTCCCAGTGCTGGTATCAGCGCAGCAGCAACTATAAAGCAGTCAGGACTACAACCATCAGTTCAGGTGCAGTTTGGCCTAGGACGTGGTCCGACACGTCCCTGTGCCTCAGTTTATACTCACCTACACACACTTTGCAGTTCTTAATTTTAAAGGGGAATAGCAGCTTCATTACAGGAAGGACCACTTCACATTGCAATTTTCACAAACTCTCGCTTGCCCGTGGCGAAACCAGGCTTTGCAACATCATTATGATTACACCGTACTTTCACAAAGTTCACGATATTGTGCTTAATTCAGCATTTTGTCCAATTTTGTGATACCGTCAATTATTTTTTTTTTGTTACCGAGATTTAATAACCATTCTAAGAAATTGGGACTGCAGATCCTCTTTAACCTGATATGGCACAGGACAAAGACATTCCAAGTATCTTTCATTATAAAGGCCGGTATTTATTTGTGCATGTATGTTTATGAGAATGGCATTCTCTCTACAAGGATGTCTGTGTGTAAAAAATACATATATTACAATAAATTATGAAGCAAATCTCCCATCTGACACAATTTGGGCTTCAATAAAGATAACTTGCTGAGTGAAACTTCTGATCTTTCACGTTTTGTGCAAAAAATAGCCTTGTTCTTAAAATCAAGGTCTTGATCTGTGCTAGCTGAATGCTAAGATCCTTTTACTTACTGTATAGTCTTACTACAGATAGTTTTTTTTTCCTGTTTTTATCTAATTGTCATGAACTCTTATTGTTTTGTTAGACCTGACAAACCTTATTTGTGTGGTTAGTTCAAGCATTAGACCCCTTCTTGTTTATCCAAAGTTTAATTTTTCTTTTGAGATTTAGCTTGCTGGAATAGACTGCAGCTAACCTGCAGACCTGAATTTGAAGTAGTGGTTAGAAAATAGACCGATGGTTTTGTTTAGGTTGTAAGTGCTATTATTAACCCTTTAGAATCAGCCCAAACTCTGAAAGTAACATCCTTTTCATATTGTGACACATTCTATACATCATAATTTCTTTGGTTTGTAGGCAAGCAAAGTTAGAATTGCGAACAGCTACAGCGAAGGTTGAAGAAATGACAAAACTTATGCAGAACCTTCAAGAACAAATGCAAAGACGGGTAATTATGTTTACTAGTATGCCAATCAATTGCTGTCTTTCACTGATTTGTAGTACTAAACTGAAATTAGGTTATTTTTAACAAATTATTATAGTGTGGCATGCAACATGGTGGCTAGTGCTACTTCCTCACAGCTTTTGGGTTGTGGGTTCGGTTCTGGGCTGACATGCCTTTTACATGGGGTTTTGCATGTTCTCCCACTGTTCCGAGTGAATTTTCATCATGTGCTCTGGCTTCTTCCCTCCTTGAAAAGACATGCTGGCGAGGCTTTGAGCGGTGTCTCTAAATTCTCCCTGTGTGCCTGTGCATCTGGTCCAGTGTGTACCCTGGCACGGGCTGCAATCCCATCCAACGTGTCGTCCCACATTGCATCCTGTGCTTTCAAGACAGGATCTGGGTTGCCACAGCCATTGCCAGGAATATGTGGCCTTTTGACAATGGATGAATTGATTGTAATATTCAATGTGGCCAATGTACTAGGATCATTACGTCATGTAGAGCTGGCTGTGTGCAATTGTGTGACGAAGAGAGAGGCAGCATATTAGATCTACTGATATAAGTCTTGACTAGACTAGTCATTCTCTTTTACCTCTGTCCATTATTAATAGTTTGAGTTTTGCCCTCTGTCCATAATGGATTTTTTTACTTCCATTTTGCCATTATCAAAGCTTTGTGCGCAACCTGGAAACATAACTTGAACTACAGTGGCACCCACTCAGTGCACCCCCATACCGTTGTCTAGTACCAAATGTTGTTTTTGTGAGTCTTTTCTTTATTTTTCTGCTCCTGTGACTCACTTATATCATATCTCACCTTCTGATAACTTTTTTGATTTGGATTGTTATGACTCCAGCAGTGTATGCAGTTGCTGTAAACTGCTCTGATGGTTAACATTAATCCTACACTTTCTCTTTAATTTTGGCAGCAATGTATCAGATAAGCCCGTCAAATCGTGGCATGTGTTGCAGGGTTACAATAAAACTGGTGCACTGTATCAAGATAAAACTTGCCTCACTTCTGATTTCTGATATAAAACCACCCTCTCAGAAAGGTCTATCATGGCACTTCGGAGTGGAAAGTGTTTAATGGAGCTCCACTCTGTGTCTGTGGTGCCGGTGGTTTTGTCACTCTGTGTAGGAGGAAGAAGCGGTGGCGGCTTATGGGAGAGAGGAGGCCTCAGACAGGCGGCTACAGCAACTGCAGTCAGCCATCAGCCAGTTAGAAGCCAGGTGAGGAAACGCGACACTCTCATTGTGGTTTACCCTATCATCACGGGCACGGTTAACTTCATCTTGCAAGAAAGATTCAATTACCTTCATTTAGAACCAAGAGCCTGACAAAATGATTGCTATGATAACTGTGTTGTTCCCACTCCACTTTACAGCCTCTTTCACTAACGTTCATCAAGTCTGCCTAACACATTAGGCAGTGTGTATTTACTCTAATGGGAAAAGATTTCCAACAGACATTCTCTACATACTGCCAAATATGTCTCCTCTGTCTTGGGGAAAGTGAAACTCTTTTCATATGGAAAGAGTTTGAACTCCGGGAAATTCTCCAACCTGTTTTGTGGAAATAAGCTTTGCTTAGTTCAGGACGTCTAGTCCCTCCGAACAGAGGTGCTGCATGTCCTGTGTCTTTTGATTAATAGAACAAGCTTTCTAATTAGATTTAAAAATGGAAGAGATTTACTCTTTTTAAGAATCTTATTTTTAACATGCATTTTAAAAAAGTTCAGGTGGGTAGCTACGTTAGCATGCGTAGTCTGCAAAGAAACAAGTAATAGGTTTATTCCAGGATGAAAAGAGAAGAGAGAAAACGCAACTTTCGGCTGTGAAGCCTTCTTCGGGCTCACACCTGAAGAAGGCTTCCCAGCAGAAACGTTGTGTTTTCTCTCTTCTCTTTTCAGCATGGAATAAACCTATTACTTGTATTTTAAAATAGTTTATTTTAGTATCTTCCATCTGTGGATATCGTATTTGTTCAGAATGTGAGAATAATTGCTCAGATATCCCTTTTACAGTACCTGCAGCTGTCATTGCGTGGACTGTTTATTGTTGCTAAGCTCCATGTTATAATTTGATTTGAAAGAGTAACTTGGAAAACACCTGTTTTCTTTCCACCATTTTCCACTTCTCAGCAATTTAAGCTGCATGCTTTTAAAAGTAAGCATGCTGGAATGTTTTAATTACTGTTTTGACTCTGGTGCAGAGACCAACTTTGCATTGGCCTTAATGATAACCGAAATGAGGTGGCAAAACCTCCTTTTTACAAAATCGTGTTAAGATGAAGGTATGTATCCCCAAAGCAGAAATTCTTATTCGGTAGATTCATATAGTTTGATATATTTTTATACCCAAAATCAAAGGCAGCCCATTCTACATACTTGATTCCAAAAGAAAATGGGTTTCTTATAAATCGTCATCGCCTAGGTTGTAGAGGTTAATAACTTGCTTTGTTTTAAATGTAAAGATAATCTTCAAATGATGCGGATTTTAACTCTTTTAAAATCCTCCCGAGAAAGTCAGACTTGATTTAGTTGGAGCTATTGTGGAAGCCCCCATTTGTCCACACATGCCATCTGGTTGACTGTTTTGAAGGCTAAAGGTGGCCACCCAAGAGGCAGAGCAGGTAAGGAAGGACAGGAGTGTCTGGGAGCGACAGGTCGGGGAGCTCCAGGGGAAGTGTGCCTGCCTGGAGGAGGAGAAGTACGAAGCCGTGGCTAGAGTTCGAGACAACATTCAGCTGGCAGAAGAGGCTACGCTGCAGAAAGATCAGGTGACGTTTACTTGGTTGCCATCCCAGTTTCAAAGAAGGAAGCCAACAGAGTAACTGGCCGTACTGACATTGCTTTGCTGGGTCTGTGGAGCCCTAGGTCAAGATGTCCTGTAGTGCTGAGAAGAGATGGGGATCTGGTTTGAGATCCTTTTACCATGTGTCATGTGTTCATGTAATGGTTTTTTGTTAATTACTGGTATCTTCCCTGTGCTGTCTTGGTGAACTGTTTCTTCATTCTGTTTTGTTCCTAAAAGTGTGATTCCACAACTTATGCTCTGATTCTGTATAGAAATATAATTTCCTACTTTGCTAATCAAAATGTTTTGGTAAAGGAAAAGCCGAATTCTTGCTAAAAGTCGATCATTGTAATAGGTCTAACAGATTTAATGAAAATTAATGTATGCTGTCAGTAATAGAGTAAAACAGATACACAAAATCTGTTTTAATTACTTTTTTACATTCTTGATTCATTCTTTAATTAGTTACATGTAGTATCTTGTATATACCTCAAATGTGTCTGTTTCCTTGGTTTTCGGCTTCAACATTGATCCAGGTTAGATTTGCTTGATTAGTCACTGGTTAGTCATTGTCATCATTCTTTTCATGCCTTGCTGACCTCATTCCATGGAATTTCAGTTCAATTTACGTATAGTCTGATTAATCCTGTCGAAAAGGGCAGAGGCCTTACTGAAAGGGGGGTTGTGAGATTGCTTGCTAATTCTGCCACAGTGTTGTGGCTCTTCATCATCACTCTAGTGAAAACGAGAATACTTCTGCATGAGAGGTCATGATGCATGTGGCTGCAAGATACAATTTCTTGATCGCTAGGGCTAATAACACTTAAAAGCACTGCAATGTGTTTACAGTATATGTAGCTAAAACTACAATAAATCATTTGGATGATTAATTCTAAAACTTAGAATGCACTTAACAAACTGCTTATTTTATAATGTTTGATGGTTGTTGCACATGGCAGGTAAAACTTGTATGTTATACTGATACACAATGGAAACGCAACATTCTTACGAGATTAGATCATTGGGCACATTTTAAAACAGATGGGTTAGACAAAAAAACAAACCTGTTCAATGTACTTTTGTATAACAAAATACTGAGCTCTCTCCATGTGATTTTATAAGACCACCAGTTGTCCATTATTTGGTGTTTGTTTAAATTGCTAAAATGAGGTGAATAAGAATTAGCTTGCTGTTGTTGTATATTAGGCACTTTGTCCAGAATGGTAAAGTTCAGATATCATTCTTAATAGACAGTGTGTATATATTTAATACATTAGGCTAAAAATAAAGTTAGAAGTTGGGACTAGCAAGAAAATGTATTAAAGATGGTAGTACCTTCCCTGTAGTCAGGAAAACTTGAGCATAACAACCTGGCTTTTTGGTTGCAGCCAATAAATGTTGATTAACTTAGAAGACACAAACACCAATTTATTTCCAAGATTTACAAACTAACATAGGTTATTATTTACAAGTATTCACATTAAATGTTACTGCCTAGATCCCGCCCTGATCAAAGGCCAGACTTAGCCATCTGGGACTTTTGGTGGCAAACAGATCCCAACAGCGGGGATGAGAGACAGATTCAGTAATAGAAAGACCAAGTGAATTATATACAAAACATTTCCCACTCAGGACAATACTTTCGAAACGCATGCAAAACCAGAGATCATGATCTCCTTTGTCAAGGCCTGAGTATAATTGAACTGTATTAAACTGAACGTGAGCAACCTGTTCAGTGGGTATTAACTAATCTGTATTGGGATCTTTAATGTCCCTGTGGCATGTAACACTATCAGCATGTTTGAAGGTGGCCTTACTTCTAGAGAACTTGTGCTTCAGCAGTCAGGCTAGTCCAGAGGAAATTGGCTCTGTGAAAGGCTGGCCATAGTCTGGAAGGCAGTGTGTCTCCACACTGAAATTCCACAAATAACTTGTACATCAGCACAAAGACAAGAGGCAACTGTAATCAACCAGCCTTTGCAGTCTCACTGCAGCTGCACAGGAAGAGAGGTGGTATAATCTATGCATCAGCACTGTTAAGATTACGATAATGTTCAGAGAGGTTGTACCCAGTTTTAACAACTTCATGAAGTTTTCATGTTGACTTTACATTGCATTTCATACTGAAAACTCATAAAGATCTGTATTTCTCTTCACATTTTCTATCATTTATTTGATACCACTTTATTTGAATAAATCCAGTAGGTCTGAGTGTTGCATTTCTTTTGTGCATCAGTTTGGAATTTAATTTATTTGAGGAATGTCTGTATTTAGTTCATTGGAGACTGCACACATGATCCTGATTAACTAATGTGTAGTTTTTAGTACAGTACTGCTCCCTGTTTTCATTCCTGAGGGAGGATGATTGCCATACATTGTATGTTCCACATGAGCAGCAGAAGACCACATGCAAGAGATTTACTTTTAAGAAACGGTTAATCAAGTACTTTTGTATTTTCAGTATGTAGAGTGGTCTTTTTTTTTTAATTGTTTGGGTTTGTATTCTGAGGCCAGATCTTTGAAAGCCACTTTTTTTGCAGGGTTGAACAAAATATTTACTTTTTTATAGAATTACTTTTAGACATGTGTATGATGTATACCGTACTGTAGGTGTGTACTGTATATGTCAATGTGTGTTATATCCCACACAAGACAGGATGGCCTTTGACAATTTTACTATGTTTTCCTGTTGAGGTTAGATTGGTCTAGCCAACATGATTACAGTATATCCATTTTTACAGTACATATTTTCTTCTTTATACAGTCTACAATCTGCCTGGAAACAACTTGCATTCCTAAAGTTGCCTTGTGATTATAATTAGTGATACCTGTTGTTCTATTTGCTGAGTTAACAGGCACTTCTGAGAGAAAAACAAAAAGATGAAGAGCTGGAGAAAATGAAAGAGGCCATTTCGCAGTTAATTCAGGAGGCTGCAGTTCGAACAAGGAAAGAGGCTAGTGTCTTTGTCTTTTTTTTGTATATGAAACGCACGCTCATGACACAGAAATTAAATTAAGTATTCCCAGTAGACAGCAAAGTTTTGTTGGCAGAAAAAAGTAAACTTAAACTTTCTCTATAGCTGTCGTTTCCCATAAAATGTTCATTTTCAGTTACATTACAGTTGTACCAACAAGTCATTACAGTGTAAATACAGTTGTGAGAAAAAGTTTGTGAACCCTTAGGAATTATATGTATTTCTGCATGAATGGCTCCTGAAATGTGATCTGATCTTCATCTTAGTCATAATAATAAATAAAGACAGTCTTATTTAACAAACACACTAGTGCAATATGACCTGATCAAAAGAGATTTCAGAGGACCTCAGAAGAAGAGTTGTTAAGTGCTTATCTCAAAATTAGAGATTTTGTCTAAAACAGCTTTTACTGTGACATCTTGTAATGGTGATAGAAGTGTATTTTTTTTTTACAGATTATTCAACTTGGAATAAAAAATATATGATTTAGGACTGAGTTTTCAGTTTAAGGAAACAATGTTTTATGTTTTAACAGATTCTGAAAATACTAGTTTAATGGACTTCAGATTTTTCAGACAATATTTGCTATAGTGGAACTTTGTTATTAAAACTGGGGAAATACCAGACTGTCCCCACAGTAATGGGGAAAATACACACATAATAAAACAAGATAAAAGATATGCCTGAATTTTACATTTATGTAGTATTAATGGTGTCCTACAGGAATAGGTCAGTTGCTTACAATGGGTGTTGTTTTTGTTTTGTGTGCTTTACAGAATTGTATATACAGTATACAGTATTAGTATGTTTACGATGTGAAGAACTTGTATATTTATGATAAAATGGCAAAGGAACAATCTTCATTAACCCTGTCAAAAGAACCAGAAAGCATATATACGTTGTGTACATATTTATTATATATATTTCTAATATGATATTGTGTGTTTGGTCTGAAAAAAACTATGATTAAACGGCCATTTGAACTTGAACTTTATTGCCATGTGTAACCGGTACATATACTGGTACAATGGAATTCTTGGCAATAACGAACAGCCATTCTCCCATTAGTCCATTAAATGGAGGGTTTATTTATCTTGAAAAAAGAAGGAGGAGCATTTTCTAATTAATATTATATGTATTACAATATAAATGGTACATTAAGCAGTCATTGGAAAACCTAAAAAAAATCTGCCTAGGTAGGTGAAACTCCTGGTGTTAATTACAGATCAGAATTATGGTGAAATTGCAATTGCAGTGCTGTTTTGTACTTTTTCGTGGTAATCACATTTCCAAATACATCAAACAACAAGAGGCAAACATGCTTATGTACACAGCATATTCTAAATAATATAGTCAAAGTCACAGGTAGGAATACACAATGAAACTGGATACATTTTGTTTGTTTAAACAAACTAGGCCATAAGCAGTTAATCAGAAGTCTGTGGCGTACATGAAGAACATGATTTTCTCAAACCTACTGCCTAAAAGAATATCTCACAGATGTGCAAACCTGTACACCAAATTAAAAGCAAGCTTGTCTTTAAATACAAGTAGCTTAAAGTCTCTTTATATCCTTTTCCAAGATACCATTTCCATATTTGGAAGAAGTGTTTCACCCAATATTGAGTTAAAATACCTTAATTTTAAAAAATGATGTGAAAAACCTGGAACTCTTTTTTATTTATTTTTTTAATCTGCTACCCAGTATATTTCATTGAAGTGCTTAAATTATAGTAATATTTTGCATTACCGCTCACCTTTAGGTATTTATTGATTTGTTGAAAATTGCTGTTCCTCATGGTAAGTAATGTCAAGGACCACTACATTTCAAATACGTGTTTTTACTTTGTCTTGGTTTTGAAACCAAACCTTGGTCTTTGAAAGAACGCTGTATCATGTTACATGAGTGTGTGTACCAGTCTAATAAGCCATAAGCACATTACTGGGAGAAATAAATGAGTCTCTCGACTGAGCTTGTTAGGTTATTGAGCTGCGACAGTTATTCTACGAATGTAGTGGCTTTGTTCAGTCTCGGGGAGAAGATTACACTTGAGAGGCACGTGCAGCATGTTTCCGATTGCTGTCTTACTCACTGGGGTGGGGCTAGGTTTTCTTCAATCAGTGAGGGAAGAGAGAATTGGCCCCCTGGTGAAAAAGCTGTTTGAAATATCCCACCCTGCTCTTAAAAGCTTTCATGAACAGTGCCTGCGGATGAATTCATTATTTAAGTTGCTGTTTATGTTGTCAAACCAGATGACAAGAACCTAAAGGGACAAAAGCAGTGTTAGAAGGGGCGAAAATAAAAATGTGTGAAACAATTACAGACTACTACTATTAAATTAAATACCATTACACTTATATTAAGAACATTTTTTGAATATTAATGCTTTTAGAAGTGCAATACTGTAACACTGTATTGTTCTTTTATCAATTCAATTGATTGTTCCTGGATTTGAATAGTATAGTACAGCAGAGGCAGTATTGGAAATAATTATGGAAACACCCTGGTATTAAACCCAGTGTTCAAGGGAATCCTCAATTCCTCAAGCTTTGTCACACTAAACTTAATCACTCTAGACAGGAAATTAAAATAATAAAATGTCTTTGACACATGGTGATACTACATTATTAATTGAATTGAAGCTTAATAAGAGAAGGAGAAAGTGTCTGAACAAGAGTAGTGTAAACATGGAACAGGATCGAGAGAAGCAAAGATCAGCCTCAAATGTTTTTAATTATGTATAAGAAATTGATTTTTTATTTCAATTTTTAATTAATTTGTAATTATTGGATTTTTTAAAGGTCACGGCTAATAGTCGTTGTTTAACTGTAAAACATTAACTGCTGATACACATTGTACTGGTTGATTGATAATATGCGGAGCGGTGGCTCTGTGTCTAAGGATCTGCGCCTGTGGCTGGAAGGTTGCCGGTTCAAATCCCGCAGCAGAGGAATCCTACTCCGTTGGGCCCCTGAGCAAGGCCCTTAACCCCAACTGCTCCAGGGGCGCTGTACAATGGCAGACCCTGCATTCTGACCCCAGGCTCTCTCCCTGTCTGTGTGTCTCATGGAGAGCAAGCTGGGGTATGCAAAAAGACCAATTCCTAATGCAAGAAATTCTAAAGGGTTAATAAAGTGATGTTATAATCACGTGATTGATTTGTATATTCAAAGATTCTTTCCACATTTGCCATTTGTCTCTCACAAGTCTCAGGGACCTGTTTCTTCACAGCCAAACATTTTACCTTGTTTCTGAAAAACATTCACCATGCAGATACATTCTTTCTGGGAATGTCTCCTCACATATTCCTGGCTTAAGCATTTGAAAATGATAGCATGAGGCAAGGGTTATTTGCTGGCATTGTGTATCTTTGTATATCAAGTTTCTCTCAGAGGCGATTGACTCACTATGTGTGAGTTCTAGCCCTACTTTAGGTTTTAGCAACTAATGTTTGCAAGACCCTGAGAGTGTGGATAAGAGAAGAGGTTAAGATGGAATCTGACCATCATACAGTTTACCTGAGGTTTATTACAAGAGACACTGATATACAGTACATCCTTAATTAAACTTACAAGCTCTGCAAAGTCACTTGCACTTGGGTTATCTCTGAGTTGCTCTATTGCTATAATTCTTGGTTTGTGTCAAAATTGAAATGTAATAGCACACACCATACCTGTGCATAAGAAATCACACTAAATAATACAAATAAACTGTAAAACTGTGAGCTGAGCTCATGAAATCCATTATTAGTTCATTATTTCTTCTTTCAAATATGATGGGAAAAAAGCAGCAAAATTGGAATGTCATTCTAGCTAATTCCAATGTAGCCAGTGAGTATTAATCTTGCCAGAATGTTTTACATGAAGTAAAAACAAAAATCAGTTGTGCTAGTTAGAGGTGTGTTTAAAAAAAAAAGTAAAGGAAAAATGTCCTCAGAGAAAGGTCATGCCATCCATTTGTGAATCTTCAGAGTGTAACCTTAGCACAGATGAATCACTGCAGCTGGAGGCTGCATGCACAGTGTATGGAGAGCACACAGTGATTCAGGTATGATTCAGCATTGGATAAGTACTTCAAAAATAACTACTGACTGGGACTCTTTCTTATGGCAAAGGTTAGGTGTTAGAGAAAATTGAATTGGGAATGCATTGTATGAGTATCTTGCATGAGATACAGTAAGTATTTGTGAGTAAGGATTTGTGAACATGTAGTATTGAATTGCTTATGTCAACACCATAGGTGTATTACTGTACTGAACAAACTTAATTCATTATGATTTGATAAAATATTGTAATATTTTTCATGATCAGTTAATGGCATTAAAGTATTTCCTTTTTTACCCAGCATTATCATCAAACATTTTTTTCTCTTTTTTTCTTTTAAATTCAGGTTGAAAATGTCAGAAAGCAATGTAATGTGCAGATATACAGACTAGCTGAGGAACTCTCTGCTCTTCAGCTGGTATGTAAACTGTTGGAATTAAGTATTAAACTATGAAGTTTCTTTTAGTGTGTTAAATATGGTATATCTGGTGTGTTAGAGAATCTAGTAGTCCAATTTCATTCAGTTAACTCCACGTTTTATTGCCAACCACATCAAAACACAACAGCTGACACCATGATGAGAATTTTCAATTAGTGTAAATGAACATAAATATAGCTTAAGTAGGTAGCTGCGTCAGCATGCGTAGCCTGCAAAGGAACAAGTAATAGGTTTATTCCATGCTGAAAAGAGAAGAAAGGAAACAACGTTTCGACTGTGGAGCCTTCTTTGGGTGTCATTAATCGTATATTTACTGAGCCACAGAAATGAGAAATAACAGCACTAGATGAAGTAAATGTGCCACAAAATAAAGGAACTGGCACTTATTTGTGTTATTTTGACACCCGATGAAGGCTCCACAGCCGAAAACATTGTTTCCTTTCTTCTCTTTTCAGCATGGAATAAACCTTATAACTTTTTCCTAAATATAGCTTAGCTTCCTTTAAGGTGTTTTATTCTCATTGCAAATATGTTTTCATTTCATATAATTTTGTATGTTATTTGTATTTGTAAAAACTTCATCTTGCCTTTAGAAATGTGGTCAGTATTAAGGAGCCGTTCAGAGTGATTAATTCTGCCATACGATTAATGAAAATCTGTAAACCTTTACAGCTTTAGATTGATGATTTTTTGAATAAATATTGCTCTGACATTTAGCTTTACAGAAAATAGAAATGACAGCACTAGATGAGGTTAATGTACCACAAAAATAAAGGAACTGACACCCATTTTTGATATTTTAAAGTAGGATCTGTGTTTTCATGTTCTTTGATTTTATTTCAAGGAACAGAAGGGATTATTAATTAAAAAAGTAACAATGAAGCAAGTGAATAATGCATTTGGTTTGTTTTTTCTTTGTAAGACATAGCTGAGTAAATGTTCATTCCTAGTTTTATAGCTTAGTGTGCTGGATTATTAATTACTCTGTTTTGCCAACAAGGAATGTGGTGACAGGGAGGCTCAGATACAGAGAGCAATACGAGAGAAGCGAGCTGTGGAAGAGGAGCTTGAAAAGGTAAAGACTGAAGTGCTGTGTGCTGGACCAATATTTGCCAACAAGACACAAGAATCAATCCATTTTTAATGTTTTGGACTTTCTGAATCACCAAAATCACTATATCTTTTAATAGTGTTTAATTTTCCAAAAATGTGATAAACTATATTTTACCCTTGTACAGTGTGAGGATATTCAGTAATTATGGCAAGTAATCAGTGTAGTTTTTAACAAACCATATCAAGCTAAATTATCCGATGCTATTTCTGTGCGCCACTACATTTATCTGCAATGGTGAGGCTACTGAAATTATAAAAAAGAGGTGGTACATATTGTTAGCAAGAGGAAGGGGGAAATAGATTCACCAAGGAGATAAAGCAGTTCTTTTTTTTTAATTTCCAGTTCAGAATTTAACTGTTTTCCTTAAGAGCTGGTGCTCAGCAACAAGTTACCATAGAGTGGATGTGAGGCAGATGGGTTTGATTGTCACATCATAGAGTCAAACGACACAGAATTGAATCTTCCCTTTGTGCTACAGTCAGATTATATCATTATGTATAATACTAGAAGTCTGAAATGAATTTAAATTATTGTGAAGTAACATTATAGGCTTACATTTATCATTCAGAACCACAGTGTATTCAATTATAATGCCCTGCAGTTTTCATGTTACTGTATATGCTCCAAATGTTCTTTCACCTCAGAAGTAAAAACGGATTTGCTGTGAATTACTGATATGAAGAAGTCAAATTTATTGGAGGTTCCGCCACGTAATTATAGGTATATTATAGTAGTGTAGTGAAGCCTTAAAACTTATGAAACCCCTTTGACTTGATTTAGGTGTATCGTGATGGAAGAGGCAGTGAAGCTGAGTACAGGAAGATAGATGAGCTTCATCAGAGGTGCCTAAATGCTGAGCGATCCAAAGATGACCTGCAGATATCACTGCAGGCATCCCAGACCAAAGTAAAAAAACTAGAGATGAAGTAAGTGCCAAAAATATTCCCTAACACTAGAAAAGTTTCTATTGCTTTTCAGGAATGTTCTCTAGAAAGAACACAGGATAAGTCTGTTTTTCTTATGACATGGTTTCTCATTAACTTGCTTTATGTTTTGCTTTAATAATTCTCAGATAGCAATTCTCTGTCCAGCCTTTGTAAAGGGAGACGTTTTTCTTGGTACGATTTACTTTTCCACCCACAATTTCAATTCATATGTCAGTATCTCCTTCCATTTAATAGTAATTATTTTCAGGTCAAGAACATGTCCTGCCCTGAGAAATACTCATTTCAAAGAGCCCTGTGTGAAATGATTCAGCTGGAATTAAATTCAGCAGTAACAGCAATCCTACAATTGCTACAAAGAAAAACACTAGAAGTGGAGCAACGAACAAGTATTGAAACCAATACCTTTAGCTGTGAAAAAAAACACAAAAAAGCAGCTAATTTAATTTAACGTTTTATTGTTTGTACTATTTGTATTCAAGGTTATAAAATACAAAGTTATTGAATATTAGATTTTGCGTTTTTAAAATTCTGTTTTCTCTTTTTTATATACCTTATGTTAAAGATTACATATATATCTAGATATATCAATTAATATTGAATTTGGATTACTTTTAATTTTAGTATTGTTTAAAAAAACTGTATTCCACACACAGTGTGCCTTTTTAGGCACATTGTGTGTGGCAAGAAAGTTTCTAGCTATTACACTCACGATGTAGTTGGATTATCTGTAAATCATGAATGTTTCTTATTTAACTACCTGTTAATTATATTTCTAGGAGAATTCAGACCAACTGAAGTCCACACAGGTTTAGAGCAGAAGAAAATTTATAAATGAAAGGAGGCTATTTGGTAGATCATAAGTAATTCAATGATTTTGTCTAGCCATTCTTGAAAGGAAGCCAGGGTATGGTCTTTAACAGTAAACATTTGGAAGTGTATTCCATACTCCCACAACGCTTTGTTTTTCCCGTTCTTAATTTTCAACACATTTCCACATTGTTTCCACTTGAGTCCTCTGATTCTTTTTTCACTGTTGATTCTGAAGAAATTCATTAAGATCGATTTTGTCAGTACCTTTGAGGATTTTGAATATTTGATCTGGCTACCCTCACAGTCCTCTCCGTTCAAGCATAAAAAGGTTTGGTTCTTTTATTCTGTTAGTGTAGAACATTCCTTTAAAGCTATGAATGAATTTCATTCTTATCTGGAATGATTCCAAAGCAGCAATTGTTTTAACACATTTTTGTGACTGAAATTGTGCACAATCTTCTAAATAAAATATTACTAGCAAATTATGCAAATTCAATATGACATCAGTTTTAATATCAAATCCTTAACTTTCATCTGTTAAACCTATTATTGGTTGCCCTTTTATTATTCCCCAGCATTGTCCAAAAAAAAGAAAAAGATAGTTTAATGTCAATAAAAACACCCACGTCTTCTTCACAAGTAGTTTCTTCAAGTGTTCCTTATTCTGTGTGTATAGATTTGTATGTTTTGCTACCTGTGTGTATTACTTTACACTTAACTACATATTCATCTGCCAAGAGTTTGCAAAAGTTAGCTGCCCATGGAAATGAAGTGAAAATGAGTGTACAGTAAATCATGACTATAGGTGCGCAAAAACCACAACAAGGACTTTACTGGAACATGAAACTTGTTATATTGTATCTTTGATTAAGTGGCTTTGCCTTCCTGCCTTCCTTGTCCCCAGCTATGAGGAGGAGCTGTCTCGCTGCCGGGAGACCGTACAGAAGCTGCAGGGGGCGCTGGCCGTGGCCCGGGAGGACTGCGACAGTGTCAGCGAGGAGAGGCTGCAGCTGCAGCAGGAGAACCAGCAGCTCCGCAAGGAAATGGAGGACCTCAGGAAATCCAGCCTTAAAGCCCAGAGGATGGCAAAGCAACAGGTGCAAGGCTCTTCAGACCTCAGGGTTTCCAATAGGTGTTGGCTGGGGACTCACTTTTCAATTTCACATTTCCACGAGGAACACAGAGGAATAAATGTTTAGTACACGTTCTGTAGAACAAGCAGGTTTATGGTTTGAGTAAATCAGAGGCACTCTCACAGTATATATTTGCAGCAATTGACATTACTTCTCTAATAATAATAGTATTTTTAGAACCTTCTTTAGTCTGAAGTTTCAAAACCTGTCTCAGGACCACATTATTTATGTCTGCTCTTCCAAAGATTTGCCATAAAGATTTAGCCCTTCTTATCAGGGTTTGAGGGCTCGGCATTCGCTATTTTTGCTCATTATTTGAGGTTTTGAATTTATCTGCAAATGCCTGCATTTGAATGACACTTTCTCCTTTTTTATTTAGTAGGCATTAATACAAGATTAAAAGATCAAGATCCCCATGGCTCAGATGTACCATAGTCATATCCCCATGCAGCTTTGTTGAGAAAAGATTCCTACTGAGTTTTACAACATGTCAAGTGGGTTTTTTTTGGTAATGAGAGCCCATTGTTTTATTTGCAGGTTAGCCAAATTGAGACGCACAGTAACACAGCTGTACAAAATACAAAATATGGGGTAACAGAATATTCCTTAAGGAATATTCTGTTAAATCTTTGATTTGAACATTTATTCCGAAACATGTACTTTGGTTGCGGTACATGTATAATGTCCATTTATGGCTTCATGGCTTGCAAGGGAGTCACTTTGAATAGTGATTAAAATATAAAGAGATGTGCTGATAGGGGCACTTGTCAGATATGCTCAGTTCTTGACAATGAAAGATTGAGTGTTAAAGTTGGTTCCCCAGGTCTCTACAATGGAGCATGAGTTCTCCCTAAAGGAACATGGGCTGGAAGCCAGAGTGAGGGAGCTGGAGGAAAACAGCAGGGCTTCCAATAACGAGCTGAGTCGGCTGCTGATGGCCCAGCAGAAGACAACCAAGCGCTGGAAGGAAGAGTCTCGCAAGCTGGCTGAAGCCTTTGAGCTGAAGATGAGCAGCCTGAAGTAAGTACGTGTATACTTAATCACAAAATAGGAGATTGAAAACTGTCGTTGCTTTCCAATTTTGTAAGACATCCAACGCAGAGATTTGTGGAAAACAGTCGTCATATTGATTGTATTGTACTGATGTTGGTAGCTTTCAGGTGGTGTTCATAACACCTTGTTCATTTATGTATTTCCCCTGTGTCGAGTATAATAAGGTTTTGTAGTTCAGAGTTTGGGATGAAGGGCTGAATTTGGAGTGGCTACTTACCATTTATGTTATATTTGATCTTTTTTTGCTGTGTCTTGCCTAATGTCAGCAGGTGAATGAAATGCAGTGAATATTGTATATAACCCATGCTCTGTGTTGGTACTACAATATTAAAATGCTTTGGGCTATGCTTCTAAAGTGCAAAAATAAATGAAGAAAAACATTTAATTAGCAGTGTCACACTAATAGGTTAAACTTTTTTATTTAATATAGTTTCAGCAAAAGTGCAAATGGCTTAGTTTTCTCAAATTTGGACTGAGGCCACATCTTTGTAATTAATATTTGCACTTGAGGAATGAAGTCTAGTGAGTAATATTGCTCTGAGAAGGTTTTAAGATGTTACTTAACTAGATCATTTTATAAAATGAATCAGATGTGTCCATTCATTTTCATTTTAAGCTAAATTAAAAGTGAATTAAAATGTGACATTTACCTTTTTATGATTTCAAAAAAAGGCTATAAAATGTTTAAATGTCCTTGTTCTAGACTACTGAGCAAAAATTACTTTGCTGAATGACAGGGAAGAATTAATCTTTTTTCAGTTTTGGCTTCTAAACTTTAGCATTATTAAAACAAGTGAATGAAAATACTTGAACATATACATGGAAAGAAAATGACAAAAAATAAATTTAAAAGGTTTTGAAAGAATGTTTGATTTCTATAAGAACACAGGAAGGGTTAGAAACAAGAAGGGAACATTTCACCCAACAATCTGGTTCCCACATTATCTGGTTTGAAACCAGTACTTTGTTTGGGAAAAACTCACCAAAAGATCAATTATTTAAAATTAATATTTTCCCATTTCATAGCGACTGGCATAGATTTTATTAATGAGACGACAAGAAATTTTGCATAGTTAAAATTCTGATTTTCTTTTATGCTTATTTATTGGATCAAATAATTCAAAATACCTCACTCGCATTTTTACTTGTGTAACCAGAAATCAAAGAGTGTTTCTTTTTTAACTAGATCTAGCCCTCCATTAATTACATTTCTAGGAGAATAAAAACCAGGGTCACTCTAGAACATAGGGCAAAAGTGAGAGGAGGCCTTTCAGCCTGTGGAGTATGTTGCAGGTCCAATAGTTCATTGAGCCAAGGATTTCATTCAAGGAGTCAGTGTTTGAGCTTCAACAACAAAGATTGTTTTTCATCATTTTAAATGCACATTTATAGTTTTTACATAAGTTCCATGCTTTGTGTTTCGCCGGTGATTCCGTAGGACTAGCATTATCAGTGTTCTTGAAGACTTTGAATACTTGAATTAGGTCCCCTCGTAGTCCTTTGTGTTCAAGACTGCAGAGATTCAGTCCTTTGATGACATTCCTTTAAACCCAGAAGTGTATCTGTTTGCTCTTCTTTGTACTGATTCCAGAGCAGAAATATTTGTTTTGTAATAGTTCAGGTAGGGAGCTGCGTCAGCATGCGTAGGCTGCAAGGGGACAAGTAAAGGTTTATTCCATGCTGAAAAGAGAAGAAAGAAAACACAAAGTTTCGGCCACGGAGCCTTATTCTTGACACCCGAAGAAGGCTCCACATCCAAAACATTGTGTTTCCTTTCTTCTCTTTTCAGCACGGAATAAACCTTTACTCGTTCCTTTGTTTTGTAATGTCGTGCAAATTAATTAATTATAAAAATTGCACAACAAATAAGGTTTGTTCATTTGTTTGCTTGAACTTGTAGCATGCCAAAAGTTGAACTGCTTGTTGATTAGGGGGTTGGGGGACCTAGCCTACACCTCCTCCTACTCCCCATGTATGTTATTGTTGTGAGCTGAGATTTAAAGCCACAGCTGATGATTTCAGGTTGGGTGGGTAGGTACCACAAAATCAATTTTAATAGAAACACAAAGTATAATTACTAACAAAAGAAGTAAAGAGAGATGGATAACTGATAAAAGCTTTCCAGACAGGTGGTTGAAGCCAAAACTTCTGGCCTCCTTCAACAAGTGGTAGGATGACATTGGTGATAACATTTATAATTTTTTTTTTATGTAATCTTTCATTACACTTGATAGTTTAATTGAGAACAAATTCTTATTGTGCAATGGTGGCCTGGTGATTAGCTGTTTATGTGACAGGGCATTTTGCTGGAGTCATCTGAGCAGCATACCCCACATAATTATATACCACAGCCTCCCAGTCTGTAGTCCAGAGCCTAAACAATACTTCTTTACTGCTGTCCTAAGGCAACTAATATACCAAATGAGCAAGATGGGACAAATTGTCGCCTCTCATTTGTAGGCTTATGTAAGAAATTCTCTGTGGTATAACTCCAGAAACCCTGGGTCATTAAGACAGAATTTACTTTTAAATTTGGCCTTAAACTAAGAGCATTAATCATGTAGAGCACCTTTTCTGCTATGAATATTGGTGCTTTACAGTATATTGCCTTGCACAGCACACCGTAAAACTGATCGCCTGTTTACTATTCCTGTCATCAGTCATATTGAGTAAACAATGAGCAGTGTTACTGATTGATCTGAAGATGCATTGTGCGTTGGCATGATTTTCTTTGTTAATAACTCCCAAAAGAATTAACAACTTGTAAAGCATCCATCCATTATCAGGAAGCTGCTTATTCCTGGCATGGGGTGAGGCACCCCAGAGACTATCCCAAAAATATAGAGTACAAGGTGGGATTTAACTCCCAAAGAGAAGTCCATCACAGTTGAAGTGCACACTTGCACATATCCAACCAGCCACATAAATACACTGAAAATAGAGACACTAATGAACAGAACTAGCTACCATGGCACCTACAACATGCTTACATATAAAAAATAATATACTGAGCATCAAAAGCCGATTTAATTTCTAAAAGCATACATATGTAGTGATAAAAATACATTGGAGTGAGTTGACAGAGCACAGGTGATGAGGTAATTTAACCTGTTGAATATCAAGCTTTGTGAAAATCAGCAAAGAAAAACTCAAAAAAGCACCTATACCCCCCTGCTAAAGAACAATGCTTTTGTGCTAGCGGTATGCTAGAGCAACCGCAGGTGGACTTGCCAGAATTTAAGCCCAGTCCTGTACAGTGCAAAATCCAGGCCTTGTGTAGACCACTCTGATGGACGTGAGTGAGAGTGATGCCAACGCATATGCTAATTGTGTATAAGAGACCAGTCCATGGGGAGGTCCACATGTGAAGGTCTGGACAAAGGTATCTAGTAGGTCCTCACGCAGCTCGCTTTTAACAACAGCTCGCTTTTAAGACGAAAATGTGACAGTAAAGCATTGGATGTGAGCTCACCAGGAAACGGGCCTCATGGAACATTTGTAGGATTCTCAAAAGAAGGATATCCCTTAATGCTCAGGGACTAGTGAGTGGGCACATGCTTTTCAAGAAGAATGGGAACAAATCCCGCAGGACAGCCTGGAGCAACCCATGGGTCACAAAAGTACATTTTTTACCGGTTTCAGCGATGGCCAAACACACTACTAGATTGGGATTGTTGGTTGTTAATCAATATCATGAATTTACATATGTAATGTCCATTACAGAAAGTGTCAACATGCCTGCTATGAAAAAAGGTTATTTTCCTTATAACTCGGTGAGTTTATCGTTTTTAGACAGAAATTTCTTTTGATGCTGAGTATATCAAAGATGGGGACTGTGGTTAGCAGTTTAGATGCATAAGACAGAATAAATTCTCATTGACTGTTTTATTTTCCATTTTAGAATAAGAAATCAAACTGAGTGGTACAAGTGTAAAATTCAGATGTATTCCCTTTAACAGACAAAGATCTAGAAAACAAAGACTTGTTTTAATTTACAAAATTTGCAAATTGTGCATGCTATAAACATCTTATGAGTATTGAAGGGCTCACGCCTGTTATAAAAAAGTAATAAAATATAAGCACCTTATCTCGAGGAACTAATCATCTGACAGCGGCCTGCCTTTGCTCTTCCAACCTTGGTGGTCGTTCAGAATGCTAACAATGCAGTGAGTATGCCACATGAATACTTTATTAGAGGATTTGGATTGAACACTAGACTTCAAGGATTCAGAGGATTCAATGAATACATCCCCCAAATATATAAAAAAAACTTTATCCTGGACACTTTTACAGTTGATAATCTTTCTATAAGCATGTATCACTTACGAAAATCTTGGGCCCGTAGTTTATAATGAGTGCTTTAAGAGAGAAACATAGTGGCAAAGGTTGTTGGATCCCAAGGTGTCTGCTGTTATTCATGAGCAATATATATATATATATGGTCTTTTACATTCTGGTAAGTTTATTCCTTTTGATTGTGTAGATTGTGTTGTTTTTTTTTCCAGTAGACTTGATTGCATCGAATACATCAGTACTTACTGTATGTTTCTCAGGTAAATGAATCGAGGATACAGTGAAACAGCATTGAGTTCAGTCAGACACAGTTTCTCCCAGCATTATCTCCTCTGTAGATCAGAGACACATAAAGGTGCATTTTTTCTCATTACAGATGCCTGCAGTTCAGCATTCCATAAAGGATTGTTCTTGTTTTTTAATGCTGTTAATGTAGTCTTGCTGTGATGTTAAGTATGTCAAACTGAGTTTTGTTTATATGTTGCAGTCAAAATATTCAGTCTTTGTTTCCTTACTCTCTCACTAATGTAAACTTTGTTGGGTGTCATCAAACTTCTCAGGAAACATGAATGTGTTCTTGGGAAATATTTTTGGCATTGAAATGGTTGATCATTAAGCTAATGCAGTTAATGAACACTTTTTTCAATTTTTAGGAGTTTCATATAATAAAGATTATTCTTCCTGGTGATTCTGTCATTCTGAGTAGGAATGTGGATAGTCATATTTGTTTTTGAGCAATGCTTTTGTTTTTCAAAAATGGTTTAGATCAGTGTCTTGAGGATTGATCATCTACATTTGGTGGGTGCGGGCTCTAGGTGCACTGTGTAAGAATTGACTTCTCACTAGTACCTATAATTGTACTGCAATAAATTATTCATTATCTGAAGGATTCTGCTGTGTCAGGTCAGTGGGTTAGAGTGTAAATCTGCAAACTCAGTGTGATACCTGTTCATCCTGCATTAATTAATGAGTAATAAAGCAAACCATGTTCCTATAATGGGTTTTCCGCTTTCCTTAGGATATCCAATTTGCTCATTTCCCCCTGCTGTCAACTACCATGTGACTCACAAGATCTAAAGAACCAGAAGGTTTCCTAATACAAACCACTTCCCCCATTCCCTCCCAGTTTTTCAGAGGAAAAAAAATCAGACAAAAGAATGTAATTTAATTTAAGAAATTGATTTAAAGAAATACAGTCATTTGAAACCCATTTCATTGAGTGAGACAGTTGGGGTAGTAAGAGTAAACCAGTCACTGTTTGGTTTTGTTGACTGGTATATTCGTTTTTTGCGTTTTACTTTTTTTTATACAAAATGACTGGGTAATTGGTAATTGGTTTGTCCTTTCTGCTGCAGTCCTCATGTGAGTGTGGGAAGGATGAAGCTTGTCGAAGGCTGCTCTAACAAATGGGAACAATCGGGGAAATTGGATTTTTAACAGTGCATAAAGAGCATGCCCACAGCTGAGTCTGCGCCTGTTATAGGAGGGGGGCAGCTCTTACATACATCCATGCAAGCTCGCGGACTCCCAGGTGAAGCCACAGGGGATGTCAATTGCAAGGCAAGCTGAAACTACCAAACCACAGCAGCTCATGCCGAGAGTTTTTTGGCAAAGTGGAAGAGTTTTTTTTTTTCGTCAGAAGGGTGTGAGCTGTGAAGTAATTCAACCCATGGACTGTGCTTTACAGGAGTCCAGTTTTGTCTTCATGGCTGGGGTTGGTTAATTCAGTGTTGCAATTCTGGGTCATTTGACCTTCAGTTTTTATCACACACAAATGCAGAATTTGAGTACGTCAACTGAAGGAGACTCAAGCCTTCATCATCAGGACTGAGGAGCATTAAGACACGGACATAGACTTGCTTAGTTAACCAAAATGACGCTCTTGAGGTTTTTGATGTGTATATACAGTACTGTAGAATGAGTATGTGAAGTTATTTTCAGTGTTTTTGTGGTCATAACTTCCAAAAAGAATGACGAACAACTGCCTGGAAAAACACTTCTGAAGGCTGACTTTTCGGGGGAGCCATCTGGGTGATTTAGACATAGATTAACTCATGACATCAATAGGCAATAAATTGACATAGACATGTCCAGATTTTTGTCAGGTACACCCTGCTTCTACCATTTTGTAATTCTACCATCATGTACTTTATAAGGTTTGAAATTTGTGATTCACAGGTGTGCTGATGTTTTCCCTTAATCTGGGCCTCACCCTAAAAATCAGCCTGCTCAAGCATTAGCTACACCTATTTGCAGTCTTAACACTATGTTGTGTTGTGTTAGTGTAAATGTTTGTCTGGTATGATCAGCACTTCAGAAAGTCATCTTTTTTCTTTGCTGAAAGTGTTTCAGAGCATTGGTTATATCCAAAACATGGGGGGGGAAAAGCTTAATTACTTGATAAAAACAGTCTGAATCATTATTAAGCTATTAAAAGGACAAAAGTTCTTTTGTATAGCACCATTACAGCATTGTGGTGTTCAAACAGAACAGAGCCACATTGTACTGTATTTCAGATTAATTAAGTGCCCAGTGCTTAGCGACACTGAGTGCAAAGACCATTTCTTTACTGTGGTTCGTGGTTTGTGAAACCTGTACTACTGCCAATTGTAGTGAGCTCTGGTTCAAAGAATGTGGGCTGAAGGTTCCAAGGGGATGTTTTCAGATGATACATGTATCAGGCATGTCCATTTAAATGTCAACAGCCATCTTTTTAGTGGCTGCAATAGATAGAATCCTCCAGACTGAAGCAGACATATCTTTCAACTGAAGATCCGGTAGATCGTTCCTGTAAGGCCTTGCTGCTTACTGGGAGATTTCCTTGTTTTCTTGTTTTGAATCTCGCAATCTTTGCTACAAACTGTACCTCCATGTAGATCTACTTCCATAAATTAGCAATCGGAGATGAATGAGAGAAGTAAGTGTATTACAAAACAGACATTTAAAACACAGATGCTCTTTGAACTTTTTAACAATACTTGGGAATTCATAAATGAGAGAGAGCTCTGGATCTTAGATCAGCTTTGGTACTAGTACACAAATCAAATTGTCTTGTGATAGTACAGAGTCACTTCATTGGACCAAGCACTGGTTTAGCTTTCATCTTTATGACAGTTTGCTTCATTAGTTTTTTGCAGTTGCATTACAGCCATTAACTATTTATCATTAGGATGTAACAGTTTTTGGTTTCAGAAGAGTGTGGACTATTGCTTCTGTATCATGTTCAGTATCCACTTCACTGTCCAAAAATAAATAATTGGTCTTTTTTTAACAAAAACACATTGTTTTTAAAGCTTTATAACACTTTTTCTGTTAACCCTTTTCCAACAATATCTTCACCTGCCTGATGATTATGACCTAATCTGTAAATCCTTCTTATTTCTCATAACTGATGTTATGGAAAGTACCAATACTAAGAAATATGCTATAAATATAAAAGTGCAAACATATTTTGCTGTGCTCTAGTCCATATCAAAATTTACATTTAAAATGTAATTAAAGGAGCAATTCTCAGTGATCTCTAAATCAGTTAGAAATGGAAAGCTGAAGAGCCAAGAGAATTTTGGATGTGCAAAATTACATAAACTGTTTTATTACAGTTTATGAAAGCCCATCTGTCCACAATAAGAAATACTGAGAGAAAAATCACAGTGAATACGTAGTAAATCATGATTGTAATGATTTATTGTAATAGTAGTTCACTGTTTGTTATACATAAGCTATAGTTTCAAAAGGCTATAATACTTCTGATCATTTCCTAGTGGAAAACAAATTACTCCAAATGCCAGTCTGCTGTCCTTCAGACCAGTGTGATAGCTTAACTCAGCAGTGACAACTCCATGAAGGTGAAGTACTGAACAAATCAATTCCTTGTCCAATGCAATTTTCTCTGAGCTCCGTTTTAGCGCAAAGCTGATCTATTAGAATTCACAATAGGACCTGAGAGGTATTCCAAAGAGTACCAATTTCAGGAAAGCATGAATGAGTTTTTTTCTTTTTCCAATCAATCAATAGCATTTAAGATAATTAGGCTATGGGCAGTCTGTGCTCTAGTCCCCATTAGTAGGAAGTAAGGTGCCTCTCCTTCACATGGGACATTCTGCGATGCTAATATCTCGAGGGGTGGGGTGGGCACGTGGAAGACCCATGCCTGTTTGAAAGGGTGAACCTCTGTTTTCTGTGATCTGATTGACAGGGCGGAACAGAGTCGTCAGAAGCAACGTTCTCAGGAACTGGAAGCTCTACTCGAAGCAGATCATGAAAAGATTGCCGAGGTAAACTGACATATCGGTTCTAGTACTGCCAAGGTTTTCTTTATCGTAACTTCTGTGCTAAAAAATAAAACTTAAATTGCTGAATGAATGTTTTCCCTTCTCCTGCCTCATTTGTAAATCGTAGCATTTTGAAAGCCATACCTGTATGGTTTAATATTACAGTTCTCCTCCCCCAGAAAACAATAGCAATATCATGCACCTGTGACATGCTCACATCTTTAGATATTCACACAACTTATGTCTGAAACAAATGAGATCCCTTCCTAGGATTTCATTACTTTAACATTGATTCTTTTATTTGACATTTATCATATTGTTGCTGTAATTGTTTTCCCAGCTATTGTACTGTAAACACTGTTTTAGTTTTGCAACCAACTTAAGTTTTGCTTGAAACTCTTGTGTTATTTCCTGCTGGTTTGTTGTACAGTATGTATGTGTGAACTGCTGATAAATACTAAAGAACAATAGCACTCAAAACATATTCCTAAGACCTTGTTTGCATGAATTATTCAAATCACACCTCAAAGACAAAGCTATAGAAAAAAGTGGTAAGGTATAGTAATAAAACCCTTAAAAGTAATAACAGTGTTTAGGTTAGTCACTGTGACAAGTAGAGAGTTATTCTTGTCTCTTATTTAAAGAAACAAATCTCTGTAACTATTTATACACACGGGCTTTTGGAACACATGGAATGATGGATGACTGCTTATGACACTGCAGTATTTTTCAACCAGTTACTTACAGCTTTTGCTGACAGAAACCTGTTATTTATGACAATTATGGCCCATAACGTCAATTGCATGAGCAACTTTTCTGTGCCAACCTTTAGTAGAATATGTGCAAAATAATTATCAAAGTACTGCTGTATACTCCGTATTATTAATAAAAATAATATTATTAATAATCTACTGAAGTAATTTTGTTAAGGTAACTAACATACAGTACCTTGTCTAAGGTGACTTCATGTTTGTACAGTATGTAGTAGTTAATGTAGTGTATGGTAATAAAGCAAAACTTTTATAACACTCCATAATAATATTATAATTTACTCAATAAGCACAGCTAGATACAGTGGTGATGGTAAATACAAGGATGGGTTTGAGGATCTGCATGTGCAGTAGGAAGAGGAGGATTCTGTGGAGACACCAGAAGGGTGTTAGAACTGAGTGGTCCTGATTTGCTTGAGTGAAATTGAATGTGTCGTGTGTACGTTAAAAACTAAAGGATCATGGAAATTATGTCTTGAAATATAGAATGGTCTTCCTAAATCAGTGAATTGCAGTTTTAATATCCTTTATGCAATATTTTCTTTTCTTTAACTAGTATGAAAAACAAATGGCAGAATACCAGGAAAAAAACAGTCGACTCCAAAGGCGCTTGACGCAAGCAGAACAGAGAGCCTTCACAGCTTCGCAGCAGGTACCGTATACATAGACACCACAGAGCAAAAACAAAAGTGTATTAAAACTGTAGATCCTTTATTATAACTATTGTCTTTCCCTTCTGTATGCCTGCAACCATCATGTTACTGTATCCTAGAAAATGTCTTGCAAATATATCACCTGAGACCATATTTTAATGTCCTTCTTGAAGAGACACATCTTGTGTCCTGGATTAACCACTGGTCATCTCCAGTTTGGTTTTGTACAGGGGATTGAACTGAACACGGGCATAAAATATACAGTACTAGCTCAGGATGAGAGATGCAAGTTGATTGGCGAAATGCGTTTGAAGAGGAGCAGTCCGAGTTACAGGCCACGTTTTGCAAAGGAGCGAATGACCCAGTGAGGGTGGGAAAAATACAGCAGCAAATTGTGAGGTGCAAATCATTGTTCTGGAAATCTCCAGTCTCTGGTCGCGTTTGAAGACAGGGTGATGGTAACTGTATTCCATTACTCTTTTAAAGTAACTTTCCTCAACATGCAGTATCAGTCTCTTTCTTACAGAAAATAGGATATTCTTTGAAGTTATTTTTTTTTGAAGAAAAGGAAAAGGAGGCTACATGATGAAACGCCTGCTAAAATGTTTTTGCTCACTTCCAAGTATCTTTTTTTTCTATTTTTTTGCCTTTTCAGCTCAGCAGAATAACCTCCCAGAGAAAGACTGCAGCTTCTGTGGTGGATTTGGAGACTTTGTAACACTGCAAAGAAGTGATACAATACTGAACTGTTTTAGACATTTATTAAACTATAAATGGAGGTGTATATTCAGTGTCATTCTGTGAAGGTATTTACAATAGAGCATGACTATTTGAGCCAATTCAATTTTTTTTTCATTCTAAAAAGGAATTAACAATGTAGTTTTTCATAATGTAAAGATAATTTGTTAAGACCTTTTTATTGTCCTGATAATTTAATTTCTAAAGATACTCATCAGATGTGAATGGATTATGTTACTAAGAAAGCATTAAATCAAATGAAATAATAGCTGAAATGTCTGCTTCAAGGTTATCTTTAACATGTAAAATAATAATTTCTGAGAATCAACTTTGAATCAACTTTGATCCTGCTCAGTACAAGAGGAACTGCAGGTTCAGATATCTGCTGGGTGGTTGGTTAAGGTGGGATTATAACTGAATGCTGCCAAATTTTAGTCCCTCCTAAAAGGTATACAACAATAACATACAGTATATGCAATAACAATAATGTTAAAACATCAAATTTTGTTGTATTACATCAGGTGACTTTCTTTTTATTCTTCAGACAAACTTTGAACATTTTAGAAATGACTGAAGTAGTGTAGTCAAAATGTGAAATGTCTAGGTAGTTCCCAAAGTTTCCAGTGAAATTAATGTCATTCAGGTCAAATCAAGAATTGATTTCATTGGTCACAAAATAACTCTGAGATACATGAGAATCACTTCTAGCTGATGCAAGCCAGTTATATTTGCAGACAGTCATTTTCTTAAACCTGGAAGATATAATAGTATACACTTATGATTTAGAATAAGACTTTAGCACACAAAAATCTATAGGTTTAATTGTAGGTTTTCCTGTTAACATGTACATGTTAACAAGGAATGACATCACAATGCATCATTGTTACTGACAAAGAGCAGTTTTATGTTACAATAAATTCCAGATTACAATAAACAGTTAATTTTGTTAACTGAAAACGTGGCAAAACAATAATAAGGATATTGTGACTGACAGAGGACTATCACCGAGTATGCAGGCATTTTGATTACCTAAGTTCTCAGGCAGCCTGTTTCACGTTTAATTAAAACGGCAGCATTGGGTTTACTCCAGGCAATTCAGCACACGTGTGCGACGTGTTAAATGGAAACCAGCTGCCCAATGATACGATAAGCTTGCCTTTTAGTCATCCAGAATCAGATGGGTTTTTAAAAGAAATAACTGATCAATTGTAGTTGTCACGTGTTACTGGAATAGGTTCCTGACACAAAGCTACCTGACATGTAAGGAAGAGTGCAGTCAAGTGGCATCGTAGGCCTCATTGATTTTTAGGGGGTGGAGTCTGAAGGGCAAAGCCACAGACGAACGGATTTCGTCTAATCAATTCTAGACATCTAATATCCTTTTGGCTTTTGTGCATAAAGGTAAGATTTGACTGGGCACACAGAAAATTGGACGTAATCTGAAACGATTAGTCATATCAGTAAATGCCAAGGCAGTGTGAAAAACATTTTTTCATGTTTTTCATGTTTCACCTTTTTTAAAAACAGATTCTTTTTCATGGTGGAATAGTTTAAATCTTCTGAAGACCGTCTGAGACCTTTCTTCGTCAGGTGCTGGCCCTAATAGTTTAACGACTTCCATGTCCAGTTATACCAGTTAGTCTGAAGATAAAATAGGGTCTAAAAAGATAAGAAAAGGGATGAATGGGACAAATTCTCAAAGAATGGGCCGACGCTTGTGGTCTTGAAACAAAGAATTGATATGAGTAAAAAATGTGGACATGTCATTGAAAGCAATGTCTAAGCAGTCACATGATTTCTTAAGGCTTAAAAACGCAATTAAAGTTTATCATTTATAGATGATTCTTTGACAAATGTTAGTATGAATGGCTGCACTGTTGGGTTATAAACCAATATGCCTTATTACAAATATGTATTAGATGCCTTCTACTTAGGACAACATGACACTGGGAAGCCTAGAAATGCCACTCTGTTCACTGTGCTTACATTGAGCAGGCTTTCAGCAGCTTCCAGGAATACAGCCTCATAAGGGCAGGGGGATCTTTTATTTTGCTTGTAGTTTATGATCTCTATCCTGAGCGTGTTTTGAACTCTTCACTACTGCCTTGTTGGTGCACCATGAAATACCTGTATTTGTAAAATTACATCTAAAGAAATTAACACTGTTGTTCCTGATGGAACAAGCACAAAATAGTCCAAAGCACCTCTCACATGATAACATAAGACAGGACTTCCCTTGAATCCATTTACTTGCGGTTTTCTGCTAAACTTTTTTTTCCTGCATCCCATTAATTGGATAATTAACTGGTTGTAGCAAAATTCAGAAATATCCCGGATTGACACAGATTTAGAAGCCCTGCCTTAAAGGAATTGTCTATTATAAAAGTAACACTTAATGTGTGTGTAAGGGTAATCTCGCCTCAGAAAATATTATTTCTTAATAACACATTGCATCTCAAATGTCTAGAAAATGTGTGTATAATAATAAAAGACCCATTTTGGTGTTTACTGAAGTAGTAAGGGAATGGGTTATTTCAAATTACATTCCAAAGCCAGAAAATGTACTTTTCACTTCATTTGTCTCTGAAATATTATATTTCACATTAACTTTTCGTGGAAGTCTCAAATTCAATTTATAAATCTAGCATTAATAGCCTGGGTTTACTGGTTATTACATGACTGTAAGCTGTCCAGCAAAGCTGTAATTGGGCTTTCTTCTTGGTTTTTAGTGGCATTAGAACTGACAACTATATTGCAATCTGTCACCAGCACATTTCCAGTAATTCCCAGGGAACATAATGAAGTTACTACTTGATTTGTAGCCCTCCAGTAAGATGGCTTATAGAACTGCTTTTCTCAAAAGACCAAATGCTCCTGGATGACTCATGTGATAATGCTAAAGAAACATTAGCACTGCCAACCATGGTAATTTGTGATTAAAAGTGGAATAAATTGACAAGCTGGAAAAGACTTCACAATCTATTACTGTGCCAATTCGGGGAATAACTTGCAGCTCTGTATGCATATGAAGTCACAGTCTCCACGGCTCAAGTGATTCAGTGCACACAGCATGGTTATATACATGGTAGATTGCGCGTCAATGGCAATACCATTACCTGAGCTTTAAAAGCTAAACTTGATAATTAATCCTCTTCACACTAACTCTATAAACCATTTTCTTAAAGCTATGAAGTCAAATGGCATAACCTGGGTGGTATCAGATTGTCAAATGTACCTCTTTAAAAGTACCAAGATTAGAATCTCAAAATAATTTTCATTAATAAAGATGCATCATTTTTAAAGCTCTTCCACTGCCTGATTGCACATCTAAATTGCACTCACCATACAAGTATTTAAATATTAATTTAATTGAAATTTAAATTTCAGTCCACCCCTCACTATCCATGTATGATAAAAACAATAAGGATCCATGATCGCCATTATCAGCCAGGCCTGAAGAGGTATGTTCATGTAACTGTGGGATGTGAACATCTGAATAATGCAATTTCCTTTTTGACATTTTCATAGATGGAACCATCTTGTGAAATACAACCCTCAGCACGTACACAATCTCTCAGTATTGGAAAATATCAGGAACACAGAGAAGGACAGTTATATATATATATCGCAAAATTTACAGCAGTTTATTCACAAAGACAAAAAGGCACGATTCTTCTAAATGTTCATTCAAAAACAAAAATATACAGTTGTCGTCAACTACTTATATAAATATCTTCAAATGGAAAAAAGAAAAAAATAAATACAGCAAAGGGCCAAGTCATATAAAATAGTTTTCTATGTATAAATCTTTTTTTTATATATTTTTTGCCTGTGTTGCTTCATGCATCTATTTGCTTCTTGAACTCAAATGGACACAAAGCTAGGCACATAGTGAGAATTTTCTGTACAAGGTTTAACTGTAATTACAGTATGCACATCTTTAACACAGTGATGGGAAATCAAATGCACAACAAATATCCCTTTGTTTACCTTTTTTAGGCATGCCACTTTTACAGAAGCTTAATTAGCCTAATCTAATTGACATTGTATAGCAGTTATAATGTTCGTTCCAACCACTGTGTACAGTACTGTAAAACTGAAAAGGTTGTAAGATTTAAAATGGATTTCCAGCTGTAACAAGTATGACAGACAGCACAGAATGGTGTATTAGTCTCAGGCATTATTAAACTGCATTCACAAACATCTTGCAGACCTCATTGCTCCTCGTTTATCTTACTAAGCTAAAGTCTATGGAAAAATATGGCTAAGCATTTTACAAGTAATGTAATTGAAAAAACAAAGCAAAAATGTCAATGACGCCCTGATATATAGGCAAGCTATGATTTCTGCTTTCACGTCATCTTTTTCACTGTAACATGAAAGTGTCACTTATGAATTAATCTGAACAATCTGTGTCAAAGTGTCTTTAAGAGGCATTTAATACTTTCAGTTTGTTACATTCACTGACACTCTTCAGTATGCAGATGTAATGAACAGATGACACTGAGATTTATTGCTGGCAGCCCCTCATTATTGCTCATTAATAAATAGTCCAAGTAGAAGGAAGGGCTAAATTGAAAGACTGCAGACCTACGGTATTTGGCAAGACGTAAAACTACTACTACTGTATATGCACTGATATATGTATAAAAAAGGTTTCGCGCAATCCCTGTATTTCAATGCATTTACACTGAAGAGATCTGGCTCCAGTCTTAAGTGCAGACACTAAGTGCAGCTCCTCATAACACAGGCATCGTGAAGCAACAAGCAACAGAACTGCCCTGCTCAGAAAACAAAGTGGCTGCTTCAATCACACCCTTATTTGCAATGATCCTTGTACATCTCAGGCAAAATCTCTGAGAACTAAGCATTATCGGTTTTAGAGAGAACTCCTAACTAAAGAAAAGAAATGAAAAGGTAATGAAAAGATTCATTAACCTTGAATGGAAAGAGATTAGAATTTGTCCAAAACAAAGCATAAATTAGAAACATCACATTTATAAACAGAACAGTGCCTAACAGGCTCCTACTAACATTGAAAACAATGATTTAACTGGATACAGCAGTGCATTCCAATGATTTTCCATACTTTTACTTAAGTGCGAACATTTTTTTAAGAACTTGTGCTTTTTTTTGTAATCAACAAAAACAAAGCAACTTAAGGTCAATACTATGGCCCCACCACTCACTGAGGCTGGTCAGTTTCACTTTTATCATTTACTTTCAGGCAGAACTTGTCAAACAGGGTTAGTGTTTTCAACTCCAGTAACCTTTGCGTTGGAATTCAAACATTTAGTAAGGTCAAACAACAACAGAAGAATTACAATGACAAGATTAAGACTCTGTACACTGAAATGATTCAACAAAAATAAATACCAGCACAGTGATGGAATCATGAAAGCGAATCGCTTGAGAGAATCATTCTGGAAACACAAAATAATAATCGCAGTTCAGGCAGTGGTTCAAGTAACCAAACTGGCCGACACCCAAGACAGTTCCCCCTCTCATGAGGCCAGAATGCTCCTGCGGATTATGTCTGTCCCATAGCGCCGGTTAATGGGCGTACCCGCATTTAGTCGCTTTGGACGGCACTTCTTTTCTTTCGCCTCTACCTCAGAGTCACTCAGCTCAGCGTCAGGTGCGTAGCCGTCATTTTCCACTTCCGTTTTTAGCCGGGCCTTGGACCTTGCTTTGGGCGAAATCCGGTGGACAGCCCTGTCCTCGGATGGAAGTTTCCCGTGAGGAGCCTCTTGCCCTTCTGTCTGCTGTGGCCGCTCGCCTTTCTTTGGGATTTTAAAGCCACCCCAGTTTTTCATGGGGCTGGTGGGTGTATTAGGCACTGAAACGATGACCGCTTGGTTGCAGTTCGCCTTCTTCAGCGAGCCATTGCATTTAGGCACTGCGTCCCCAGAGGGCCTCCGGACAGGGTTTCTGGCTGCGGGCTGCGTCAGGGGCGGCGGTGGGGGGGCTCTCTTGTTCTCCATCTGCTTCAGCATCAGGTCCTCCGTGGGCCGCGCGGGCTTGTGTCCAGGCCTCGAGGAGGCTCGCTCTCTCAGCTCGTGCCCATTCTCTTCGTGCCGGTGGCCGTCGTCTCTCTTCTTGTACTCTCCTACAACCGTGCCGTTCCTCTTCTCCCTGAGGTGAGGCAGTCTGGGGAAGGGTTTGAGCCTCTCAGTGTCCGGAGCCCTCTCCCCTACTTTTCGGCTCGTGCCCCCGCTGTCACTGTTGTTGTCAGCCAGGCCACCACATTCAGTGGAGGAGTTTGGCAGCTTCAGCAAGCCACTCCTGCAGTTTTCCTGGGATGCTCCGCCTCTTTCACGTCTGTGTGAGCCCTTCCCGGGGCAAGGCCTCCCCGTCTCGTGTCCTGGGTGCTCCGAAGGAAACTTAAGAGGCTCAGGTTTGGACGCTTCAGATGTTAAGTCACTAAAGAATAGTGCATCTTCCAGGTGGATCGATGATGGTATACCTGGATTGATGATAAAAACATTTTTAAAAATTACCAGCCTTGTTTAATACACTATTACAAATTATTACACCTTATATCTAAGTTTCGTATTTTTATTTTTCCTCTTGAAATGTGTGCGGTTACAAATAAAAAAATATTTCCAAACCCTTTTGAAGAAAGGCTTACCTTAAGGTTCTCTGAACCTAACCCAGGTATTTGCTGTACTTTCAGTTGAATCCTTAACTGAGCTAATAATTTGCCGACACCTTTTTCATTGCCGTTCCACTTTGAAAAACATTGTTTTCGAGCTATGAATTTGTGACATTTGTGAAATTTGTGAAATTGACAGTTCTAGAACTGCAAACTCCACAAAATACTATAAAGGATTAGTTAAATTTGGGGATCAGTTTAATAAAAAGGTTTGGATAGATCAAAAACCAACAGACACTGAGGTCACTGGGACCCAGACTGGGAGAAACCAATGTTCTCTCTTATTTTGTTTTTTATTTTCTTCTGTTTTATTTCCTCCTATCTGAAATTATATGTTACTGCTCAGCCTGACTCAGTACTACCGCTCATGCAGCATATGTATCCTCCAAACTGTGCTACATTAAGCTATCAGTTGTGTCTGCACTTTGAGCTCAACACTCAACATGGCTTACGGCCAGGTTGAGGACTGACATTATACTTGAGGAAAGCCCAGCTGTCTTCAGCCCATGCCTTTTCTCAGACAGCGCGTTTTCAATTTGCAAAGCGAACCTGCCCTTCATGAAACCATACTGACTTGGTGTATACAGTATGTCCTCTTCCCATACATGCACAGCTTTGACAAAGATAGCTCCCGTTTAAAAAAAGTACAGTGATTTATACCAAACCCTGGTTATAGCCAACACTACTGCACTCTTCATGAAACATTGCATTGGCCCAGCTCAGAGAATAAAAAACTCATTTCTTGTATCAAGTTTATAAAGCTATTCACTGGCACTACTCCAAAGTACCTTGAATCTATAACGCTGTCATCTTGCCAAAATCAAATGATGTGCCTGAAGTACTGTTAAAAATTCAATTTGACATGAATTGTGGCTCAAAGTGCATCAGATTTATCTTTTAAAAAAATATATGGATGTCTAATCTTACACAAGGCTGTAAATCACATAAACAAATATGACAACGTAACTAATATCACCTGTTACTTACGTTTTTCTTACTTTGTACTCTCCAACATGATTCTTGTCATTTTTCTTTCTTATATTTTTCAAAATTATGTTTGCCACTTTCTGTTATTCTTTCTGGAATATTCAAGGGTTATTTTCTAGTTAAGTTTGAAATTTAAGAACGGTGCACAAAACAAACCGATCCTTCTACTTTTCATGAAACACTGCTATGTTGCTGTCGACTTAAATTGTTTACCATGTCTGTCAAACTCCTTGTTATCTGTAAAAGGCCTTTCCCCAGATGAATCCTTAATAACCAGGCAGAATCAAAGGTTTCTGCTCAAGCAAAGACTCAAGTGTTAAATGTTTGCTAGGGGAACCCTTTAAATGGACTCAATAAATCGAAATTCACAGATCAGGACTGGTAAACTTTAACCAGTGCCTTCTGAAGGGACTTAAGGACTTCGCCCACCAGAGAGCCGCTCCTCTTCCAGCAGCCTGACGTGATGATGGAGGATCTGCTCCTGCACCCGGCACACTGACCGCTTCATCTTCTCTCGCCTGGTCACCATATACGTCAGGTTTCGAACCTGCAACCAAAGTTCACCATGTTACAAAAAAAATGTCAGATCTACTAAAATTCATCTTCAACTAGATCCCATCCTGAAAGCCCCTGTCTGCTGCCGAAACACGGGAAGACAGGAATGAGCAGCAAAGACTGTTTCTTCATGGACGGAAGAACCCAGCTCAGTTTCCTCCTCCCAGGTGCTGCAGACTGGAAATGCCTTTCAATGACATTTCTCTAGCTGAAATGGAGGACAGCCAAAAAGTGCACTGCTTAGATTACATAAGTAGGGACAAGTCTACTCTTCAATGTTTTTCATTAATTTTACCAATCTAATGCGATGTATAAATACCATCTGTGAATGATAAGTATAACAGCAAATCAAATGCTGTCATTTACAGGTCTGAATATGCTTTGAGTCAGTTATTTTAAAACATCTCACATGCTCTATCAATAATGTGCATTAGATTATCAGATGATATGTCTGGGTCTTACCGGCTATTAGTATTGGATAAGTAAAGCATTACCACTGCTGCTCTAAAAATTAGGGATTCTAAATTTGAGAAATACAGTAAATTGGACACTGAAGCTAAAAGAATATTAAATCATTCTGTATGTGTACTGTGATTGAATTGAATACTGAAATGGCATGACTGAAAATGAAGCTATTAAAAAGCAGGATGCTCCCAAACTGCAATATAGTCAGAGTGCATGACTCTTGACCTGGCTTCCTTACAATACCGAGTGCACAATTTATATGAGCAAAGTTATTACAAAGTGGATAATGGCAAGGGAGAAAGTAGGAATATCCACAGCATCAAACAAAACTTTTTCCAATTTTCAAATGTCAATTTGCTAAATATTAAGTATTAACTTCTAGGTAAATCAAGCAGTGCCTATTTACTTGTCTTCTGTTAAGTGCTGATGCTCTTTGTTGAAAAGTACTGTATATACAGTAAATAATTGTCCTAAGGTTATAAAACAAGACACCATTCTGATCATCCTGCATGTATTGCACAGCAGAGAAACAAACTGTTAGTGATGATAATTTAGCAAGCACATAAAAACAGCCGCTTCCTTGAGGGAGAGAATACGGAATATGAATGTAGAGCACACACAGACTGAAAACTCCCTGTAGGTGTAAGATTAACCTTCAAGAATCAGAGAGAGGGCAGATTTGACATGGCAAGTTGTCAGTTGCTTGCACTTGAGGTGCTACTGCCGCTTTGGACTGTCAAGATGAAAACAGCTTGAATTTGTAGCTGAATTACAACATACATGCATTCCAAAGTACTCAGCACCCTGTATAGTACTTGTCACAGTGTCATTTTCACTCTTCGGCATCCCCTTCATCCGTCTGAACCACACACTTCATTACTTTACCCATAACATAACATCCATGCTAGCAGCCAGAAATTATAGTCTAAGACATCAAGAGCCAGCAGTCAATTTGTATGAATTCTGGTTTTCTACTTGCTCTGCACTGAAAACACCCTTTTATGCACTTAGGAAATTAGTGGTAGTTAAAGCTATAAAATGTTGGTTAGTGCTCATGACATGTACTGTATGTTATAGGGTTACTAACTGCATACTGTTGTGAATAGTAATGATCCTGTTAAATAATATCCCAACTATTTTTCACTACACATAGCCTTTCAGAAGTGCCTTCTGCTTATTCAACATTGTGCACTCTTGGGCTCTTCCCTGAACACATGCTGTTTCTCCCTTCTGGCTTCTCTGCTGCTCTCACTCACCGTTCCTTCATTTTCTTGAAGCTCACATCTTTTGTTTTATTTCTCTCCCTGTACAGTTTTCTTTCAGCATGTATACTTTTGCCCTCCTCTCTGCTGACAAAGTGAGACTGATAGAAGAATAGAACATGGATGGCGAACGCCTGCTTCATCAGCACCCATCCAGCCTCTCTCCCTTGTACTCGTTTCCATTTTTTATTCTGCTGTTAAGAGGACTTTCTGCCTCAGTTACTAATCTTCCTCAGCCCTTCACATTCATAAATGTGCTTTGAGTGCCTATTTGCAATCCAACTGCAGCTTTTACACTCTAATATGGAACATAAGGTCCTATTAGAATTATTTAATAATCTTACAATATGGCAGTATTGAAAAATGATTTGATCACTTGTAATTGTTTTTTTCCCCTCACACTTAATAATCCATTATTCTCTTTAATGAAACTACTTTGTTTAGTATATTAATGAATACAAGAAAGGACAACAGGTTTAATGCTTTGTGACCTGGACCTCAGAAGTTAAGTAAGGCTGGGCCTGGTCAGTACTAGAAAGGGACACCACCAAGGTGAAACAGGTTTGGTGTTTTCAGATAACTACAGCGATATGGGACACTACAGGAGATGCAATCTTCAGAATGAGACGATAATCCAAGTTCCTGACTGCTTACGGAACTGCTCGTATGTTTGAGAGCGTTACTCCCAGTGTCCTTGCTAAATTCCACTTCAGACTTGAAAAACATCTCATCCTTAAACTGTCTCCAAAATGGGAGAAGTAATCTCTGAGTGCCTAGTCTTGATCTGCTGTGTAGTGGGGTGGCTGTCATTCCTCAACATACTAACAGTAAGTGATGGACAAAGTTGGTCCCCTTCAATATGTATATAGCTTTGGGACATTTTGGGATGAAAAGCAACACACAAATAATAATAATTGCTTACACTTATATAGTGCTTTTCTGGACACTCCACTCAAAAGTGCTTTACAGGAAATGGGGACTCTTCTCCACCACCAACACCACCAATGTGCAGCCCCACCTGCTCTCGCACTTGCACCCAAATGCACTTATTATTACGCATACAGTTTTTTATAAAACACTATTTTAAGATTGTGTTTTTAATACTAATACTTGTTTCTTTTTTTTAAATATGCCCACCAAAGTAAAAAAGATCAATGTTTTTCAAATCTCAACTTTATTGTCTACAACCCCTGCTGCTTCACTTAAGGGAGAATAAGGACCTGCCGACACCCACCTGTTGAAGCCACTCTCTATATGATATGCTGCAGACTGCGCATAGTGCTCACTCAAGGAGTGGCTTGTCTCACACTGATGTCACTGACAGCTTGCAGGCGACCACCAAGTTTGCTGGAGTTGCTGTTTGCCAAAAGGTGAGAAGACCCAGGATAATCCCTACCATAACTGGCAGCCCTCTGACAACTGTGCACAGCAGTCTAGTGACATATCCCAGGCTCCAGGCAGCAATGTCTGGGCCATAGACTTTAGTGGCCATAATTTTAATGTTTAGTCCAAAATTCTTTTCAGGATTCTTTCATCTGTTTTATTTTTATGACCTTACATTTCATAAACTTCCCTGGGGAAATGTGTCTGTGGTACAGTACTAATAATAATCTGTTCAACACTATTCAGGCTGTGAATTACCATAGTTGCAAATTTGCCAGAATGGAGTGGATGGCAAAATGTTATTAAATTCCAAAGATGAGCTGCTGCCTTTTACAACAGAAACCACTTGACAGTATTTTATTTTTTTAAAGTGACATTAATTTAACAGTCTAAAGCTCAGGTCTGGAGCTGTGGTCAATGAGTTACAATGATGTCACTCCATTACATTTACTGACCAAGATTCAAGCACGTGATCATGCACTTCACATTCTCCAACACACTTTGGCATAAATTGTTTTGATTGGAGCTTTAAGATACAGATTAACAGGTTTATTGTCACACAACATATGGAGAATCTAGCCCTTAAAGAATAATTGTTTTTTTTACAATGAAAACTGGATATTCTAGAATTCCTTGAAGCAGGACATTTTGAAAATATATTTTATAGAAATATAGAAATATAGAAAAAAAAATAAAAATCATTGCTTATAATAATTTCTGATTCTACAACACAAGACCAACTGCTACAGCTAAAATTTCAGACAAATCTAACAACACACTGTTTATAAACTATTTTTTTTATTTTTGAATCCCCGCACCAATATGATTTAAACTCTACCATGTAATACTGCCTTGTCATGTGACTGTCTGTGCATCTACAGTATGTCCAAAGTATAGAAAGGATTTGGATAGTATTTGAAAAGATAGGATTTGAAAGTACAAAATTAAACTATGGTTTGCATTTATTTTAGAAATACTTCTAAAAAATAACTACATTTTTACTGACTGAATATTTTAATACTCAAAACTCCCACTTAGGCATTTTGTCTCTCCAAATCTATACTTCTGTAGAAGTCTCAGTTATGAACTCTGTTAATCAAGTTGAAAAAGCTCTATAATATTTTATTCCAAACTGCCTTTGCAATCTAATACTGTCAAACTTCAAGGAAATGCCTCATATACCTCATCTTTTCAAAGCTTTAAAAGATTATTAACTGTTCTCCGCTACTGAACTCCTCTGTGTGTGGTTATAAAGCTTTTCTGCTTTTGTGTATGATTTAAAAGTGGCCCTTCTCTTTCTCAAGAGCTCTTGACTGTAATAAATGGCTATTTTTATGAGTCTACAGCACATCAATATTTCTGCCTTAAAGTCTACATTCACAAGACAATGGCAGCAGCTATATTTACATTCCTGGCCATGCTAAAAAAGCCAATTTCCCATGTTTCAGGATGTATAACATTAGAGCAAATGCTCCTGATACCAAGCCTTAACAAATCTATGCCAACCAAGACCCAAAGACAAATTACCCAAACCTTTTAATTTAAGCCAAGTAAGAGAACTGCTGGGTATTTATTTGGACTATCTGAGCGAAGTACCACTCTTAAGGGTACAAAACCAATGTTCCCACCCGGGATTTGAACTCGCGATCCTCCAGTCGGGAGTCCTAACCACCCCTTCACACAGCTGGCCAGCCTATTCATCGCTGTCAGGTAGTGAAGGCTGGACTACCGCTGTGACTTCCCTCGGTCTTAATTACACACTGCATCTCTGCCAGGCTTCCAGCACCGAGCACCCGCTGACTCTCTGCGGTGCGCCTGTCTGGGGAGGCGTGCCGGTGTGATTAACAAGAGCAGAAGGGAGTGACCAGTGATTTGGACTGACAGACTGGAAACTGAATACAAAAGAAGAGGTGGGGGTGTGTTCGTGCTGTAATAAGAGGAGGCAGCTAATGAATTTCTGTGATAGGAGGGGGAAGAGTCTCAGGACAGTTGCTACAAACAAAAGGGCTACTTTTATATAAAATGTACAGTGTAATGCTTATTAGTACCATCTGCATCAGTGTCAAGGGAGACCTGCAGAACTAATTGTTAACATTTGTATGTAGTTCACATTGGTGTACATTTAGCAAGGTCATGAATCTTTGATTTACTTTAAAAGAAGAATAAAAAAACTAACAAGATAGCTTCATTTATACATAGAAGAAAGTACAGGTCATAAGACAGTTACAAACAAGAGGACACTCAGCCCCTTTAGTCCATTCGGGTTTAGCAGTAACTTGCCAACTATAAACTATTAAGCTAAAACTACAAAGCTCAGGAGAGCAAAGCTATCAAAAAGAACAACATGTGGCTTTGACTATTTCATTTTTTAGTCAACAGCGCCGGGGATGTCCAAGGAAAGCCAGATAGCTGCTGAAAGGTGGTATTGATGGACCAGTAAGACACACTCTTATCTCTGGGCCAGATTTCCCAGTCCCAATGCCCAAGTAAGGTGACTTAGGTAACTAGGCTTAAGAAGGTACTGTACCATCTCTGACATGAGATGTTTAACAAAGGTCCTGACTGCTTGGTCATTAAAGATTCTACAGCATTATTCATAAGAGTAGAGGTGTTAACCCCTGGAGTCCTGCCTAAATTCCACTCTTGTAGAATCCTGCTTTTTTAATGTTCCTCCTCACTTACAATGAAGCAACTTCTTGTCGCTTCAGCACCTGATCTGCTGTGCAGTGGGACTGCTGGTGCCATGCTCACCCCAATAGGTGAAGTGGGTCCCCTCCCTGTTCCTCTATAGGATCATTCTGGATGGAAAGCACTATAAAAATCATCATTGGAGTCCCAAAGTGCCTTGTTACCTCATCGGTTTTGCACATGTCAATTTCCATTCTGATGTCTTTTTGAAAGCACCAGTCTACATTCCATCCCTCCAGTTATCAAGCTAGTCAGTTTTTCAAGTACAATACTTACATTTATATGAAAACAAAGCTTAATAAATCTCACGTAAGTGAACTCAAGTTTAAAAACCACACCCAAAGTCATTTATAATTGGGTACGCAAATGCTTTGTTAAGGATCTGCACGCTATCAGAGACTGGAAGGGCAAGTTTGTTTTGCTTTGAGATTTGGAAGTTCAAAGGAAGCATTCAGACAACCACAAAATCTATTTCCAAGCTAAGCTTAAATTCAATTGTCACCTATTCGCAGAACATGCCAATACATCGTGTATGACTACGGAATTCTTGCCTTGCCCTCAATCCCACACAAGGCACAGCTGCTTTTCTGAGGTCAGGTTTCACAGAAACGTAGCCAACCACGCTGCAAGGCCATAACTTCCTGGCAGAGTTATTTCCAATGAACATTATTAGGAGCCAGAGGGTTCATCTGGTTGTTGCTTTGGTATTTAGCACTCACACTAGCCACAGTAAAAAAAAAATCTACTTTAGGGGAATTGCTGATGCTAGATCAGTGAGAGAATATAAAGAGAAGAATCCAACAACAATACTACTGTTATTGTTCCTTTAGAGCTGAAGACTGGGAAGGCACCAAAAACCTGCTGCATTTTTAACCCTCCCCCTAGTTAAATACAGAATCAGGCTTTCAGTGTTTACCAGTCCTGCCAGCAGCTGTTATCACTTGTCAAAGTCCTGCATTTGCATGATAAGCAGGAACTATGCTAAGGTCCTCCATGTGCTAAGGTCATAAGGGTCTTTCAGTATAACCTCACCAAGGCAAACAACAACTGTTAGTTTAGACACCCCAGAGAAAGATTATTTACAAGGTTATTACACCCCCTAAAACAAAACGAGTCTTCCAAGGGTCTCTCATGTTTTGTTCACATACATGGGATTTTTCATCATTTACAAAACTTTAGAAATCCAATTTCTTTATAACACAGTATTATATTTACCTTAGCCTGAGCTATGAAACCCTTCTACTGTATGCATCCATAATTAAAAATCTATCCATACTGGATTGCCCACTAACCCTATCACTACCTATTTTAAAAAAAAGTGATGCTAGAGATTAAAATGGTCATTTGTTTGTGCAAGTGATTACAGCAAACTCATAACAGTTTGCTGAGAAATTAAATGATATTCACAAGGAAAAATAAATATGATTATGATCTTGTTTTAGGAAACCATTCTGGCCATTATACCGAAATTTGAGCACCTCAGTAGGTGGCACAGTAGGATAACAGTAGGATAAGAACTAAATTGGCGTGTGAGCTACCGACTCACTTGCTGTCAATCAGCATCTAATCGCTTACTTTAAAATCTTCACCACTATGCGCAGCATGAAAAAAAACATGCATACCTGAACTTAAGATGCAAAAATATTTCTGGATCTCAATAAAGGTTCAGATTTCAGAAGGTAAAAACAGATAGCAGGCGACCTAATCTACTGCCAGTCTACAGGAATCCTGAGATACATCACAAACAGGAACTGCTTGCGTTTGGATGCTTCTGCTGTGTTTATTGGATTCAAGCCTTTAGGTAAAGATCTGCGAGGGAGGTGTCTTCATCACTGTCTCATTCTGAAGCTGTAGTGAAGCATCACGGTTCCCTTAAAGGAAGCAGGCGGGGCCCCTCCTTAACCGCCCGGCACAGCGACCTACCCGCTCCAGGTCTTGCCGCAGGTGCGTGAAGAGCTGAAGCCTCCTGAAGAGCACGTCCTGCTCCCGCTTGGCCAGGTTGTCCTCCTCATCCTTCTTCGGGGTTATCAGGGGCTTGTTGAAATTAGCCTTCCTCTTCAGCTTCCAGAACTGGTAGATGAAGTCCACCACCTCCTCGGGAAGGCGGAGGTACTGGGCAACCTCGTTGGCCGTGACGAACTTGTAGAACTCGTCTTCCAGCTGCTGCAGCTTCTGCTTGCGGAGGTTCACCATCTGTGCCTCCTGCTGGTTGGCGCTCAGGACTGCAGGCTCTGGGCCCCGGACCGGGGACCTCTCTGCCTCCATCTTCCTGGGCTCCCCTCCATCTTCCTCTTCCTCCTCCCCCGAGCCCACCTCTGCATCCAGCTTGCCCGCCTCTTCTCGGCCGCTGTGCTTCAGGCAGAACGACTTGAACTTCACTTCGTCGGTCTCCGTCAGGATGGTCTTCATCTTCAAGTTGCGCTGGAAAGCACAGGTGACGTGGAACGCTGTCCGACAGTTCTTCGCCGAGCACTACAAAAATTGAGCAGATTTCAGAATCAGCAGAGGTTTATGGAAAGTGAAGAAATAAAAGCGTATGTCTTTAATAAATATTTTTTTAAACCATCTTTAAGAACACATCATCTCAAGGTGCCCTGGCAATAAATCAGCTATAGCAAATACTGTAGAAACACTTAAGACTCACAACAAGAGAAACAAAAGGTAATGTAAAGCAAAGTTTTAAGAGGATCTAAAAGTGAGATTTTTCAACATCATCTGAATGGGGTGTGATAAGGTAGATGGTACCTGATTAATGACCGCTTTCATGGGAAAAATGTGCATGCCGTGAGCACAGAAATGAAAACAAATTCCATATCTGACCATCTGGCAGCAAATATAGATATGAATAAGAATGACACCAAGAACAGAGCCCTTCAGGACACCATCTTTGCAAGGGGAGGTAATCAGCTAAGAATTAAACCGCTAAAGAGTAGTTTCAAAAACCCTTTCAAATGTATTTAGCAAGAAGGTATGATCAACAGTATCAGTCAGCACGGAGGTGTGGCTGAGCTAAAAAAAAGTCACTAATAAAATATCTGTAGTATTAGCAGGTGCTTCAGTACTATACATTGACCTAAATGTAGACTGAAATTTTATTTCAGTTCTTTTGCAGATAAATGCCAAATCTAGAACATTTGCAAAACAAAAAATAATTGGCCAGTAATAACTGCAGCTTGCTCAGTATTGCATTCTGAATGGAGATTAAAAAAAAAACTATTGAGGGTCAGAAACCAATTCCAGAACGTAATGATTCATTGCTGTTGCTTATGACAATGAGGCAAAGTTTATAGAAAACAAGACAGCAGCAATAGCATCCAACATGTGGTAGGAGTTTTGACCAGGTATCAGAATGTAATTTACAAAGTCAGATGCACTGAATTTAAAGAGTTCTAATGTTATCAATTTCAAAATGTGACGATTTGGGTGTAAAAAAACAAACCTGGAGTGGACAATGGACTAAAAAATATTCAATAATAGTGTTTTAAATGGGATTTAAGATGAAGAACCATGAAGAGAAAGGATAAACTAGGTACATCTATTAGTTTCCAAAAAAACACAATGGCAGTCTAGTGGCAGTAAGTACGCTGCTATAGAATTGTCTTAAAGGCACGTAAATGAACAGCTGGAACAGTATCCCTGGATGCGATGAAATTCCATGGATGTAAGCTGAATGTTATAACAAAGTGAAATTAGATTTCACAGATTTCTTCTGGAGCTAAACAGTGTAAAAGAATATCAAGTGCGAACATACAGTATAAAGCATAATGGAGTCCTAGATACTAGCTGAGTACCACTGACAGAATAACTTCAAAATTAACGCGAAAACAAAAGTGAATTAATAGTCCCGATGTTCCAAAACCCAGTAGTACACCTAGGTACATCGGCATTAACAATTAACATTGTTTAAAGCTGTATTTCTGCACTGAACACCATGGAACACATCTCACATACAATATGGTTCTTAATTAACCATAAACCGAAAGGCTTGTGATAATTCTTATAAACTCACTGAGTGGATTTACTGCATTTTTTATTCTTTTTTACCATCAGTCGTTCACAGCTGTTACCATTTAATTGGGGTGTTATTCTGATATACCGCATCTGCCAGATGTTAACACTTTAGAGTAAAAAAAAACAACTCTTTGAAGGTCTCTTCATCTTAGATATACTAATTCAGCACAGATTTACCACCAAAGTCATATGTACTCATAATGGTAGCACTAAAAAACCTAGTTTACACTGTCACATCCAGGGTAAACTGAAGTATGAAAAGCCAAATTATCTCACCACATGTGCATATAACAGTATACTGTATGTGATGTATAATTATCCTAGAATGCAGGTGATAAAAATGATACTAATAACTAAAATCTAACCATACACTATTAAAATAGTATCATAAAACATATTCAATGTTGTTAATTCCAGTTTTCATACAATTCTTGTACAGAGAGCTTTCTGAGTCTTTGCCACATTCTATCTGGTGTATGTTAGGCCACAGACAGTGTGTCGTCTGAACAAAAGCTATTGCTAGCTATCAATGCTAGAAGATAAAGACAATTCATTGAAAAGGAATTTCAAAAGCCAGTCAGGGAAAAAAATAAACTGCGCATTAATTAAAGACTTGAGAGAGCTGTAACATCAATAAAGCAATAATTAGCTGTATCCAGAGTCTGCAAATTATACGCCAAGTGAAACAAAGATGAAAACTGACGGAGATGCTTTGGAAGAAATCCAAGGACCAACAAGACATGAATGTTGTATCTAATAAGCAAGACTTTCAAAATAAAAGAAAAAAGCTTTGTCTTTAGCCTGTTCTTTTGTTTCTTCTAATACAGCTATGAAAGACATTACAACTAAAAACAATTTCTGATACTAAAAATAAACCTTATGAAACATTATTTTCTTATATTCCTTCTTCATCACTATGATACTTATATTAGGTGGTCATACATAAAAAGTTTGTCATTTTCTTCTCTGAGAGGGGAGAAGAGTACATCAATAGTGGCTTTAAACTATTTAATCGATTAATTCCTAACAGATATAACCATGACGCTAAGATGCTCTACGTACTGTGTGAAAATGTTACGCTCTAGGTCAACCCAAGGAAGAGCAGAAGGAGATTTAATGATGTGCACAGGGCCGTGCGAGGAAACTCAAAACTGTCACTGTTCACTGCACAGCTCCGTACAACTATTTACACCAGGGCACTACTACACTTTCACCTCCCAAGTAACAATTTACATTTACTTATTCAAGTAAAATTGCTCACTTTGTCTGTACCACCTGGAAACAAAACATTTGTGATGGTTTCTCACAATTGCAACTGAAACGGGAACTCTGGTCGTTTTCCATTCTTATGACAGTACTTTCTATGCTGGCTGTCCTTGTCTTTGACAGCTTGCATTGTATGTGAACAAACAAAGTTTATCAGTATTAAGATAACAAGGGGTAAAAGCACCTGTTTTAGAAAGTTGAGTCATCAAAGGTCATTATTGGACTAGCTGGTGAGATATAATGAGCCCCAGCCAGAAAAGATCTGCATTGCTGCCAAACAGGTTTTTCACAGAGTGCTATTAGATCTGCTGTTTTAAGCTCCCTAGAAATAACATAATAGTGTTTTGAAAAATTGTAAGGAAAAGCCAGGTGCCACATACAGTTAAGTCCTATTTATACACACCAGATGCATGGTTTTGTCTAACTCCTAGCATTTTCTATTTTTTTACAATTCTGCTATTTAACCACAGGGGTGTATCTACTGTCGTCCCTGAAGAGTTTCTCTATTTTAGTCCACGGCACTACTACAAGCACAGTGGCTCTGGATATGAGTATTCTGGGAAAAGGCCAAATTACTTACTCTCGTATTTTCCCCCCATTATTTTTAACTTATTACATGTAAACTGCCACAACAACCTGGATTATTTGCAAGACTGGCAAGGCCCCGCTGTTCCTGTGTAAGATATGGATTGATTACATGTATCAAAATTATTTTTAAGGTACATCATTTCAGGTTTTACCATTTAAAAGGTAATTTTTTTTATATCCACACACTTCTACTAAAATGTCTGTGTACTAGTCCAAACCAACTCCGATACAGAACAAGGAGCTGTGGACACACTTAGCTCTCAGCTGAGTCTCAGTCTCAGTCTTTCAGTACACTGTGGACTTAAGGCTGTGTGAATACCAACAGGATGACCAGCACAACAGGAGTCAATCTTGTGTGGCAAAGCCAAGGATTCAAGCCCTCCCAACATCCTGGCATCCCTCAGCCAATAACGTGCTGCTGCCTGGGGAAACCCTATTGCTGCTTACAGAACTACTGGGGATCAACTCCCGGTCTGAGGGAGCACATCTACTACACTCTACCAGATTGAATCATTTAGCCACTCCAAAGCATCCCAAACCAAAAAAGTGAGCAGGTGTAAGTCAACAGGTGGAAAAAATGATCATATTAACACAACAAGTCAAAGGACAGTAATAGCTTGTATGACATTCCCGGACCCATTTTTATCACCAGGACCCCCATCATGCTTCTTGCTCGGATTTATAGATAACTGCCAAAATAAAGGAAACGCCAACATAAAGTATCTTAATAGGGTGTGGGGCCACCACGAGCCGCCAGAACAGCTTCAATGTGCCTTGGCAAAGATCTGCATCTTCCATCATTTGGTGTGTTGTTGATGATTGTAGAAAAGGCTGTCTCAGGAGCTGCTCCAGAATCTCCTCTAAGTGTTCAACTGGGTTGGGATCTGGTGGCGGGGACGGCCATGGCATATGGCTTATATCATTTTCACACTCATCAAACCATCCAGAGATCAATCGTACCCTTTGGATTGGGGGCGTTGTCATCCTGGAAGAATCCACTCCCATCGGAATAGAAATTCTTTACCAAAGGATGAACGTTATCACTCAGGATGGCTTTGTATTTACTGCCATTAACTTCCCCACTCTGACCACTAAGGTGTTAAGCAGTCCTAAACCATGGCAGGAAAATGTACCCCACGCCTAACGGAGCCCCCAGAACCTTTCACCGCGGGAAACAAGCATGTACTCATCTGCTTGTTGAGAAAAGGTTGAAGGATGACTCATCTGTCAATATCACTTTCTTCACATCTGAGTAGACCACTCTGTTCTTTGCAATATTTAACAAATGCAAAAGAGCATTTTTAGGTATAAAGAGGGGTTTATGCACTGCAACCTGATGACAGTAGCCTTTATCTACTGAAGTTCTCGATGGACTTCATGAAACTGCCTCCTGACGCTTTAAATTGACATTTGCAGTCAATGGATTAAGAGTTGCTTGTTTGTTTTGCATTGATTCTCGAACCAATGCACAGACTTCAGGGTCAAAGAGTATCCACGTTCATTCACAGTTGCCCCTAGCTGATAAAGTCTTTCCCTCAGATTTCCATACCGACATCACCTTGTTTCACCTCATGAAATATCCGCAAGCTGAGCAGGCTTCATCACTGAAGCTCCAGCCAAAAGTGTCCCAAAAATCACCCCTTTTACCGTCACCGAGATCTCTTCTTCTAGCCATGGTAGCCACAATAATGGGCAACAAGACCTGCCCAGCATTCCACACATGGCCCTAAGCATGATGGGATGTTAATTGCTTAACTCAGAAACTACACCTGTCTGGAAGTGAAAGCACGTTCTTTCAATATACTTTGGATCCATCATTTACTCCAGTATTTTCTTTATTTTGGCAGTAACCCATTTGTAAATAGACACATTTAAAAATAACTTGATCTCACTGGTTATAGACATTAAACAGAAAGTTGCCTTTTAATGTCCTATATTTTATAACGGCACATTACTTTCATTAGATGAAAACCCTGAAAATGTTCCAGTCTAGCAACTTAAAATAAATGACAGAGCAGTGCTTGCACAAATTCCAGCAGGTGTGTGGGTCCCAAGGCCTGTAGTTGGGATGTCCTGAGTTTTATACCTAATCTGTGAAGTCTGGAGTAGGAAAAGTACTTTATGAACTTGTACACAAATTCTACTACATGGTGATTTTATTATTCAAAGCAATTTCTCCAAATTAAACAATCTGTAGGATTATTTAACCTCTAGGTTTTAGCAGCTGGTTCACTCCATTCCCAGGTTTTATGGCACAAATACCTGTATGCAAGCCCCAGTCTTCTCCTTGCACAGACGACACAGCAAGGCCCATCTGCTGCTGGGGATGTGAGAAACGTTTGTGATTGGCTCCATCTTCTCTGGATTCCCAATGCTCACCTGCATTGAAAAAGAAAGAAAGAGCCATGAACCAAAGACCTAACCAATTATTAGTATTTGTGATCTTCATGCTCTTTAAAAGATAACACTTGTAAAAGAAACGTTTATTGACTCTACCAGAATCTCGCAGCTTCATTATGAGTGAAGACGGCGTCATTCAAGTTTTCTTAATGAACTGCTCAAAGAGCAGTTTCTACACAAGGAGACGGAGAACTAATTTCTCCAGAAATACAGAGGACTGGATGTTTAAAACAATCCTTTAGACAGCAGAACAGGTTGAGCTCCCACTACGATCAAGAAAATCCAATCTCTTATGGAAATAAAGTTTTAGCAGAAAAAACTGAATAGAATGGCAAATATCCCCTCCTATGCAAGACAAGAAAACACTTCTTGTTCTCCACTCCCATCACTTAACACTTATGTCCATTACAAAATTCAGATTAATGAATTTGTCAACTGAATCACTATATGTGACAAGACATTCATATTAAGAAAGTAAATAGGTAATAATACTAAGGGAATCGCTACTTCTTAATATTTGGCTTCAGATTCAAGAACAAACTGGTGATCAAGAAAACAAGGTCCATGACTACTGATGAAAAAACTAGGGAGAACAAAAGCACAATATTAGCTCTGGCAGAACAGAGCAAGGCAGAAGACCCTGAGTGGTTGCATTAAAAACAAAATTCTGTTATCAAGCAGGTATGGAGGAGAACCTTGAACTTATTACAAGCACTTAAACTTTTTTTTGTGAAGTTTGCTGCTCAGATCCTTCTACCTCTAGAGTGAAAGATTCTCACACAGCTTTAGTTCGGGAAGCTTTCTGTAATTGGAAAAGGCTTTTGAAAGGTTTGTAAATCATGAACAATCCCAAATGCATCAGCCTTTGTGTGCACCGTAGCTGCTATCCCAAGCAGGAGTTAATCAAACTGCTGCCTGTTCCAAACTAAAGTAATGAAAGAAGCCAGATGCACTCTAATAAAACTTTTGTCATCTCGAAGACATCTGGCATGTCAGAATAGGAAGCACGTGCTTTACACATTACTTTATTAATTATAGATAAGACAAAATTGATTTTTTGTAAACCAATCACAAATGTTAATGGCAATCCTCCTCCTGAATTCTGATACTGTTCTTCATAGAGTCCTTCCTCGTTGTAATTCATTCAGGTTTGCCTGAAGACATGATGTAGTTTTCATTGCAGGAGAGCAATTCAGACTGCTAATGGAAAGGCCCCATTTGCAAAAAAGCTCTGTGGATTTGATAGTAGCGGTTGTCATACATCTAAATCAGCAAGGGTTTTTTCTATTAAACTGGATCATTACATAACTGTATTAGGTGCAAATGTGGACTGACAAAGTCACCTAATCCCTTTCATTAACAAATTTCAAAATTGAATAAGACAGCACCAAAAGCACCTATTCAAAAGCTATAAAAGAAAAGTTATCATTTAGAACCAGATTATATTTAAAGGAGTACACAAATGTTTGGAAAGGCCCATTAAAATATCAGATATGAAGAAGTTGAAGCACCTTGTTTCCTTGAAAACATAAGCATACAACCATGCAGTAAGCATCTACCAGATGTGCCAATAATATTTGTGGAGAAATCAAGCATGTGAAAGGTTACAATTTGAGAGACGACTGAGCAAATTAAATCGTGTTGGCAAGCGAAACAGAAATAATACCAACAAGAAACAACAAGAAAGTGGCAGAATGGTGTGTATGAATACAAAGTGTACATAATATACATGTGGATACAAGCAAGAACTAGATACAACATATTGAGGGTCTTATGCATAAAACAAGCTATGAGGACATGACATAACAGTGGGAGAAAAAACTAGCACAAAAAGGACCGTTTTTCTCTACAGACCAAAGCAGTTGCAGCAGTGCAGTGTCTAAAACTAAGTGCCGCTAAGTCAACTTAAATGAGAATCAGAAAACACTACTGGGCATGATGACAACTTTTGGTAAAGATAATGCCATTTCTATATTGCTGATAAACACATTTCTTGCAATTACAAGCTCATGTGGAATAACATAACCCAATAAGAAAAGGCACTCAAGCATGTTTATTGAGTCGGACAGCAGCAGCTCTGGCTCAACGAGCTTGGCTGAGGGCCAGACACCCGGCCACAGGACAAGGAAGACCCTCAGACGGAGTGAGAAGTTAACCAAGGTGCAGCTGCACAGGTGGGGAAGCAGAAAGACAAATGCGAGTAAGGAGGCCTATTGGGCTAATTCTAGTTTTTCCCCAGAAGTGATGTTATGAAGAATTACAAGTTAAGAGTCGCAAAGGTAAGGGAGACTTTCATTAAGAAAGTGCATATCAAATGAAATTGATATTCATTACAGCTCATACAAATAAAGCACTCGGCTCACCACAACACATTGAGAAGCTATGTTCAGCATGTTTTCAGAACCCTGCACTTTGACTCGTATGAAATCTGTGTAAGGTTCGGATTATTATTTATTTACTTTACATCTGCAATGGTTAACTGCCAAAATACAGCGTGCTAAAAACAGCAGCTTAACTTTTAGTGGTGGGTAAGTAAGAGGCAGGGATTTAGGCTTTTGCGTCATTTATTTTCTTCCAAACCTGAGGTGGAAACCATCATAAACATTTACGTCTCTGGTTTCGCAAAAAGTAGGAAACATTCCGTGGAATACTGTACACCCAGAAATACATTTAATGGCCAGTTAGTTCACAGACGGCTCTACTAATCCCAAAAGACAAACACTTAATAACCAGCTGGACTACATTAAATATCATGTCCCTCATTTCTCAGTGAGTAAGTTTATCCCCCACAGGGGAGGATGACTCAGAAGCTCTCTGTGGTTGTTTTCTGCAGGTCCGATGTAATTGTGGTTTTTTGCTAGGAAACAATAAGGGCAGAGCTGAACTCCAAAACACTGAGAGGAAGAATTTCACATAAGGAAGTTTGAACTCCGGAGAATTTGTGTTTCAACCAGGCATAATCCCTTTTTACATCAGACAACCCCTCTCTAACTGTAATCAGAAGCTTTTTCTACTTACGTTCTAACATTTTTGCATTTGTGACACAGAACTGACTAAAAGTAGTCAATTTACTGTAGGACTATGAAAACACAACAGAAAAATAGTCAGAGTTTCTTATAATCCTCAGTTACCTCCAAAATCACATAAACATTATGATTGCAAACGCTCAGTGTCAAAGACTTGGGATTTATCAGTAACATCATATCAAGGTAGCAGAGTGAGCAGGTAAATTAAGAGTCCCTGGACCCCAGGTGACTAGACTTTCACTGTGTAATACAACAGGTTCAATATTTTAATATCCTTTTCATCCTTTTTTAATGTATTTTCATTAAGTAACAAAATAAAATAAAAAGAGACTTCAATGTTACAACAGCAGCCTAAAAGAATTCCCCCCCATATTAGACTGTTTAAAGGACAAGCGCAAGTTCTAAGCACATTAATGACGCACTGTCTGAATAAAGGCTGATATGCTGCGACTTACATTTAAGAAAAACGCATTGTACGATCTTTCCAACAAAAATTAAAACCCACGGTCAAAAGGAAACCTGCCTGTGATTTTAAAATAAGGTGCAACATTCACTGATGGAAGTGTAACCACACCCTGGTGTACAATGGCTCATTGAAGGCAATGTACAGGGTGGTTTTTCGTCCTTGTGGAGAAGAAAGTGCTGCATCTTGACGGAAGCTCAGGCATGAAATGGGCTCTGGAATTACCTCCGGTATCCACAGGGCACAGCTGACATGCACCCACTTGGTGCCGCTGCGTGTGGGCTTCATCGCACCTCCTTTCTTGGGGCACAGCAGACACTTGGGAAGAACACCCAGCGCACAGGTTCGGCACAGCCAGCTCCCCTCGGGCACCTTCAGGATACCGTAACATGCCTGAAACAACAGAACAGCAAAGAGCACGGCACTTAGACAGCCTGCAGGCGGCACTATGAACCCACCACATCGTTCTAGGTAATAAGCATTGGTCCCTTCTTTAGGGTCTTTAAGAGATCAGTAGCTGGTAACCTTTCAGGAATCTGTACAAGTAAAAACAAAATAATTATTAAAATTATTATTGAAATCGTACGCATAATGTACAGTTCTAATATTTTGGACATTCTTCTATACTGTGTCTATATTCCTTTGGATACTCTTCTTTATATTTGTTTTAAGTACAGTAACTAATCTACAATGAACAGTTTATTTTCATCAGTAACTGCCCTTTCCAAAAGTTCCATGGGAAAGAATACTTCAATTAATACACGACTAAAGCGCAGGAATTATATGACTGAGCAACTGCAATTAAATCAATCACTTTAACAATGCTCAACCTTGCCAAGAATCAAGGTTATGGCTTCAAAACTTAGAATTAGACTCCAGCAACCGACCCACGAAGATGGCAGTGTAGCTGAAATGGTGCCCGATTCTAGTTTGACAAGAAAATAACAATAGCGAAAGGTTAGTAGACGTAATCCATTAAAGCCTGTAACGATAACAAACAAGTTATACAAAGACAAAGGACAGGGAAAGTAAAACTGATGTCGTCACTTTATTTCTAAACACACCCTCTTAAACAGGAACATTTAGGTTTGACACCATGAAATTGTATGAAACACTTAAAATTCATATTTCTTCCCATCTTATACCATCTCAATCCAGCCTGCGTCTTAAAGTAGAACATATTAGCATTCCTCTGCTAAAAACATACTTTGCATAGCAACTTTTCAACACTAGCTGATACTGTGCTTTTGTCCCGTTACTGCTACAACCAGCAAAATGCTTGTCGGAAAAGCTCGTTATGGCTGTTACTTTGAACACATCGAACCTGAAGGAACATATGACTAACATTAGGGCATCGACACCTCATGAACAATGAAGAGTTGTGAGTCAAGCTTGATGAAAAACAGTCATTGCTGGGCCTACATTTCTGGAAAAGATATATAGAAAGACCCAGGCCTACTTCTGGGCTAGAAACACCTCATATTTATCCTACAAACATCTTTCAGTCCAGGTCCTTCTGGTGTTATTTATGGTTATAAATACAGTTTGTAGCTTCTTCCACTTTTGCTTTTATTAATAGTGATAATGTGATAATCCTACATAAAATCCATTTACCAGGTATCACCCCTCCTCTCAATAAAATCATGAGATGACCACAAAGGCACAGCATCTCTTCTGACATTCCTTCACAAATCGTACATTCATTTGGCATTCGGATGTTCTCTAGCCTTCCAGTAGTAATAAGAGCAGGTTTCTCGCCCCGCACGACTCCCCACTGGTCCTTCCTCCAAACACACTCTCACTGCAGTGTGTAGCCAAGCAGTAAGGGTGTTTATTGCCTCACATCTTACATTACATCCCACCTTTCCCTACTTCCACATGAACTGACACAAACCCTTCCTGGTGAGAGGCTGCAGCGTATCAATGCAATCCTCACTGCAATATAAGCGTCTCTTTTCTGTCAACATGTAATTTTTGACCAAGATGAATACGAACTGTTTAGCTACTCGTACAGATGTTAGTTCAGTTATCCAAATATTTTAGCGACGCTTTTTTTACACCTCACCCCATATTTTTTCCATCAAATCTTACCTACGCACAGTGTCAAAACTCACAACTCTGTTACTCACCAAATCTAAAATTCATTACACTTAAACCTAAACCTTATATATAGGAAAATGTAGATGATGTCAAGTACCATTGCTCATTTATAATGTATATCATGAAAGATGCCAAAGCACTTTCTATATAGAAAAGGATCCATTTCATCCACCATCTGGGTGGCACCTCTCAGCTAGTATCAGCAACCCCACTACACAGCTGCACCAGCTAAATTAAAGGGGAAGTGCAGTCACAGATTCAGACCGGCTATTAAATCTTGGTAACAAAATAAACGATGTGACGGTATCGCAAAGTACAATATCAGGAGCTTTGTGAAAATACAGTATGGTCACCATAGCTGTCACAAACCCCTGGCCGTGCCATGGGCGACAGCAAGAGTTTGTGCCAACTGCGAAGTGAAGTTGCCTTTCCTGCTCACTAGTCACCGTAATGACTAATGTAATGTGATGTACAACCAAGTACATGCAGGTTGTGTAGCAGAAAATCACCGCAGAAATGTTCCAACGTGATCTGCAAGCTGAGTAAATAAGTCCGTTGTATTTGTCGGCAAAACCATCTCGAAATCAAGAGCAATGTTTCTGTTGGATGAAAAGAGATGTATTCACAAGTCTGCTCGTGTACAACGTAATATGACTGCTTCATGTCACCGGAGGTTTTGTTGCATCAATCTGAATCTCATTATATGACGCTGCTGTGTACGCTGGAAATTTTGGTTTAGACAGTTTTGTTTTGTTTGAAAGTTTCACACGTTACTGTGTACATTTTACTTTCATTGTGGTTTGAAATGCACTCATCAATGCCGATTCTTTCTAATCCTGAAATATAAAAATATTGTTGCAATTCCTGTTGCAGGAATTTTAGGTAGGCCACACTATGCAAATACAGGACAGAATTTAGCCAGGATGCTGGACTTAATACCATACTCCAACAAAGACAACCATGACATCTTTAATAACCACAGCAACATTAATGTAGTCATGACTCAGGTTAACATCTTATCCGAAGGATGGGTCCTCCTACAGCATATTGTTCCCGGTCCCACACAGGGGAATCGATTTGCAAATTCTGGACCACAGGGAAGACTGCCTCCTACTGGTCCAGCAACATCACTTACAGTAGAAACCTTGTTTTCTTTCAAAGCCTTCAATCTCAGCACTAACCAAACACAGCCTTGTTCATTTTTTGCATTCTGACTAGATCAGGCTGCGAGGCAGTAATGCTGCAGTCATATACTGTCATATATTCTGTTTACTGTTTTAATAGAAAAAAAATCACAAATTATACCAGCTATGAAATGTTTACATTTGCCAATCTAACCTCATTAGCCAAGTAAGTATGCCAAGTTACGAATCAGAGGATCACAATAGTCAGGCAACTTTGATTGAAATATAACATGCTTTTCACTCTTTACAAGTAGGACTAGAGTTTAGCTACAGAGAAGAAAGACTAGTTAAGACGGAAAACAGCAATTTGGCACTCAAACTAAAATAAGGAATTAAACATTAAACTGCCTTCTTAACCATTTTGACAAGAAATCAACCTGCCATGAGGTTACGTTTGTTTTAATTATTAACAATAAACATTTTATTATTACTACAGTTCACTGAATACTTTAAGGACACCATATACAATGCACATTTCTTTTCAGCTACATATTTTAAACTCGTGTCAAGCTGTATTAAAATCAGAACAATTTTATATTTTTACTATTCTGATCAGAGAAGAACTAACACTTTAATTGAACCTAATCCTAAATACACCAATGCCCTTTCTAAAAATAATACTACTCAATTACAGTATATTTATTTTTTGTAAAAGAAACTTTTGTTTCTCTTTTCACTTTTGAACTTCAGGGTTTCTGGACGCATTACTGAAACAACAGATGAAATTATGGAGTAAACAGTGTAATGAAACACATTAAAAGATTAAATGGGATTCTGAGTTAAGTAGGACACTAAGAAATGCGAATGAACAAAGACTTACAAATTACTTAAAAAAGAGAGTTATCAAGTGTTTATGTGTTTAAACACTTGATAACTCTCTACAACACTTAAAACATTTACGCCTCCGTCAAGGCAACTTACCTGATGGACACAGATGTTGCACTTGTCACAGAAAACCATTTCATTTCCATCTTCTCCGTCCGGAGACTGGCAGACGTCGCAGACGACGTCCTCATCATACTCAATCCCCAGGCCTTCTTCAGTTTCAATGGCATGATTCATGTTGTCGTAGCACCGGCGCTCCAATTCCTCCATGACCCTCTCCATGGTGAGCTCATCTACCCCCTGCATACCTGCAGAACCCAAGCCACAGTGTTCCAGAAATACACTCAATAGGGCCACGGTCTAAAGCTACATTTTAACATTCTCCAAGGAACTATTTCCAACTACCTTTTAAAGTAACTTATCCGTGCTGGTTCTCCATTTTCTGTAACACAACTTGGTAAGCAATGAACTGCTTATGATATACTGTAATGAACTACATAACTTTTCAAACCATTCTTGAAAGGACACATGTTCCAATATGGAGATCTTTAAGAGAATAGTGTACACAGTGCTGCAAACAACTAGCAGCACTATTAACGCATGAAATCTTCATAAAGATACTAACAGCCAGATAATATATTCTGCCTTTAGGCAAAATGAATTGCATTGCAAAGTGCCTTGAGATAATGTCACGAAAGGCACTATATTAAACAATATTATTATCAGAGGCATGATAGTGCAGTGCTTAGTCTTGTTACAGTACTTCGCAGCCCCAGGACCTTACTTGAAATCCAGCGCTGGAGTTCTGGACTTTAGGTGTTTTCCCTCTGTTCCCCTGAGTTTCCTCCCACAATTCAAAGACATGCCATCCAGGTTATTTGGCAATTCTAAATCTACCCCCTGCACTGCTCACCCTGTACGTGCCAGGTCAGGCTCTAGCACAGCATGCCTTCTGAGGATTATAACAAATAAATAGATGATGTAAGTCAGCCTGCATTTTGTTACGAACTACAAGCTACGAACACTGGAGGAGAATGGCATCCCTCGCAGGCAACGGAACATACCTGCTTATACCCCAGAGGCTAAGGGAGTGTTGCTGAGAAACAAGTTCTCCATGACAGACTAATCCCACCCTACCCTCAGTGGTGCTCAGATAACAGTGCATCACTGCTTGGGTCCTCCCAGCCACAGGTTGCCACAATCAAAGACAGGAGTTTTGTTTTAATAATGGCAATAGATTCCCTTTTGTGTGGTTACACCATTGCAAAATGCAAAAGAAAAGTTACCAGCTGTTAAAAACTGTTAATATGCTATCTGCGATAATATGCGATATACGACCAACATTTTTTTTCCCCAGACAGCAATCGTTTCTAACACCGCCTCTCCCAAATGGAAGCCAAGGCCAGTGTCCTTCCGGAATGGATACACCCTTTAATATCCTATACGCAGTACAGGCCTGGTTAGGGTCTTGAATTCAAGGGAACCTCTTGGACATCCTGCCTGAACCTTCAAATGTTTTATCTTACTGAGTACACACATTTTCTTTGTTGTGTATGATTCCTAAAAAATCCATTCCCGAAGCCGAGTTTGTAATTTTTTTCATCTAATGTTCATGGTGTTGCATTCTGATTTTGCTGGTAAAAACCTATGTAATTCACCTGCTGTTCTGTGTGTTTATGAACTCGTGCTGAGAGCAGTATATCATTAGTTTGTTGCTTTATCAGACAATACATTCAGTGCTGTGAAAACAAACTTAATGGTTGTGTTAAGGGGGCACTGGAGATCACTTGCATTTGTGATATTTTAAGAATGAAAAGTAGTGTTAAAAGAAAATATACAGTACACGTGTAGTAGGTTATGCCACCCTACTATATAGGGTAAAGGTAAAAGCAAAATATTTCACATTTAAGTCAACTTCTGTTTTTGTAAGGGTTACTTTTGGAAACACAGTTTGTCTTATTGCTTGTTCCACACCTGCTCTTGTAGCCAATTAGCAAAAATATAAATGCTAAAAAAAATTATGCAATCCTGTAAATTGTTCTTGCACAGCACATTTTGTAACAGCCTCATTTGTCTTCCCTGAACCATTCCTGGATGAACTCGCAGCTTCTTTCGGCTGGCAGCAATGTGAGGTTATGTAAGAGTCAGACTCAAGTCTTAGTCCCAGCTGTGATCAAAGACACCACAGCCCAAGGCAATCATTTTCATGCTGACTATCCAACTTTACACAGCACAAACGCTAGGAGCAATGTTGGTTCTGTATAATCCCTTTGCTGTAATAGAGTGCATGCCGTTTTATGGCTTCAGGATTTCCACTTTATGATTTTCTTTCCATTATGTGACAAGGGGGAGTTAAGAAAAAAAAATAGGTATAACATCATAGGCATAAAAATAATGCTTTTACATGGAAACTTTGTCTTTTTCTTTCATTCTACATTTTTGACCATTAAGACCACATTTATCCCAAATAGCCCACTATGTTAAGTAACTGTCTTATCTCTAATTTTGCTTTATGGCTGAAACTAAAGAACTAAACTAAAGAATAAACAACCTAAAAGCTTAAATCAATAACATTCAAAGTTAAGTACTACTCCTCCCCATTTGTCACACCAAAATAGCCAAAAGGCTAAAGCTGTATATGTACATTTTAATATTTGAAGTCCAATTTACAATATTCAGAAATCAGACTGACTGATGACTGCTTTGATGCAATACAGTTATAGATGACTACTTTGCATGTCAATAATTATAAGCATAACAATAATAATGAGCTTGAGTCAGGGTAGCCCTGGCTTGCCATGCAGCAGAAACACCCTGTGTTCTTGCCTATTGTCACTGAGAGATGATGTGTCATTCCTCTGAACGCTGCTGTCCTGCAAGGCAGGACACCAGGCAACTTTGGGTGTGTCCAAGGAGAGTGTACGTTGTACTTCTTTCCTTGATGGTAGAAGGGTTACAGGGGTATGCCAGGCTGATTAACAACTGCAGATATCAACTTTTTTATTATTGAAAAACTAAAATTAGAGGAACTTTAGAGAAAAAAGTATATTTGTGGCTCTAGTACTGTTCTTCCTCTGCCAGCATTTATGAACAATTCATGCACTATATTCTCGTATCTTACGATGCAAACAAAAAAATAGTGCTCTCAACCGCTGGTTCGAAAAATGCCAGCCTTACCCATCATCTGCAATTCTTCGTTGATGAGCTCCAGCCAGGCCACGTCCGTTTCGTTGAGATCATAGCGACACGTCCCCTCTGCCAAGGTGCGGATGTCCACATACCCCAGCTCCACCGGCTCAGAGCCCGATGAACGAATGAACTTCTTCGGCCTGGTAAACATGATCATCTTCTCTTTCTCAGCCACACACCTAAGGGGACCGCACAAAAAGACCAAATAAAAAAATCATTACAAATTGCCACTCACAACACACTTCAGAATTAGCCTTTCAAATTAGGACACAGCAGACGTACTTCAGCTTCAGTACATTCTTCATTGTCAAGATTTTAAACAATATATTTTTGGCATGTGAAATGAGGATGAAACTATGTTGTTTTCCTATAGTGTAAAATTACATTTGAAAAGAATGACCTTTTGAAGATACTATATAACACTCTGTCTTGTGCTGAAAACCATCTTGTTTGCAGGGGTCTTGCAATTATCTACTAAAATAAAGAAGCAATAGAACTAAAGCATGTCCGATGTGTGAAGATAAGAAAGCAGTCATTATGCTCTTATCTGTATTGATTCCTGTACAGCAATTTTTCCTGGGGAAACCCACAAACACTGCAGCCTTCTTTTCAGTTATGTCAAATCCATAATCATTGTGGTAATGCAGCTATTAATTGAGGGTAATCTTAGCATCATCTAAAAATACATGGAATATATATTTCCTGGAAAAAAATGCAATCCTGGTGGAAGAATAAGAAATGCCAAAAGCTGCCTCTTAGCATCAACTACAATCCTGATAAAAACAGGGATGATTCAAGACAACAAACACCTAAACACCTAAGTGTACGAAATAAGACTAAAAGCACTGGCTAAAAATAATGCTTCACACCCCCTGCCCCATACTGTATCATCACATCCTGCCAGAGGATCATCAAAGGTTCAAGTTCACTCATCTACACCACCATCTACAGGTTTACTAAATTTTATTGTAGTTTCATCCATATAAAGGCAATGGTATACTTATGGCCACTAATACAGTAATGGCTTTCCACGGGTATTAAAGAAACCCCCCAAGTATCTTTATTGCTAAGATGATGGTTCTTTGCATTTGTAAGTTCATTCCGAAAAAATGAAATCCAAGTTAGAGTTTCTGATGCCCTCTCAAAATTTACACATTACAGATTTTTTCATCCATTATTTAGAGATGAGAAGTCAACTGAGAAGCAACCGTCATTTATTACGATAATCTGGAGACTACTCATTTATGCAGCAGGGGATTTACAAGAGCAATTCTGAGTGAAGCACTCTGCTCCTTTCTCCTCTTACAATTCTACACAAAATCTAGAGCTAAAAGGGAAATGGGTAATATAGAGTACTACAGGGCTCCTGATTTCAAAATGTCTTGAGGATAAGTGACGAAAGCTTTCATTAACCTCATTTTTACAGAGCTACCAGAGAAGCCAAAACACATTTCAGAATTTCTCCCTTTCCTTCAGTACCTAATCACTCTGTGACAGTACGAGTTTGAACTGCACAAAAATAAAAATTGCAGTAACAATCACACCACAGGAAGAAATGACAGCAGAAACAAGGCTGGATATTTGCTTTCAAATCTGAAGTAGGACAAATTACAAAATGTCCTCAATTAGCACTGGTTTGCAATAGTGCTCTTTGTCCTGGTCATTACTTTTATTACTCCACAGACATTCTAGTTTTATAGAGATGTATATCTATCTTGAAAAAAACAAGAGCAGACTCGGTGCAGGCTGGAGTTTTGCTTCCTGCTGCTGTAAATGTATGTGCTGAAGGCCAAACTCAAGGAAAAACTGCACAAGCTCCCCAGCCAGTGAGAGGCATGACACACATGTTTACGGTACGGACAGTCCCATCTGTATTCACCCTTCAAGAAGAAGTGTTAGCTTCCAAAAAGAAGCCACAGCCTGGCCCATCCTTGCCAATACAGCTACTCCCATCAGTTTCCCATGGCTGCCAAGTTGAAGGAGAGAAGGCGGATGGTCGATCTACACAAGCTCTGACTGAGTGTGTTGGTGCATAGCCAAATTATATGCATTTCTTATGTAACTAGGATTTAAAAATATTTTTTTTCTTCTGTTTATAATGGATTTGTAACTAGATTCTGTTGTAAAAATGTAAGGAATGCCATAACCAATACCCCAATGAAGCCCTCATACATCACTCTCCATAAGAAATAGTGCTCCATCCCCAGTGAAACCATTCTAGAATTGCCTTTGGCAGCGGCGATTCCCACAGCACAGCTTTCATACTGGAAGGGACTGGAGCAAAGGGGAATTAGGGAAACCCCTCGCAACCACACATCTCATTGCAAACAAGTACTGTAACCAGGAAGATACATCTCAATAACCTCCGAGCTACTGATGTCCAGTTTTCCCCATGAAGAGTGAAAGCAAAATTAAATACTGACCCAAGCTAAGAAAGAATAACTGTAGCCTCCGCCTCAGCAGAAGCAAGCCGAAAGTGACAGAAGTCACTGTCCGCTGGCAGAGGTGCAGTCGAACAGTGCCCTGTTCATCTCCGACCCCCCGCCAGCTCTCGGGGGAGCCGGGGGAGCGAAGGGGACATACCTGACGACTGGCCACGGAATGGACTCGGGGCTGACTGGGACCTGAACGCCCTTCTCCCACTCCTGCCTCCAGGGGTCAGCCAGGATGTAGTAGTCTTCTGGGTTCAGCTGGTAGGAATCGTGCAGCTTCATAGCCGTGATCAGGTCTGTCCTGAACACCTGTGACAGACAGACCCAGCATTTGTATATCATGGCTTCAAAGAATGGATAGTTACAGCACCACAAACTGTGAACGTGACAGCCAAAAAATAATTCTGCAGCAGAAATATCATTCTTTCCTTATTTCCTTCTCTCTCTTCATAGTTACACTGCCTTCATATATTCTTCTTTGTGAATTATAGTATTAAGATAAAAAGAACTACTTCCCACTTTAAGTATGACGTGCAGTGATCAGGTAAATGTATTGAACAACATGCTGGAAGCCGGACCTACAGAGAGTACGGAGGCAGAACACAGCTGACTACCCTACACCAAGTGTGGACTTATCAATTGGGAATTGTGGTGCATAACGATAATAGGAAGGAAAGCCGTAGTAAGGGAAAAGGTTTCTAAACATGTCTCTTAACAAATATGGAATGCATTAGCTGTAAGGCTACAAAGAACTGTGCTTGTGGCTTTCCATTCTGTGCACATTCTAAAGTGGTTTCCTGTTTTTCACTGGCTTCTTAAGAAGGATCTGCTGAATTGTGATGGGTATAGGCATGCCTGAAAACAGCATTGTCCAAAGTCCTGACAGGCTATACAACTACCTTCCCTTCTCAGGGCCAATGTTATTACTGCAGTCGTAGTCATCCATTCCCTTCCTAAAGCAATTCAGACTGAAATACTGATGTTCAAGCATATTATTGGTTTGGAGAAGGGATAAGGTCCTCAAGGACCAACAGCACTAATTCAAACATTTACGACGTACTGTAAATATCCTCATTTATTATTCTTGCTGCTATTTGCAGATCTTCTGAAAATAGTTCCCATTTAATACAATGTTTGCTCTGTACTTTAGCAATTGCTATTGCAGTTTCCCTTTCTTTGAGGCTTAGAACTTAAATGTTGTAGACAAGGCCAATTTTCCCTGGAACAATAATTGGGATGATACAGACTTTGCCTTCAAAAATACTAAACACTGAATGATCCACTTAAATTCCCTTAACTCAGAGGATCTGACCCCTGACACTAGGAGACACTGTCTCCTGAAGATCGTTTAAAACACTCTGTCCATGGAGCATGTGGACACATTATTACAAGTCCTAGGAGTGTGAAGATGTTGCATTCTGGGAACGTTTTGTCCATTATTATTAAACAGGGATATTACTCTTGCTGGACGATGACTGCAATCGGAGCAGCAGAAAGTGATCTGGCTGACTGTAGCTACAAACTGGGGGTCTCTGCATCCCCCCTTTCTGGTTTTAGAGGGTCCCAGCCTGTCCTGACAGTATTGCAGTGGAGCTCTTGACCGCTGGGATCCTTGATGCCAGTAGGGAGGAAAGTGGAGGCTTGATGTCGTTCGGTGGATGATGAGGATGATGGGTGGAGGAGTGCTCGTGAGGTACTGCTTATTGCATTTGAAAAACTAAAATTTGTTAAAAAAAAGGTACTGCACTTCATGCATGTTCACCTTACTATTGTCTACTGAAGACCAAACACTTTTTGGTCAACTTTGTTATTGCTTTGGAGCACATAAAACAGTAGACCTTTAAAATTGATTATCTGAAGAAGTTGAACTAATATGTAATAAAAGAGTGTGAATCCGTGAAATTGAATACAATTCATTCATAACATTTTCTATATACCATGGCAACTTGCATACTGTGTTCCCATATCATTTATGCTTTAAAATATTTTTGTCTAACATTTCATTGTCGCTGGGTAAAAGAATTATGAACTACATGCTATAACAAATAGTCTTTATTTAGTTCTCTGTTTAAAGTCTCAAACCAAAACCACGAAGCACATACATACTATCAGAAAAGTAAGTTTGCCACAATCAGCTTTTTTTTTTTGACTGAATTACACAAGATGCCTTTAGTAGTTTACCCAGAACTCTGTCAGACTCAGATAAAGCTTTATCTACGTTTCCTGGCTGCTGTATTAAGAACTACATCAAATGTGCTGGGTAGGTTTATGTTTTAACAAACTCTTTGCCACAGTATTCAAGCATTAAGTCTCTCTTGAATATACAGGTATGAAAGCTGACATTCCTTTTGTCTCCATTAGGCTTTCAAGAATATATCATCATCTCTGGTGCAATGGGGTACACAATTTCAACAACCCTAGTCCCTTATAACCTAAGGGACTTAACTAATCAAACCACAGCATGAAGTTCCAAGACTGCTCAGCCAGTTAAGACCAATCGTGTGCCATATTAATTTAGGGGAATTACGAGTACAACACAATACATCGTCACCCTGTGCTAGCCAACATGGTCACTAGCATTCTTCTATTCTGAACATTCACACTGCTTTGCAGTCAAACACTGTATAACTAACCCAATACAATTTTAATGGGTATTATTACCCTAAATGACACATGACAATAATATAGAAACCTAATGACCACATTGCTTTACTACAGTATTTTATAACTGGGAATTTTCTTAATGCGTCATGGTTTTCTTATTAGTGGTGACAATTCTTATACATTCTTTCTTTGCTTTAACATCTTCTCAACCTTGGTACCACGGTTGCAATAACATTTCATCACATTAGAACTTGTTAGAAAGCGTTTAAAACTAGTGCTAGCATAACACCTGTAAGTTATGCTCCTACTGAATGTATATCTCACCAAATAAACTGTGCTGAGAAAGAAGCTGCTGCTCGTTACACTAGTCCAAAGCAGGGCATACCTCGGACGGTTTTCTATCTTCACTTCTGGACCACGAATTCCTCCTGTGCTGAGATTTGGAATGCTGTGACCAAGAGGTAGAATGACCTAAGAAAGAAACAAAAACACAAAAAATTAGAAATAACAACATTCAACAGTTCATCTGGCCTTTTAACCTAATTTAAACTGATGCAACTGTCTGAAGAACAGACAATTCTATTCTTTTATTACCCCATTAATTATGGTTACTGTATTTCAGCAAATAATCTGAACTTCTAAGCATCGGAAACCGATACAATCCACAAATCGTGCCCTGTTTTACCCACTTATCTTCAAATAAAGGTGAATGGATGCCAGCTACTAGGAAGACCATGATGCACATGTTGTTATTCCACCTAGATTAAACCTTTAGTTAAAATCTTATTCCAGTCATTAACAGCAAGCTTTTGTGTTTTTTTAAAGGTCACCTAACGGTCCAAATAAAAAAAATGAACTGTATTGTAATAACACCTGAAAGATGGAGCCAACAATAGAAGCATGTGTCCTACTGAGTTGAGGACCAGGCTCAGCCTGAGCTCAGGAAAGGCAGCCAGGCCTGCTGTACTGTAACACAGCGAAAGGACCCCTTGTTTTGTGCCTGTCCCTGCCCTTCATTTCCAAAACAGGCACCTCTAAAGAGCCACCATCAGTCTTCTGGGTGGAGTATCCTGACAGTCAAGGAAGCAAAAACTGGTTTTTACTTAAAACCCCTACATGACACCTCGCTTCTCTTTCCTAACCTGCAGACATTTCTTTGTGTGTCCAAATGAGACGCTTCCCTCTTGTTCCTCTCTGTCTTTCCCTGGGAACTTCTGCTTTCTTTCTCTCTTTCCTATTTTTACCTCTTTTTTGCTCTCCTCGTTATGAAAAAAATATAATATTACTTTAAATACTGTAGGGTTCACAAACTGAAAAACCACTAAAAACACTACAGTAAATATACGATACCACATCACCCCACCTGTGTGCAACCAGGCTCAGGCGTTTTGTTTAATAACCACATCCTGCCCTAGATTTTGCCTATTTCTTAAACTTGTGTGTATTATTATACATTAAATTATTATTAGAATTTTGAATTTATTTTCCAAGACAACTCCACATACAGAATAATCTCATGCTGTCTACTTATGAAGCACTTATCAAGCATTGTACCAAAAAATAAAACACTACACTAAAACATAATTCAACTGAGGTGTCTGACAGGAAACACTCGCAGGACTAATTTCCTTTCCTGTCTTCTGTTCTTTCAACATTGCAGGTGTTGGTTCAGGATCCCCGATTTTTCAGATTACAGTTCTACAAGCGAACGAATAGTTCATCAGTGGAGGATACACAGCAGTGCACTTTAAGGAAATCCAGCATGGAGCAGCTACACTGTCATTTACAGAAAACACAGCAACACAGTACAACCCGACCTCTGTAAGGAAGCCAAAACAAACAAGTGTCACTGGTCTTTAACTGCATTTAAGAGCTTGCTGAGGCTTAGACTGCATGAGATAATGCAGTATATAAGCTGGTCTAGTGTAAGCAAACTGGATGAGACCAGCAACCTGAAAAAAAAAAGCTTACCGACAAGCATGTATAAAAATAAGGCACAATGAATGTGTATGAAAGACCTCTTCAGGACAATGCTTAAATGATGGTCTAATTTTATACATCCCAATAATCATATGGGAAGTCCTATGAAAGACAACAGCAGTCAAATTTATCTGTATGCTATGTATGCTAGTAAAGCCCCCCCCCCCCATCCCAATATGAAGCACTCAGTCACCCACTGACACTGCACTGCCTCCTACCAGAGCCTGGCACCTGTCACCAGTCCCATGTAGGTGGCGGAGATGCTGCAGGGAATGGACTGCTTCCATCTCCAACCAAAGGAACAGCCACTGAAGAGCAAGTCTGCACTTACTTCCATTGTCAGAGTCCTCGCTGCTGCTGGGAAGTCGACTACGTTTCATGGTCTCCAGTCTAGAGGTTAAGACGAGGTCCCGTGTACAGAGCTGTGATGAAAAGGAAGGATGAAACTTGAAAATAAGCAACAATAAATATTAAAGGCATAAAAAGCTCACAGCAGAGCCCTGTGATCTACTGGAAGTGATCAGAGTGTTCAGAGCTCTCCAAACACAAGTGATTCTGATGAAATCTCCACAAGACGAAACAGAAAACATATTATACATAACGAAGTATCTATCATTGTGATAAAAGGAGAGAACTTTCTTCCAAGAAACACAGAAAGACCCACAAAGAACAGCACCCAGTTGAATCACTAGCAAATGAGTAACTCATTTATTTAGTACTTGCTTAAAACTGACATTATTTGCAACAACTGTGTAATGTCACCCTCAAGACAGAAGTGCTCCCGCAAAGATGTTTCTAACAAAGTCACAAAAATCAGATGCTGGTGATAAGCTTCCTGAAAATGTTTCTCATTCTAAAGCCTATAAACATGACCTAACATGCTTTCATAAAGACTGAAAATGCAATTTTAACAAAATTAAATATACCACTTATGCTCACCTGAAGTAGATCTTTTAACTCACCTTTCAGAATTAAAAGTAGTTTACGAAACTATTTTAAAAGCCAAACCAAGAAAACCTTTTAGATATTTTGGACTACCTGTTATACAGTATGTGGGTCTAATCCTGGAACTACTGTACATCTCTACCACCAGAATAGGTACAATACCACTTAACACTGCTGTCAGAAGACTGGGATACAGTACAGGGCACAGAGCATAATATTTTTCAGAAGGTCTGTGAGATATCCTCAACATAGAGAATACAATACCATGTTATTTTTTTCAGAAAGCAAATGACATTTCAGATTCAGGTTTCTCCAAATTTTCAATAACATGAATCTTATTGGCTGGGGAAGAGTCCGAGGTTAAAGGGAGTGTTTGCAAGACACTCCCATGACATTCAGTCAGGTAGTCAAGTGTGTACTGAAGACTCAATTCACTGCATTTCCAAAGCCTTTAACAAGGAACAATTTTATCAGCAGCATATTTTTCACAAACCTCTGGGCATTTTGAGACATAAAACATCTAAAACATTATAAGCCAACAAGGGAACAGTTTGTGTCTCTTTGTATATATGCTCTTTAGGATGCACAGGCACTTCTATTGAAAAACAGTGTTTGAAATTAAACGGCCCCTTTCACCTAAAACTCTTCATTACAGATGCAATTCCACATATTATAACTTGGCAAGAAAGAGACACTTGAGCCTGAGGAAAGGGTCACTGAGAATCTAGAATCCTAGTAAAAAAAACATTCCACAAATATTGCTCTAAACCATGAAAATCCACAGAATTATTTAAAACAACCAAACTTTATCAAAATAATCCTCAAGGGTTTTTGGTGCCAAAACCTTGTGAGATTCCACTTGGAGAGTAAGCCTTGTGTACACCTGACCGTGGAGCAAGTTGTACAGTGCAGATCAATTGGGAAAAGAGCAATAAAAGTAGTCAATACCTAGCATGTGATATCATAACAAATCAGCTTCACTGTGCAGTGGGAGACAGAAAGTGTCCCAAACACTCTGCTCTTCTGTTACAAAAGAGCACAGAGTCGGGCATTTGCGGTCTTCCCGCATTCTACAATTATTTTATGAAAGGCTTTAGATTATTGAAACGCACTGCTTTTCCAATTGTCTGATGTGAAGGGGTTTTCTGATAGCACATCTTAAGAGGGAGTTGGGACTACTGGCAGACAGATGCCCACTCTCTCCCCTCACACATCCCCCGTTTTTTTGCCTGATCTTCAGTACTGGAAGAATGATAGCCCAACGTTTTCTACCTGTGTTATCATAATCCCGGCCCTTATGACAAACACGCTCATTGTATGATGTATCACTTATTTCATCAAATAAAGATAAGGATTCCAGTAGTGTCCATTTTCAATTTTACAAAAAATGAATGCTTTTGACGCATAATGTAAGAGTTGATCTTAAACAACTGTTTTGGAGATGACTAACTTTTGAGTCATTAAATAAAACACTATACCAACAAATTGTGCATCCTCAGTATTTTAACTACCCACATCCCTCTATTTCCTTTCTTGTCTTTTCAGCATGGAATAAACCTTTAACTTGTTCATTATAGAGTGATTGTCCCACAATGAAGACAGACTAGTCTCTCATCCGCTATCTGAACCTGGAAAAAAGTGTGATAAGCTACTGTAATATTTTACAACATTTTATGGGGATAATACGTAGGATTTTATATACAATAACACAGGGGAGACAATCCAATTTAAAGCAGCCGTAGGTGTGCTAGAGAGATACCACTGATCACCACATGCCTGCAGAGAAAAGGGATACCTGCATGACACAAGGCAGACAAATATTTTTGAAAAGACTCCTATTACCTTTCACTTAATATTTATTTATTACCTGCCCACTCAATATGCGACAGTATCAATTCCCATAATCTCTTTAGAGGTTCCAGCAGTACTGCTCTCAATGGGATTTGAGGTTGATGCAGGGATGTGGAGTTTTTTGTGGTGATATTTAGAATTGTTTAAGGAGAAAGAACCTGTACAGGCCTGAACTCAAACCATAATTAATGGACCATCCAATTATTAACATAAACCTGCGTATTCTTCGTAGGGTCCTGGCCTGTCCTGGAAGCAGAGTACACAAGATGGCTCTATACTCTATACACACAGCCCACTGCTGAGTGCTCATGCACACAAACGGGGGGATGATGTCTAGACACCAACCTCTCTAGGCTGTCTTTGGAAGGTGGAAAGAAAGCAGAGCTCCTACAGAAAGCCCCCTTGAACCTGGAGAGAACATGCAATCTCCACACAGAAGGTGCACCTGTGAAATTGAGCCCAGGACCACAGACTTGTGAGGCAGCAGTACTAACCAAGATGCCACACATTCCTCACAAAAAACCAAAACAAATGTGGTGTACTTTGTTGTTCAACATTACAAACTCAACTTAATGAGTCAGTGAAATTTCTATTATTGTTTCAAGTTTAATTTAAATTTGAACTAACTGCAATGCAATGAACATAGCAGTTAAATATTTTCAGCACACAGAAAAAGAACACGAGTGAAGTTAAGAACATTTTTACTGCACTACACTGGCTGTAAAACAAAGCCACAGTACTGCAATGTCTTGCTAAAAACTTCAAGCAGCCTTAATAGGGCAGAATGCTTCTGTAAGCACAAAACCAACACTGCCCAATCAAGACGAAAATCCCAGCTTTTTCTCTTCACCAGTGGTTCCCCACCTTGGAGGAACACTGTTTTTCACAATGACCTCTAATTATCCATTTAATTGGAGATTATCAGATCATCTTGCGTGTTTCGACTTTTATAAAACGTTTCTTGGGTCAGTCCCTCGTGTGATTAATGCCCTACTTCAAGGGTATTGTTGCCAACAACTTCAGCCTACAGAACTTTCATTGCCTCTCCTAAACTTGTTTCTGATTAAATTACTCTTAACTAGCAGAACAGCCACAGGTGGGAGTAACACAGGATGAGACACTCCCACGATGAGCATTTCTTCCTTCTGCATTGGTCTAATTGGTTCTATTTCAGGCAACACTCCCTGGATAAGGTCTAAGTTCTAAAACACAAAAATTTCTACTGGGCCGATACCAATTACAAACCCCATTTGTCTTTTCGAGAGTTTAAACAAATTTGCAAATATGTCCCAAACACAAAACTGAAATTAGCCTGGAATTAAGAACTTGGCTGGAGCAAAATGCAGAAGGTACAGTATTCTTCTAGGATCAGGGTTGGGAACCACTACCTAAGCTGTACCGAATTCATCAACTATTTCATTTTCCCTCACATCTTAACCCCAGAATGTCACAGTCAAGATGCTAAACTGGCACCTGATCCTCCTTAAGAAAAACCTACTCCAATATCCTACCAGAATATTCTTCTATAGCAATCTCTCTCTTTCTCTGGGGAAAGCACTTGCCTTGCTGACCTGAATTTCTATAACTAAGAAACGGACACCACAGTATTGTTTATTCTTTACAGGACAAACTTGGATATGCTAACTTTAGGGTTCACAAAAGCAAACAGACTGCAAGTGACTGCTGCTTATAATGAAAATCGTTCTGATTAAAAAACATTAATGCAATCTTCACTAACCCGCTAGAGAAAAAGCTGAACTGGGATCATATTTATTTATGTATGGAGAAGAAATGTGTGTTATACAAGCCTACAGCTAAAAACCATCCAAACAAAAACATTCAGAATACTGTTTCACCAAAAGGATTACAGTCGTGTTACACAAGAGTTCCTTAATGATTTGTGTCTTTGCAAAGTTAGCGTGGTTTTCAGAAATAATTCCATAATACTGTATAGGTTCTATTTGGAATTTATTGTACAATAGCATGATACATTTCAGAAATTAGAAGATAATTCTGCCTGAATCAGGGTTGGAGAAAATATAATGAAATCATAGTGTTTCAAGGACTCCTTTCTATTAACTAAACCACAGACAAAAAAACATTTATGATGCATCACAAAGCATAAAAGTTCCATAATCAAATAAAGCACAACAAAACTCTCAGCTAAAGAGTGAACCCATTTACTTTAATTCTCTTAAGGATGAAGACACAAAACAGATCCAAAAGGACATTTGCAGGAACATGTCTCTACTACCTTTCAAAGCAAAAATGCTCCATCTCTCCTTGATCTTTTCTCTAGCAAAATACCTCATGGTTATAACTACCAGTCAGACTAGACACCACAAGCATTATGGCAAACATTGCCTTTCCAATAACTACACACAAACAATCCTACATACTTCCACAGTATACAGTGACTAGAAAAAGCATTCACCCCCCTTTTTGATGAATTACAAATTATTTTCCTTTGTAGTTTTTGCTGACATTGAACTTCTTTCACATTTTCGTTAAAGTACTCAGTTTGAGCATGTACAGTATGTTTTGATTAAAAGTTATTCACCTGATTATGTTACCTTGACAAAAACTAACATTGTATGAACAACTGTACCACAGTAAGACGTGGCTGGAAGGGGATGAATACTTCTGCTAGGTAATGGATAAGCCATTTTCAATTCTGAAAATGGTTGGCTGTTCTACGTGTTTCTTGGAGTCAGTCTGTTTCTTTGTTACACTTTTCACTAAGGACTTATCGCAGTCCCCAATAATGTGTGTACTTCTAGCAAATCCCTGATCTTAACAAGGGCGTATAAAACATCAACAGCGCTCAACACCGAAAATGAGGAACACCTGCTTGCACTGCTACAGCCCTGGAAACACCACTGGATGCTGTCGTCTGTAAGCACAGCTCAGAACGGTCCTGTCACGTCACGTCACGTCACCTCAGCTCAAACAAAAGCAACACCAAAATCAGAAGTGACAGTGTCAGTAAGTGGAGTCGCAGAGTTTCCCTCAGCGCTGAGGCAGGCCGCGCTGTGAACTTCTCCTGCAACAGTGTGAGCAGGGAAACAGCAGCTCCTGGAACACTAACTCTGTGCAGAGACTATGTACTGCTTTCTGTTTATACAACTGTACACTGGACCGAAAGGACAGAATAATACTTTAAAAAAAAAACTGAAACCATAACGGAGGCTCAGGTGAAATATATAGGCGGAGCAGACCAGACTCAAGCCACTCACACTCAAGAATGTACTCAACTACAGGCGCATGAACAGTCAGGAGCTGAGCTGTAAATGCTCCTGAGTGGCGGTATCAATCACTGAATGATGATCAAGGTTTAACAAAATCCTCATCCTACATGCGCTTCTTCAGAACTGTATTCCCAGGCTGGTAATAAATGCCTGTGTGGAAAAAGAAATGTGCTGATAGTTATTCGCGCACCCTTTGTGTTTGGAGCACCTCTCTCAGCTCTCCAGTTTCTTTGCAATAATGAATTCCACTCTGATGTTCTCAGAATTATTCCACGTGGCAGCGGGTCGTGCATCTTGAGCCATTTTGATGCAGCTCATAATTTCTCTTTTAGCAGGTCCTTCAATTACACACATAATGTCACAGCTGTACATCTTTTCTTTCTTTCATTATTCATTGCAACTCGGTGATGGCAGCCGCATTTCTGCGCAAGCTTAGAGGTCGATTCAATATTTACTCGGGCAGCAGGAACGTTTTCACATAAGAAGACATGAACTTGAACAGCCCTTCGAAAAAGCACTTAAATTAATCTGTACAAAATACAAATAAAGCCTTGACAGCAGTTAACTGCTTGTGTGTAGAAAAAAAAACTGGACTTTTTTTCCTTTACCTGTTGCAAGTGTTTAGTGTATGTGCAGTGCAACATGGAAGGGATATGACACTAAGACACGTGCCGTACTTTCCCAGACAAATGTGAAAATGACTTCTGCAAGTAAAAGCATCTTGTTATTAGAAGATGACCCTCTTGCTCAATGTAAAAAAAATCTATTTTGAAGAGATGCTGCCAAACTTCTCAAATGTGGACTATGATTTTCCACCAGGAAATGAGCTCAGGGAAAAGAGAAGCTTCAAAATTTCAGGCAGGATGGAGCATATCCACAATGTTTTACAAGGACTGAAACTCTGCAGCATTGAAACAAGCTTCTGTAAGTTGCTGTGCCGTGTGCAGATGTTGTTTCTCAGTGAACCTGCAAATGCAAAACTTAGTTCTCTGCACATCTGACTGATGAAAAGAAGAGTCTGTTAACCTGACTTCAACATTCAGACTCCAGTACAGTCCCTCACTTCACAGCTTTATCATCAGTGAGTGTCACATACCTTACTGTCATCTATTCAGTGGTGTGATAAAATATCCACTTATTTACTTGTAAGGTTGTCTGAAAATATTTGCCTGGTTGTTTTACAAAGCTCATTCCTCCTAGACCGCTTGAGGTCTGAGCAAAGCTGCTCTAATGTTTACCCCCATTCATCTTCCTGATCTCAGAACAGGATCCAAGCACAAAAGAAGTCTCCCTGAAATTCTGGCACTGAAGTTATACCTTCAAAGAGCAGGTCTGAACGGCAAGGGCTATTTGTGTCAAATCAACACTGATCTGAAGCAACAAGACTGCCTGCAACTTCTCTCACTTCAGCTCCACTGATCCACTAAATGAGTTCAGTTTCGGCAGTAATACAGAACACTAATCCTCTTCACATTCATGAAAAAGGACAAAAGCAAACAAGGCAAACAAATATCCCCTAACAAATGTTTTCAAATGAAAAATACTGCCACCAACAATTGCCTTTAACTGTTGTTGCTTCCTAAGACATGGAAAGGCCCGTCCTGAAATCTAGTTCACAACCACACGTAAAAACACAGAATGATAAGTGATCCAGCACTGACTGAAATAGTAAGGAATCCAAAAACCAAGGCTTTTCCCTGCCTACTGGCAAGACTCCATCATTTTCATAACAGAACGCTTCAGGAAAAGATTTTTTACTAGTCTAACCTACATCCGCTAACCAAATATGCCTGCACATTCCAGGCCTCATGCATTCCTCAGCCTGACTTGCGATCCTGACCAGGCTGTCTGGTTCACCAGGTGAGCACACGGGAGGCAGTGTCTATACCAGCCGCCTGTGCTAGAGACATTCCAGCGTGCAGCCTCTCGCAGTGGCAGAAACAGAGCTGGTTGGCAGGTCTGACTGCAGCTAAAAAGTTGCTGGCACTGCACAGAGAGCCTCTGCATTCTCTCTCTTGGCATCGCTGGCTGCTGGCCTGGCTTGATATTATTTATACAGAGCTCTCGAGCACTGTGATCCATGCTCCAGCTCAGGGGAGGATGGAGATGTGAAAGCCTTGTGGCGTGGAGCCTCCACTGAAGCTGCATGACTATTCTGTGTGTCTGGTGCGAGGGACCACTGAGGGCGATGGTGGGGAGGTGAACAGGTGTTTTTATTTGTGCATTTTCCTTAAAACAAATGTTTGGGAACAAATCCGGCAATCCTGGACTGTGCTTCAAAGTCCCAAATGCCCTGGATGAGAGTTTGTAAGTTCAAAGGAAACAATAAAGTACTCTGTTCTCCGGTGCATATCTGGCTGTTGATGTAGACTCTCATCAGGCACAGCCGCTGCCGTCACGTACAATGTGATCCACAAAGCGTCCATTCCACAAACAATGAAACGGTATTATCCCAGGGCGGCTCTTTAAAGCTCCTTAGGCTCCCTGCTAGATGGCAGCCTCTTCCCCTTAACCAAGTCCACTTTTCCTACTCATTCTAAAACCTGAGCCCTACAAGTCAAGACTGTACTCCCCTTTCCAATCCTCCATATCAACCTCACAGGTATCGACTAACACGCGACCCCTACAGGTAATTACGTTCTAACGACAGGTGTAAACATGGGATGTTCTGACGACTCAGCAAGGTAAAGGAGGGGGGAAACAATTCGGGAAAGCAAACTGCTACAGGGGATAATTACAACAATTTTCTAAACATGTGACAGGTCATAAAAATCACAATATATCATGACTGCAACAGCATGTGCACATGCAAATCTAACAATCTCATGCTGGCTCAGCTGCATAACTCAGCACCAAAGCTGACTATATTACAGGCAGGAAAGGAAGCCTCATAAAGAAATATCAAGTCTGAGTCAAGCTTATCACTCATGCTTCCACCTTTTATCAGTGCTTAGCAGTTAAACCTTTTTTTCCTTCATTTTGTCTTTCAGTTGGTAAAATGCACCCTGATGTTCAGATTACCGAGCGAGGTAGACTTCTACAAATACATGAATAGACCGGTGATTCAGACCAAAAATGTAAATTATAGTTCTGCCACCACCTATAATTTGTAGGATATGCTTATTTTTTTGCTAGCCCTTTTAATTGGAAACATATCACGTGAGTCACCTACTGTAGAACACATAACAAGATTTCATATTTCTGAGTCAAATTCCTAAGCCTTGAAAAATCTGTGTTTTTCTACATAAACTTAACCATGCCTCCAGGATGGGACAGTGACTTCATAACAATATTTTTTCCTGTCCAGTAATCCTTAATTTCCAGCATCTATAATTTACCCTGCTTCTCAATATAAAAGCTGTATCATACTGTATATTTACATGTTTTATCAGGTTGAAAGGTATTTCGGAAAAGACTTTGCCAAAAGCGATGCCCTGCTTGTTAAAGAGGGTGTGTGGTAAATATTGGTTACTGTCAGCTGTTTTACAGAACACACCTTTCAACCAGTCATCCCAGCTAAAGAGACATTATGACGTTACAGATAACAAACCCACTACATAACTGAACAAGCTGATCTAAGGCTTAAGTCAATATGATACATTCAGAGGATTATAAAATATGTAGAAAGACATTCAAACACTGTTTGGCTGCCGGAGGAGAATGAGTGACAAAATAAATTTCTATTCCAGGTCGTTTTAAACATCCACAACAGAAGAGGGCATTATTGTCACTACAGCTTTGAGACTCCTTTCCTAAATTTCAACTCCGCTCTCAACCTCCAAGTACACAAATGCTTCAAAATTGACTCATCTTCAGATTGGGTGGAAAAAACAACAGTTGGCTAGTGGGTTACTACAGAACAGCCATTTCTATTGCTCACCTTCATTTTCATGCCTAGTCGCAGTAGTTAGGCTGCATTAAGCATACTGATACAAGTCCGTCACTACACTAACAAAGTCCACCTAGAGGAACTCAAAAAGAAACACTGCAACAAACTAGAGGACACGAGTGGAACCTACATAAAAGTGCGTTTAAATCTAAAAAACAGCAGGCAGGCACGTCTTTACTCGAAGGTTTGTGGTGGGAGTAAAACAAGCTATCCAACCATGTTGTTGATGCCTATACGCTGCATTCTTAAAAAAAAAGGCTGGGTAAGATCCTCAGTTGAATTACCTACTATGAAACGGGTTAGATCGTCCAGATGTCCCCATGTTTGTGACCATTCTTAGGGTCTTACCTGTCCGTCTCTCCCTCTTCCTTTACTTTATAACTCCTGTACCACGCTGCACGCTTTGGTCAATCTGACAACCCACCAGGCAAAACCCCTAATTGAAAACGAACCTGACTTTCACGAAACTCTTCACCACTCGGGGACGCACCCTCAAAAGTACAGTAATAGCAGGAATATGAAAGAGAACCAGGCCAAGCGTCCCGGGAACTGCACTCCTGTGTTAAAACCAACTCAAGTTACACGCAACTCAGTTAAGTGACACAGACTACACATGCCTCACTTGACGGAGAGCATCTCAAACGTGGGCGATTTTTTAAGGGTCCACAAGACGCTTGAGGGACACAGTAAACGTGTCAGATCGTCAGTCCCAGGTCACAAACCCAACGTCATAAACCCAGGTGCCAAACGGGCTTGAGTCGCCCGGGCTGGACTTGACAGCTCTTGTGTCTCGGATACTGCTGCCCTCAGAACAAAAGCAAAAGCTGACGAGTTCTGCTTCTGCTCGAGTAACAAAACGAAATTCTTCCGAGGGCTCTGAGCAGACGCGCCTGGTGCTGCGTTCTTCTACAGTTCGCCGAAACCATCTAAAGAATAAATTAAAAATGATAATATAACTGTCAAACACCATTACACTCAGTCACTGGGAATACAATAAGTTAGCCTCTCACCCCCCTCACCCCCATAAAATCGATCTGCATGAAGCCACTCTAAGCTGCTGCTTCTTTCTTTACCATGCACAACGAAAAAAAAAAAAACACTGCAAATTAATATGAGAACAGCCGCCGAAATATAAAGTTTGGGAGAGCCCGTTAGCAATGAAAACATGCCGCCTATATCGTTGGAAAGTCTCATTTCTCATTTGGCGGCTGGGGCACTATCATCTTCACTACATAGTAAAACCCGGGTGTTGACTCTTCCTAGATGATTCTGGAATCCCTGGTGACGCAAGAAACTCCACCCCGCGCCTCGCTAATTCTGCTTCACTTCACACAGCCTTATCATCACTTTCCAGGGAAATGAAGAAACAAAAAGCAGTCGGAATGGTGTTCTGGGGGAAGGTTGCTAACGTAATACAAAACACACATAAAAAATCCAAATACCAAAACAAAATATTAACCGGGATATTATTATCCAATGAACTGACTCCTAAAAATAAAAAAAAACTTTTGATGCACTGATAAAAATACACGAAACAAAGGCTACAGCGCCAGTCCAACGGATGCAGCGTGCACCGGGTAATTTATTTCAAAATGTAATTGCACCTGCTAACTCCACTTTGCCACGCCTCCATGTGTTCACACCGTTCAAAAATTGCACAATGTATGTTTTCCGTTGCATTTCATTCTGCAAGACCGCGGAGTGGCTGCAGAAGTCAAGTTACCCCGTTTATTTTTTAATAAAGCTAGAAACCGGTAATGAAACTTAAAAAAATGTCCTAGAAACAACCACACGGTGTCAAAAAATCCTCGCAGGTCCCCTTTGAAATAACAGCTTTCAAACTTTGAATCACAAGCGCTCTGTGTGCAAACTTTTGTGGGTTTTTGACCATCATTCGCGTACAATGTTGATGCAACAGTCCTGCTGTACTGAAGAAAATGATGCCCGAAATTGCAGGCACACTGAGCAACAGCCCGGCTCGCACGTGTTCGGCGCAATTCTGTCAGGTCAGACTAGGGACACCCAGCGCGGCTGTTTAATTAATACACACGGGTACCTGAGGGAGTACAACTTGTCGTGCTTATCAGCACCTTTTCTGTTGAATGCCAAGACTTTTAGGCCAAACCATTCCACCTTAACAAAGATACCCGTTTTGAAAAGGGGGAACGAACGGACGTGCGACCACTGCAACGGCGTCACGCGTATCCCCTGTGGAAAACCTGTACCTCTATCCAGAAATCAAAATATTTCAACTACCCAGAACTACACCAAAGAAAACGCACACACGTCTGTTCTGAAAGATTAAGTTACCGGAAATGCGCTGTAATTGTATTTCTCCGTGTAATAAAATAACTACGTTACAATTGGTTATAAATCTACAATTAATGTCCCGTTAAAATTTCAAACTGCAGACTGCACTCAGCGGATCCACCATATAAACTGTACATATCACTGCATCAGATCACTGGCAAGGAGGAACAACTAGAAAGAAAACTTATATATTTTATTTTACCCTTTCGTTTTTAAATCCAGTTAACTTTTTTTTTCCTTTCTCTCTTTCTCTGGAAGAAGAAATGTTACTCTCTGGGACCCGGTCGGCAGCTCTGTCTCAGAACTGAATCTTTTGGCGCCATATTAATGACGTACTATATTATTTCCACCAGGCAGCGACCTTCGGCATTAAATAAAACTGCTGTAGCCTCCCAAACTCTAAGCGAAGGGGATTCAAGAAAAAGACAGCGACCCACGTTTTTACACGCCGTTTCAGCTAAATCTAATCAAATAAATGAGAAATGCGACTGTACCTACAGCAATGGCTGGCCGTGGCGGCGGTGTTTCTATGTAAGAAATGGTGCTAGGTTTATGAGTTCATGCAGCGGCAGATTGTAGCTCTCCTTCATACACAAACACTCTCTGACTGACGTTCTCACTTGTTATGGAGGAAGGACTCCGTGAATCAAACTCGTTTCTGGGTCACTGCCGCCACAGGAGGGAGCACTTTCATCCTAATCCTTGAACCAAGTTTACAGTAACTGGCGTCCCTTTCTGGGAGTGTGTGTGCGTGTGGGGGGACATTTAACTCTTTCAAAACTGAGAGCACTGAAGCAATGGTGAAGCACTGAAGAAGTGCTAGTGCATTCGGGTTTTTTTCTCCATACCAAGGGATGTTTTTTATTATTTATTTCCCATTATGTTTTTTTTATAGTTCTTAGACTAAAGTGATTTTTTCATAATTATCTTGACGTTGGTTTTGTTGTATGTAAAGCAATTGCTGAGAGAAGAGAAGTTTGCAAACTAACCTGCGCATTCATCACTATTACCAAAATACCCGATTTTAACACATTGGCAAATATCTTAAATAGTGAATATAAGGTAAATACAACATATAAGTACAACATTTTTGGCAATAAGTTCTATTGTAAAGAAATTGTCCAATTTCTTCATCCTAAATTCATTTTCTTTTGGCTTCCAATTATGACCTCATCTCCCCGTTTTGCTCCTGAATTTTACCCTGTCTATACACCTTAGATTTTAGATTCTTGAATCAAATGAAAATTGTCTATGTTCTACACCAAAGAGATGTAGTTTCATTTGCCTGTAAGTGTTGGATAATACCCAGGGAACACAAGTTATTATTTTAGACTCTTCTGTGAACCTTTTCTAATGTAAAAACATTTTTGTACTATGCTGACCAACTGAACACAGTATTCAAAACCAGGTTTTAATAGTGGATTGTAAAATTTAACCTTAACGTTGCTGAATTTAAATTCCACACCTTTTACCTGTGTACCCCATGCATTCTTTTCACACTTTGATTACTTTTCAATTGATCTTAATGAGGACATAGAAGAATCTGCACACCCCAGATCCTTTTATGTGTAGCCTCCTGCAGCTCTAGATCACCCAAATCACCCAAGCAATACAAGTTTTTTTTGTATGATCCTACTCCCTAGTGTGGATCAGTTTGCACTCATTGATGTTCAAATTTCTTTTGCAGTGTGTTTACCCACACCCTGATTTTGAGTGTCTTGGCAATTCCTTTGCTGCTATATCTGTTTTTCGATCATCCTTTAACTTGGCTAGTTTGCTAATTTGCTATCAGAATCTAAATTGTTTCTATAAATCAGGAAAGCCAACAGTCCCCAAACAGTTCCCTGAGCTACACGTCTGATTCTATAATTATAATTTGTGCCCCTTAAGATGATGGGCTATTTCCTTTTTAACCAGTGCTTTATCCTTGTGCATATATTCTCATCTTGGATTCTTTTGGGTTTCAGTTTGAGAATCAGACATTAACGTGGGACCTTATATTAAAGGCTTTCTTATAGTCTAAATATAGGATTTCTCATATTTCAGTTTTATCTGCTATAGTTGCTGCTTGTTTGAAGAATTCTATCAATATGAATAAACAGGACCTACCCTTTCTAAATCCATGAACTCTTATTGCTAGCAGTTATAGCTGCATATCCAAAATAACAACAGAGTTGATACAGGGTAATAATAATAATCACTTACATGGAGCTTTTCTGGACACTCCACTCAAAGTGCTTTACAGGTAATAGGGACTCCCCTGCACCACCACCTGTGTGCAGCCCCACCTGGATGATGTGCACCCACAGTGCACCAGTACGCTCACCAGACATCAGCTATCAGTGGGGAGGAGAACAGAGTAATGAAGCCAATTCATAGATGGGGATTATTAGGAGGCCATGATTGGTAAGGGCCAATGTGAAATGTGGCCAGGATGCTGGGGTTACACCCCTACTCTTTTCAAGAAGTGCCTTGGGATTTGTAATGACCACAGAGAATCAGGACCTCAGTTTTAAATCTCATTTAAAGGACGGCACCATTTTATAGTATAGTGTCCCCATCATTATACTGAGGCATTAGAACCCACATAGAACGCAGGGTGAGCGCCCCCTGCTGGCCCCACTAACACCTCTTCCAGCAGCAACCATAGTTTTTCCCGGGAGGTCTCCCATCCAGGTGCTGACCAGGCTCACACCTGCTGAGCTTCAGTGGGTTGCCAGCTGTGAGTTGCAGGGTTGCTGGCTACTGGCTAGCACTCAGCCCGTAGACAATGGGCCCAGGATAGCATACACCCCAGATGTCAGGCCATCACATGGAAGACGCACACAGGGAACAGATTGGAGATGCCAGTTACCATGGACAGTGTGTCTCTGGCCTGTGGGTGGAATCAAGAACACCCAGAAAAAGAAAATGTGCATCCATGGAAGGAATATTTAAACAGAAGTTTGTTGCTGAAGACTGGAATCAAACCAAGAGCCCAAGAGCCATTTGCCACTGAGCCACTTAACAC